CTGCATGGCAGCATACCAATGTATGTGACTGACAGAAGCAGCTAACTTCTGCTTTGCATAATGATTTTTCACAATCACTGCTTTTCCAGAGCTCAGGAGTACACCTGAAGAGAAAAAAAAAAAAAAAAAAAAAAAAAAAAAAAAAAAAAAAAAGAGCCCCCTTTAAATCCTAAATCCTAAAATGAGGGTATGAGGGTATAAGGCTGAATTTTCACATACTTGACTTTGCAAACTGTCTGTACCTTTCATCTAAACTGAAGATGCTGATGCAGATGGAAGTGACTGTAGAACAAGTCATCCCAGCTATAGGCCCCAGTAATCTTTACTTTCATGTAGTCCAGGATACCTGCCTTTAAACACTGGGCAGTAAGTGCTGGGATCCACCTCCACAGGTCTCAGTGAAGGCAGAGGACTCACCATAAGCCTGCCAGAATCGTTACAAAATCGTTGCTGTCATAGCAAATTGAAACACAATTTCTAAGACATATTTTCTGTTCTAAGACATATTTTGTGTTCATTGGGAAAATTAGGCAGCTCAAAGAAATGTTCAGTTTCCCAGTGGAGCAGTTCCTCCCTATCTTGTTCTTCCTCCCAAAGAAACACTGCTGCACATCATTCCCTTCCTTGTGGCCAAAGTGTCACAAGTCTGCTTTTAAACCCCAAGGCAAATCCCTTTCTGTCCTGGGCAGTCCTTGCACTGTCCCTCCTCCCTCAGGAGACTCACAGAGCCAGCCCTAAGAGCCATGGTCTTCTGGCAGGCAGGATTTACAGTCAGCCAGGACACGAGCAGTGCCAGCAGCTCAGTAACACAACAGCAGTGACAAACACCAGGTTCACTGTCAGTTTACTGTTGTTTTTAGAAATGAATCTAAGGCTAAATTCTGGAAAATTAAAGCAGTCTGATCATGTTAAATTTACCTACAAAGCCAAAAGGGTGATCTGCTGCCCCACCCCTTGCTCAATTGCTATCAATTAGTCAATAGAAAAATCTCTTCCTACAGCCAGCAAAATTCTGTTAAGTAATGTTAATCTTTTTTTTTTAATTTAAATAGCAAGTGCCTGAGGGAAAAGATACTCAGTGGTTTACAGGTTAATGGAGGTTTACATGACCCTCTTCTAACCTGATCTCCCAAGTACTAAACAATAATATTAAAAAGTCAACAAGTTTATTTCTTTCACACAGCAAGCAGAAGTGCACAAAGCTATACAAGCAGCAAGTTGTCTTGTGACAATTAATGGTCACCTTAATTTTAATTGTATATTGAGGGGCTGGTGTGATAGGATACAAGGGTGATCAGCTTATAGATCAAATCTCCAGTAAAAAGCTCCTTCATAAACATTTAGCTTAATTCAAAATTGAAGTTATTAGCCTGACCATCTTATACAATGAAATTATTTCACTCCAGTACACCTCAAAACCACTTTATCTGTTGTGGTTGCACTGCATTATGAACAGGAGCTGAAGCCATCATTAGTCTTTGTCTACCTGAGACCATTAATCCCTGTAAGGTAAGAAAGAAAGCAGAACAGAAGGCAACTGTAGTCAAGGTTATTTTGCAAGAAAACACATAAGCATGATTTTGTCTCCACTGATGAAAAGTGCAGTATTCTGGACTCCCCCCAAAAAAGTACTTGACATCAGCTCAATTCTGCTCCCCAAAACCTAAGGAAATACAGATCTGCTCTGGATTTCCTCAGGCAGACCCTGAATTTAATAAAAGCCTGAAATCTCCATTAACATGATCATGAAGAGAAAAGTGTGGGTAACAATAAATTTTTCATTCCTGCAGAAGTGCAGGACAGGTTTTCCATACATGCAGCAACAGAGAGTCCCTCCTGAGCACATCAGCCATGGAATTCCATCTCAGAGCCAGCACCACGTTTTCTCTTACCCGCCAGTGATAGAAGCCAGTGTCCCTCCTCTCCTTCCTTTGGAAAAGCACTGCTGCCAGAAAAGGCAGCACTCTGGGTGGAAATGGGCCCCGAAGCACCTCATGGAACATGGGGAAAATGTCCTGCTGTCTCTGCAGAAAATCTGACAGGGAAACCCAGAGCAAAGCGAGTCCCAGACGCCCGGCTGCAAAGCACTGTTTGCCATAGGCTCATCTGAAGTTTTGCGCAGGACTGGGCTGTGCTCCAGCTGTGAGAAGTGGAGGTGTGGCCCACACTTGCCAAACAAGCCAGCTCAAAACCTTGCTGGCAGGTTTTTCCAATGTTGCTACAAGATAAGGGCACAAAGCAGCACCAAACAGGGAAGCCCTGGGCAGGAGGAAGCACCACTTGGTGATCCAGCCGCGACACCTAAACCCCAATCCAGATTTTCTCTGAGAGTTCCAGCAACCTGATGTGCAACTATGGCCATTTCAAATCTTTTTCAGAGCTTCAGCACAACCTACCAGTATTTTTAAATAGAAAAAAATTCCCATCTTACAAGCCTGAAGTAAAGCAAAATTTGTCACTGACTGTAGCTGTTCAGAGCAGTTTCAGGGAGGCCAGAGTGGAGACACCACAGTTTGGTCTGCCATAAGATGCCTCAGGGAACATCAACTCCCCACCACATCTCTCCCCTCTGAGCAACCTGCAGAAGTCTCCCCTTTTTCTTCATTTCTATGTAATACAGTCTTAATTCTTCCACTAAACGTTCTCAAAAAACTTTACAAGAGACAGGACATATTTTTTTAAGAGTCTATCACACCTGAAAAAATAATATAATAGTGAAGGAAATAGTTTGCTAAAAGCAATTAGCTTATTAGCAGCTGCTGACAGTTGTCTTGCTGGAGCATTTTATCAAAGAGTTGAAATTCATAAACTGGAATTGCAGACCAAGTACCAAACTTTAGTGCTACAACAATTAAAAGTGGCAAAAAATGTATGAAAGCCAGTAATGCAGCATATCATTAGCTCCATGCAAACATGAGAATGTGACACATTCTCAGCAAGGTCCCATTCATTAATCATTTCCTGTCATTAGCATCAGTCACCAGGCTAGAATTTAGGAAAATTAATAAAAGCACAAGCACTGACATTTCAAACATGAACAAGTCAGCACTAGGTGGGAGCCATTGTGGTGAATTCACAGAATGAAGAGTCAACACACAGGCAAAAAGCTAATATAATGCCATTGTGAAACAGGCAGCAACTGCCCTAAAGCCCTTGTGTCCTACTAAATGGTACAGCAGACAGTGGGCTGAAAAAGCTATTCCTTTGCTTTTCTACTCACCACTGCACTGACAGTGAAGGACTGAAGCACCACTCCTAGGATGGAAGGCTGAGAGCTGAGGCTGTTCAGACTGGATAAGAGAAGGCTCCAGGGATTCCTCATAGAAGCCTTCCAGTATTTAAAGTGGGCTTTTGAAGAGAGAGAGTGACTTTTTGCACTACCAGAGAGTGACAGAACAAGGGAGGACGGTTTTAAAGAGGGTAGACTTCGATTAGATATTAGGAAAAAACTCTGCTTAGAAGATGGTGAGGCACTGGAACAGGTTGTCTAGACAGTTGTGGATGCCTCATCCCTAGAAGTGTTCAATGCCAAGTTGGGGTTCTGGGGAGTTGAATCTAAAATATCTTTAGGATTCCTTTCAACCCAAATCATTCTATGACTATCACATTAGGTTTTATTTATCTTCAAAAGGATTGTAGAACCATAAGTGTACTTTTTTTTTTACATTTAATTTAATACAGCTTGACTATAACTTACAAGAAAATTGAGGTCACCTCACAGTACAGCAGCATGGAGAAATCACACTTATTCTAGTTTATTACAGGCAGTGGATAAACCCTCTACCTTGTCCTGAGTGCCCAACTGCACATAAATTCAGCTTACCTGTCTTCTGACACTCTCTCCTCTTCCAATGAAATCTCACTCAGCACAGGGATCTCACTTTTACAGAATTTCTCTTGAATCTCTCAAGAAAAAATGAAAGCTCTTTAGAACATATGCTTGAGAATTGTTTCATAGTCAACAACAGATCATCCATTAGCAGTGTGCAGTTTCAGCCATTCTCAGACACTGCTGTCAGCAAACTTAATATCCAAAGATAAACTACTTGGTTTTGTTATTTCCCATCAGACTAAGAAAACAAGCAAGCACAATGGCATCAAAAGATGAGGCAAAGAAATCCTCCCACCCGGTAATTTTACTTCTGCTTTGATTAGCATGCCCACAGGGGTAAAGATAGATTCTACATTGCAGTTTTGGGGGTTTTTTTATCAGAAAGCATTAAGTTACATCATCACTAACTATATTATATAATATTTTAAATATGTGTCGCTATCACAAGGGACCCATTTTGGTCACATTAGCAGCACCAAGAGGAGAGCTGAGATGCAGTATACAACTAGAAGAGATGAAAATTTGAAAGGATGCAAGGATAGGATTTGATTTGTGTTTGTTGGGGATTTTTTTTTTTAGTTTTCTCCGGAAACACCAATATACTTAGTTGTTCAACTTATTCATCAGTGACTTAGATGAAGGAGCAGATGCCTCCTCAGCAAGTTCACTGATGACACAAAGCTGGTAAGGGTGGCTGATACCCCAGAGGGCTGTGCAGCCCTTGAGAAGGACCTCGACAGGCTGGAGAGATGGGCAGGGAAGAACTGTCAGAAATCCAACAAAGGCAAGTGCAGGGTCCTGCACCTGGGAAGAATAACCCCAGGCACCAGCACAGGCTGGGGCTGACCTGCTGGAGATGCCCCTGCTTGAGCAGGGAGCTTGCACAGAATGATCCACTGTGGGTTCTCCCAGCCTGATCCATCCTGTGATTCTGTGAACATGGAGACAGGAGATTTCCTCTGCGCTGGTGCTTCCCATGGCTACAGAATAGGAAAACTGAGGATCTATATTCTACTTCCAACACCAGACTCTATGACCTACAGCCCAAGCAAGTGCAAACCTGTGAAGCTAAACATTTCCTGATTTGGTCACACAGCTCAACATCCCTCCCCAGCACAAAACCACTCAAACATCACCACCCAGAAAAAATTTGTCAGTAATTTTAGTGTTCTCTAGTAAGTACATATTTAATGGTATAATGGTGTAAGACTTGCAAAAACATTATTCAAAGAGAGAATTCAAAAGGGGTTTTAGTAGGATTTTGAGAACATTCACAAGCATGTATAAACTTGTAGATTTAAAAACCTGCATTGAGAATTGCCACACTTGATTTACACGTACTAAAGCAAGGGGAATACTGAGATACTGCACTGGGTCTGACTTCCAGGAGAAAGTGAGGTCTAATATACAAATAAAAATAAAATCTACATCAGCCCAGAGAAGTTTAAGTGCACAATGACTGAAACACACACTGGTTCACGATATTTATTACAACCTATTGCTTTAGATAAACCTGCTGTATGGTTAGGAAACCCAAAGCACATTGTATGAACCAACAAAAAAAAAAAAGTACAGCACAAACCACATCTCTGTAAAAGGTATGCAGTGGAGATGAACAGAGGCACAACTTTAGTCTTCTAAGTAAGAGTACAATGAAGATCCTGGTAACAGATAATGAAGGCAAATAAAAATCATACTACCAGTACTAAACATAAGATAAGTAAAAATCAGAGTAGCATTGTTATATCTGTATACAAAGAATGCAAGGTCTTTTTAAATGCCCTTTCTTCATTCTCTATGACCTGTAAACACAACTCTCCCAAACCATCTTCCCTCCGTACCTGAACTAGTATATAAAGATCTATACAGCATGTGCAAATCTAGTGTAAGTATTTTTAGGCTCTCTTCTTCAAACAGAAGAAATACAAGTTTAAAAACATTAACACCACAGATTCCCTCTATCCAGCCTCTGCAGAAAGTATTCAGTAGCAATACTGCCCAAGACATCCAAGCAAAACACTGGACCAAGAAATCCAGAAGAATGTATAAACAATAAATACAAACACATATGAACAAGGAAAAAACAGTTATCAAGGGAAACTCTTAACACTGGCAAATGAAAGTGAATTAGGACTCTTTTCAGCCAACAGCAGATCTGTTCCTAAAAAAATACCTCACACGATTTAAGTAAACCTATGATGTTAACTGAGGTTCAACTACACTTTAGGCAGACCAGATTTCTTCATCAGCTTGTTCTTTAAGATGTGATATCTGGTAGTTACATGTCATGCTCCATACCACTTAATAATGATTTATTTATAAGTATTGCTAGACCAGGATGTTGGGAGTCAAACAGTCCCTCCACTGGGTTATTTGCTACTGCTGCCTTTTCATTACCACTCCACAGATTCTTTCTGCAACAAACATTTTGTCCCTCATACCAATCTGCAACTGATTAAAGTTTCTGAAAAAATAAGTTAGACAAAAATATTACAGTCTAGAGTGAGTATGGTACAATTTAGTTCTTGTGTTAAGACTTCTGGCCCAAGATAATTTTAAGAACAGTACCGGCCTGAACAGAATGCAGTTCTAGAGCATTTCAAATACACAGATGTTGAAACAGTCTGGATTTTACTTCAGTGTTGGAAAGTGAACCAGAGACTAAAGAATTTATATACATAAGTCTCAAGCATAGTCCAGAAGCTCAAGCAGTAACTAGAGTTCACTCCTTCCAGAAATTGCTTTACAGGATGTTCTTTGCTTTTTCCTTTGAGTGCAGACGTGAACTTCTTCCAACAGTCTCTGAGCTTCCACTCACATTAAGAGTGAACACAGTCAGTGCAAACAACACACAAGTTAATTCAATTTATAGTTCTCAAACTAAAACAAAAAGGAAAAAAAGCTTCTTAGTGGTACCTAGCATTTCTCTGATTACCTCCTGTGAAACAACTTACCAGAAGGTCAGGCAAAACCACCGAATATCAACAGAGAGTCCTTTGGCCAGCACTTAAATCATTTCTGTTGCTGAGATAAAAGTTGCACTTCCTAAGTCTGGAAACAGACACAGAAGCCTCCTCTATGACAAACATCTGGTGATCTCCATGCAATGCTGATATGGCTGCAAAGACTTTCAGGGAATTTTCTTTTTTTGAATAAATACTTACATACAAGGCCAAATCACAACATTGCCACCCTAAGAAAGTACATTTTATTGTAAGACTTGATTTGTGGTGAACGTCCAACAGTTGTCTAACAGTTCATTTGCAAGGCTGGAGTGTGTTACAAAAGTCACTACAAAAATCAGTTTCTATTCTTCATCGAGGACTGAGAGGTTCAGTGTAGTTGCCAGCACTGTAACAACATGGGTAAAGTAATTTTCTAGTAAATCAACATTGCTGGGTAGGTACAGTCAGTCCACAGATACAAATGATTTCTACCCAGTGTAAGAGAACCTAGCAACAAGCCTCAAAACGCTCAGACACATCAACTTCTTTAGTCATCAGTACTGAATTTTGTATAAATGTTGGGATTATTGACCATGACAAGGTCAGGTGTCCAGTGTGTTGACTTCTTTGGAGCAGAAATAATGCACAACTATTGCGTTAGGGTATCGAGCAAATGCGCTGTAAAGAGAATAAAACACAAACATCAGCTGTCAAGACAAACATTGTTTTCCATATTCAAACAAGAGCATCCAGCTTGGGCAGAATTAGAGAGAGACACATGATAGTGACACTTTTTTAAACTATAGCCTGAACATATTAAAGAGAAAATAGAGAAAAGAACTCTATGGATATTCTAAGAGGTTTGCTTGGAGGTTTTTAAAATCTATTTTCATTTCTGCAGGCACATTTTACTTGGAAGTCACTGGCAGCAAGTTAAAGACTGAGGGACAAGCTTCAAAATCTTGCTGAACTTAACAGTACCAGAAAAATTCTATACTATCAAAACAATATTGCATATGCAAATTTTAATGCTGAAGCTACATGCTGAATATTAAGAAGAAAAAATTTAATATGCGTAGCAATATTTAGACTGTGTATTAAAAAATGTTTTGGGAAAAGAACCTTTCCCTATCATTGTTAATGCTACTCATATCTCAGAAGGGCTCCCATCAAGAAGAAAATAATGACTGAATCAAAAAAATGTAGCATTTCCCTCCACTTGAAAGAAAAAAAAAAACAAACAAGTGCAAATAAAATTTGCATTCTATATTAGCTACTAGGAACGGTAGAAGAAAAGTTCACAGATTTACAGAATATTCTGAGTTGGAAGGGACCCACAAGGATAAGAGTCCAACTCTTAAATAAGTGGTCAGTACAGTGATTGAACTCACAACCCTGGTGTTATCAGCACCATGCTCTAACTGAGCTCATCTCAGGGTCACTGGCATCCAAATAATCAAGCAAATTAGTTCTACTTTTAAACATCCTAATGAATGTACAAAACATAAATTGCTACAAAACATAAATCAGTCAGGAAGCCATGAAGCCATCAGATATAGAAAACTACACGTGTATTTCAGCTTAAAATTCTTTATATCATCCTCCCCAACTCTAGTCAAGAAGTAGGTTCTTAGAAAGGCAGTGTTCTTACAAAGTTTTCAAAATTCAGTATGAGGACCAATTTCATGCCTTCCAGAGTTATGAAATAAGAACTCTTGGGAGTTTCTGAAAGGGTTTTATACTCCTTTGTTGCAAGGCGGATTAAACTCTTGCAGCAAATTCACTGACCAAAGCTTTAAAGTATTCCTAACCATTCAGCTAATAAATGTAATTTGTAATTCAAATACTCTTCAAACAGCTCCCTCATACTGCTGTTCTCTCTGGCTATACATACATCCAGTTTTCCAACATTCTTAGTTAAAGTGTACCAGATTAATATTTGATTCAGTTTACCCAGCTCTCTCACCTGTTACCTATCTTCTTTTTACAAACAGTGCACACCTTCTCCTCTGTAATTATGCACTTTACTTGCTGATGCAAGATCCGCTCCTCCTGGACCTAAAGAAGGACAAAAACCCCAAGCTGCTCAAAAAGCAATGCCACGCCTTGGTCTGATGAAACTGCAAAGCATCACAACATTTAACTGTCAGTGGCTGTATCTACATTACCAACTTGTGCAGCACAAAAGAAGCTGTTCTGTGGAGCAGAGCAGGTGGTACTGAACACCCAAAACCCACACTATATGAATCACAGGGTTTTACTTTTACCTTGGTCCACAGCCTAAGGCATTCAACCACTAAAGGAGTGTTAAGATATACAATTGAACTGCTTTCCCCAGTCCAAGCTGTCTGAGATGATTCTGCAGTGCACACCTCAGCACAGTGAGCAAAGACAAACACCTCATCCAAACTAAAATGAATGTACACACCATCTCCTGCAAAAAGGATGTTCAAGCTACATAATTCCCATTTAATTTCGGGTGCATTACAGCACTGTCTACAGGACACCCATCCCCTATAAGAAACAGTAAATTTCATTTTGAACATATTTTAAAATATGTTCATCTTTGTTGCCATCTTTTGTATGTGCAATGGGTATTTTCCTGGGGCAAAGAAGTAACATTTCCTCCATCCTATTATGTATTTGCAATACCAATCAATAACAGGTGGTGGATGCTTACCCTCAGAAACTCTGCATGGAGAAGGTTCTTGAGCACTTGATTAAATCTTTTCTTCTGAGCATTTTCTTCAAGTACTTTCTCTAAGAAGATGCGAATCTCACTGATCTGTGTATTTGCTGGGAGTAGGTTTATTGCCTGGAACAAAGTTAGAAAAAGTTAAGGAGAAATAGAGACCAAAACAGAATAGAAATTGACACATTTAGATTGACACATTCCATTCACTCGCCTACTCCAGTACCTTCTGTAGCTTCCTGACAACAGCACAGAGTACTTACAGATCTGACTTACCTTAGTGGTATCCAGTTTGCTGTGGTGCAGTTCCAAAACCTGCAGAGCAGCCTGCAGATTGGCTTGAGGCTCCAGCACCTCCATCTTGATGGGTCCCAGGCAATGAACACTGGGTGGGGAGAGATACATGCGCAGCAGGGACAGATACACCTGCAGCACACACAAGGGAAATTGTTGCACCTATCCACAGCTGACAGTGCTGGTAAAACCCAGCAATGGTACTAAGTTATACCCCTGCCATCCAAAATTGTGCACTGCTCATTTAAACAGCTCTTAATGTAGGCTCAAATCCAATGATACAGTAACATTCTCAACAAAAAAACACCCCACGATGATCTAGGAGTTCCTAAATTCCAAGAGATTATACACAGGTTCCTATACACTACACAAACCCTGAAGAAGTCTATACAGAGCAAGAACTTTCAAGTCCTGAACAAGGTGTATATATATAGCCTTCTACTTCCTTACTGAACAAGAAGCTACTTACATCTTTGTTGCCATCTTTGTTTCTGTCATAATGTTTATGGCAGTAGCTAGAAGAATCAACAGAGAAGAATTAAGAGAAATACAGAAACAGTTACAGGACCCAAATAATTAGTTTACAGAAATTAACATTTAATTACTACTGAAGTCATCCAAGTTAAGCGACTGTACACTTAACTGATGTGCAGTTTGATGAATTGATTCAGATCAATTCATCAAACTGCACATCAGTATTACACAGTTCACTCTGCATCACAATGCTGAGAGAAGCAAAGTTTTGTGCAAGTCTCCCACTTCCAATCAACTTAAAAAGCCTTAATGCAGAAGCCAAATAGAATTTAGCTGTGTAAGAAAAAAGAGGGAAAAGATATCCCCAATCAACACATCACAGCATAAAAATCTATGTGTATATATATCTAATTAGTCTATCTGAATCACAAGCAGCTATGGGGAACAGGTCCCTGTGTTCAGATACACCTGCCAGTGTTGGGTAATTCTATTTTTACCTGAGTACTTCTGATTCACTCAGGAGATTCCCTGACACAAAACACATAAAAAAATGCTGTATCTTCACTAACAAGAGTTCTTTTTAATGTAGGCTAGCGAACATCTCTCCAAACAGAAAGGAAGCAAAACAACACACAAGATCACAGACTAAGGACAGTTAAAAAAGTATTAACTCATTGATGATGGTCATATTGCTCTAAAGCACAATGAGAGCACGAAAAGGCAAACCTCAAGGGGCCAGCAAGCAGCATCTGTAATAAACAGACACCCAGAAGAGGTTCAAGGCCAATAAAATGTGAAAACACAGAAGATCGTGAAGACTTACAATGCTCATGGCTCCACATATAGCAACATTTCACTACACATCCTATCCACAGAGCAGTCAGCAAAATAAGTCTTGCAAAAATGCAAAAACTATAAAAGAAAGGAATCCTTACTTTTCAGCCATGTTGGTGTCCTTCAAAATATGAACATAAATAAACAGAGCTTGCTCATGCTTCCCCATTCGACCCAAGAGCAGAGCACGTTCTTCTAGGAGACCTAGTGATACCATGAAGGATTAAATCAATAGCTATACAGAGAAATTACAAAATTAGTGCCCAGACTAACAGAAGGAAGTATTAATCTGTGCTCAGGCTACAGTATGAGTTATACTGACACTCTAAGTCTACATTTCACACTAGTCTCAGAAATCTTTTCTGAATTCTTAAGTCACCTTAAGAAACAACTACCTTCAGATCTATTGAGCAACTCAGGGTAATCACAAAGTTCAGCTAAATAGCTGGGAGATGCCACAAGGTCTTAGGTCAACAGTTAGAGGAATCCTGCAGAAACTGGTAAACTCAGTTGTGCCAGCAAAAACAGAGTCAGGATACACACCAGTGGCCTACAACTACAGATAGAGTCATCTTCTCTATTTCTAGTTTCCATGACTCTATGATAAGTGAGGAAGTTTTGCTGTAAGCAATAAGCTAGGGTTTAGTTAACCTACAGAAACAGAACTCACCATCAAAGGGGAAGTCACTGATAAGTCGACTAGGTTCATAGCAGCTGGACTTCTCCAGAAAAAGCAGCAGCTTCTTCCGGTAATCCCCCAAGTCTCCTCCTTCCTCCCCAGCAGGCACTGGAGCTCTATCTATATGAAAGAAAACAACATTAGCTAAATTATTACAACTAACTCACTACACTATACACTAGTCTGTACTAGAAGACACACAAATCATTATGAAGAGGAATAAATGATGATAGAACTGTTACATGGGTTGGGGCTGTCATGTACCTGCCAAACTAACTTCAGCTCCTAAAAACACATCACGTGGCTGGTTAAACCAATACTCAAGTTATTCAAAACCCTTCCCTACCCTTAACATGCAGAAGTCAGGGAGCAGTAGCTGCCATTCGACTTAATTATGAACAAAGCGTTGCTTGGTCCCTTAAAAGGCCTCTTGAGAGGCAACAAACTAGACTGTCCTACAAACCCACATGTTTTCCAGTTCCCTCCATCACTAAGGTATCTTATGCTGGATTTCAACAGGGAAGGATTACAACATGGAATATGAAGGCTCCCCTTTGCTCTCCCATACTCCTGGTCCTCCCACCAGAAAAGGCTAGACATACCTGCAGGGAAAGAACTGAGATATTCTTTCATTAAGCCCTGCACTTTCTCACAGTACAGCTGGATGAGACAGTTGTGGAAGTCCGCACCAGTTTCTTCCCAGACATGAATGATGTGCTCCTGTAAATACATGTTAAGGCTCAGCTGTAGACACTTCCTCTGGGATGTAATTCTTTATAAGGAACAGTTCCATGCTTGCCTTTACCAAGCTTGACCTCAGAATTTCATGTATTTTAATTATGTTTTCTTTGCTCAACAGGCTCCAGCTCCTGAAGAACTAAGGTCTTACAGGTAATATTTTGTTTTACTGGAGGTAAAATGCAGTAGTAGAGATTGAGTTCTTACCAGGTAAGGAATAGTCAAGCTTTTAAAATTTTCTATCAAGAAACTGAGCACTTTGTCTCGTGGCAAAGCTTCCACTTCAGGGAGGTCTTCTGTAAATATCTGTTAAATAAAATTTTATTCCGATTGTTGATTTTCTTTTCTTAAGTGCCACAGTATATTTTTCTCTTGAGGCACTGAAGCCCAGCACATTATCACATGTCCAAAAAGTAAACAAGAAGTACAAAAAAAGATCTGAGCAGCTTATTCAGGCACTGAGAACTTACTTCACATCTGAAAAGACTATCAAACATTCCCACTTCTGCCCGAGTGAACACTCTTTTCTTACAGAGCCCAAAACCTCCCAAATACAGGGAGCCAATTTTCTAGGCAAATCAACACCTGACATTTAAATACTCAATTAGGCTCTTGTGCAAAAGTGTGGCATCAATAACATGAAATGTTCTATCAATATCCTAGCTATTTATTATATCAATAACATGAAATGTTCTATCAAAGGTTCCTAGCTATTTATTATAAGGTCTTCCAAGAACGGAAAAGCATAAGAAAAAGTGAAAGATTGACCTGTTTTATCTACTGCTAACATTAGCACTGAAGCCAGAAAACAAAAATTATATATTTAATTTGGTTTAGCATTAATGAGATTCTTACAATGAGTTATCCCAATTCCATATACTGCACTAAGAAGGTCAACAACAAGGTACCTCTTTCAATCACACTAACCTTCAGTCCATCTTCAGGAAAATCTCTTAGCACCCAGACAGAGTAGGAAAATACCAAGTGCAAGTTCTCTGTGCCTGGAATACAAAAAGCAGCAGTGCTCATTGTTAAAATCCTAACTCTCTATCTATTCACAACACAAGCAGATGCTTTCAGAGCCAGCAAAGCTTCATTTACATGAAGAATCCAGTTGTTGCTCAAGTCAAGCAAATCACTCATCCCAAAGCTACAATTTCATTGCTTCACAAACATGATTTCAAACCAAAACAAAAATTAACTCAAATACTAAGTGTCACCAAATGCAAAGAATTCAGCCCAAAACCAAGATCGGTTGCCTTAATCACATTCCAAAAGTCTTCCCTTTCAACTTGTTTTAATTAGGGTACAGAGGCAGTGAACTCTTCACTTGTGTAACTTCCTTCAGTCCATTTCCAGCCTGTCAGTCTAATGACTTCTACAGCAAATGGTCAAATACTTTGTAACAAGTAGTAAAGCATCATAGTCCTGAAGTAACTGGCATAGAAACTACATGACAAGTAACAGCTTCTCAGCTTTTAGCAAAATGTAGGACTTGCCCCTTTAAAAAGAATACTATAGTTTGGATAATTTGGTTCACAATACTAATAAAACACGTTAGGAAACAAGACTTTCCCCTCACCCTCCTGCTCAGAATCACTGAGGCATTTGCTGCCTGAACAACATAACACAATATGACAACACTACACAAGAAACAGAAACTTAAAGCAACCCTATAAAAAGGCAGTCATTGTTTGCTTTTCTCCATCCCACAATATTTAAAGCAAGCAGCATCTTCATATTAGCAGAATTTAAAAAATAAATTTAAAAAATGCAGATGATGTGCACTGTAAAGTAAAACAACTGAAATAGTTCCCAGAAGAGCCAATCTAAAAGTTTCAGTAACAAAAGTTTGACTTGGCAAATGGCAATAAACTTGTCGGCCTGAACTTTGCTGAACTCTATTAAATTTCTGAATTTACAGGGCATACTGGGCTCACAGAGAAAATTTTAAAAAAAGACAGGACAAGAAATGGAAGTAAGACTATGTTTTACATAAAAACTAACTCCTTATAAAGAAATGTGACATTAATTAGAATAGCCCCCTGCCAAAACACTGATCAAGGTGTCTTTGCTGAAATCACAAGCAAATCAAACATGAAGTTAAAACCTACTCAAAACAGTGAGAATGTCAGGAGGAGAGAAGCAGCTCATTAAATAACTACCAAAGCTTATTGATCAGTGTACTAAAAGGAAAACACCAAACTGCCCCACAGAACAACTGGCTCCCCTCAACACATAACATTCATCTGCATGGGGATTCCCACAGGCCACAGGCAGGGGATTTCTCAACTTCCTCAGTAAGAAATCCTTAATTTAAACATGAGCTACAATAGGAGAAGGTTCTGCAGAACCTTTTTTAAAAGATAAAAGAATAATGCAACACAGAAAACTATCTACCACCCCAGTAAATAAATAATTCTCCTGCACAATGACAAAGCATATTGTTGATGGTCAATCACACCGTTAATATTTGCTTTGATGCAATAAACAAGTGCTTACTCTATTGACACAAGGCTAGTATTAAATACCCATCAGTAATATACACTTGACTTAAAAGATCATAGCTACAAGCCTGAAGGAATTTGTAATTACTTGAGAACTACCTAGAATATTGCATTTAATCCCCAGAAGCTGACAGAAAAGAGTAGATTAAGAGCATTTTCTACTTCACTCAGAATTATTTTCTTCTTCACTCTTCATCACTGGAAGAAAATTCAAATTATATTTTCTCCCAGTGGACATTTTAATCAGAAATAAGGAATGTTTACCAAAGATATTTAAGTTTCAATGAAACTTGAATCCCTTGGGCTAATACTTGAAGGTTGCATTATGCAAGAAACCAAGCAAGATAACAAGGATACCCTTTCAGCTTGATAGCCTCCAGAAAGCTGCCAAACAGTAGAATAACCACTAAACCAAACAAAAATAAAAACTCACAAAAACACTGCTCTTCTTCACACTCACCCAAATGCTGCAAATATTGCACTGTCCTCTCATGACCCTTCAAAGGGGAGTTGGCTTTCTTTGACTGATCCACCAGTACCTGTAATGCTTTCAAATGAAAAGAAGTCAATTCCTTTGTAACTGCTAGCTCCAACATGAAGCACAAAAAAGTGCATTTTCCCTGTTATGCTATTGAAGACAAAACAAAGTTTTGTTTTGAACAGAGACCAAATTGTAACAGGAACAAAGATTTAATCACAAGATAGCAATTAAACAGCCTCTTCAGAATACTGCCTACTTAGTGAAGTCAAAACACAACACAAAGAACACATGCTTCTACTCCTTCTCCTCCCCCAACTTGAAAATTACCTTTCTCATGCAGACCTTTTTTCTCATACAGTATTATCAGCTCACTATACTTGTGTGCCTTCTTTAGTACATGCTCACTCTCCTCAATATGGCAGTGATTGTTCTCCAGACGTAGCAGTGGTGCCACCAGTGCTACATTTGTCTGCAAGAGAATAGGGAGCACTTAAACTTCATTGGAAGTGCACCCTCTAAGTGTACAGTACAAAACAAGCTGGAAGTGGGGGCAGGGGATGAAGGAAGCCTCACAGCATAAGAAAAATAAGAAATGACAGTTTAATACCTTACAGTAAGGTCCATGTTAATTTCTATAATTTTGAAAACAGAAAGAAAACAACACACCAAAGCTACTCCCCTTCAACAACAGAGGTCAGGCTTTGAAAAACATCAAAACAGCCAAGATCCTACTTTCCTCTGTTTACCAGTATAAGGCAATAAAAGCATTCATTAGACCTTCAAAATACACAGCCACAGCCACTTTCTTCTGACAGAGGCAGCAACCAGGGACAGACATCTGCCTCATTCCCTGAAACTGCTTCCTGACCAGAGAGCAAACTAGTTAATGCTCAGATTTTACACATTATTTTTAGATCAAAGAAAGACAGTTGTGTGAGCCTTTCTGCAGTAGCTCCTTATCCTCCTCCTTAAATGTTTCAGTCTGAAATTCCATCAGAGCTCCCACGGCAAAGCCTCTAGGTCAGACAGAAACTCACATGCAAGTAACACTTTAAGAGGGTGGTATCAATGATTTGTAGCAGCTTCTTTTTGGATTTGATCGTGGGTGTTCCTTCCATGAGGGGTGAGGTACTGGACTGATGATCAGAATCATTTAGCTTCTTCACTAGCTGACTCCTTTTCTGCAGGACAACAAATGAAATTTTAACAGGAAAAGATGGATTTCTACAGCTCACCTCAGCAGATATAACCCACCATCTACAAAGACTAAATTAAGCCAATTTAATAACTTCTTTTAATCAACTGTTTCCCAAAGAATTTTATTGTCGCTAACTATTAATCACGAACTTTACAACCATATTCAGGTGTATCTATTTTTTTGCATATTTATAATTTTGAAAAATGTCCAGAGTCTTGAGAAAATTGTCAGAAGGAAATTCTGTTAACCTGAGCAGACATTTTAGAGAAGTCAGGAAACATTTGGGAAACAATTTAGATTTTGCACTACTAGGCATAAAATCTATCCTCCTTTAGCCACAAGCTTCCTTTTACTATACTAAGGATGGCAACCAAACAATTCAGGTTCCAGTTAAGACAAAACAAAGAGGGCAGGAACTTAAAAGGCCCATTAATTCCCCTTCCACCTTTTACTGCATGCCCTCAACCTATCTCCTGGACAGAGTGCCGTTAATAATAATCACTGAACAAAAACAAAAAAAATGAAGTGCTCAAGTTCTCTTCAGCAGGATACTAGAAATAAAATACTGGACTCATAGTCAGAACCACTCCATAAGGAAATTTTGTCCAAATCACACATGATGTTTTCCACGTATCTGTGGGGTATCTCATGTGTTCCACTTCCCCTGCTCTCTCAGGGGCTGCTGCCACATTTTCCAGCCATGAAGACAGCCCATTAAGGCTAGCATGACAGAGCTGGGCTAGGTGTACTGTTTCCAGCACATCAAAGCTAACAAAGCATGCTAGAACTGAGTAATCCTGCTCTAAAACCAGGTAGAGGAGCACTCACTTGAGTTAGGTAGTCTATCAGAGCTAAATGTGCCTTCTCCAGCTCTGCCCCAGAGAGCCCTGGCAGGGGGTTGGGATACTGTAGCTGTTTCCTGTAATCTGTGGGCAGGAGGTCAGGATACAGACCCATCACATGAGTGGGATCTATGCAAAAAATAACTGGTATTAGTAACCATTCATATTACTTTTGCAAACTTAGAGTAAGCTTATCTTTCTAACAGAGCAGTCTGCAGTCTACTTGTACATCCACAAGGTTCTAGAGTCTAAATAAAATTTGTTCATTAGAGAAAAGAAGCTAAAACAACACAAAAGAAGCAAGAGTAAAACATGTTTCGAAGTCCAAGCACAGGAATTTCCAACCTGCACTTGGCACACTTGGAGGACAAGCCATTATTACAATCTTACTGCTCTTCTTGCAGATTCCTAGCATTAACCTCTCTGACAGTAAGATGGGATTTCTAGGAACAAACAATGTTTTAAGAGTAGATTTACTGCACTTTTGAAACAAGAACTAAATAGTATCATCTGTAACTAATGCACACCTGTTTTCACACAACTTAAGCAAATTCAAAATTACTATCCTCTAATTCAAGCTCAAAATACTTTGAGTTCTCAGCCCTTGTCTTTCACTGTAGTTTTCCAAAGTAAGTATTATGTAAGCTTCATGAAAATAAACTATAGGTTTAAATGCACCTGAGAATTCTGCCACCAGTAAAAAGAATCTCAGTCTTAAGCACTATTCTATGGTACAGTTCAGTCTTCAAGCCCTAGTATGACCTAGTATCAGAGACTACCGTGACTTCCAAAAGCACAGGACAGCTACCTGGTTTCAGCATCTCGGCTAAACCAAGGGTTAAAGGTCCTCATCTGAGTTCAATGATTTTCCAAACCTACAGATGTTCCGTATTTTTCATTCCAAGCTACAAGTAGGCTTTTAGCAGCTGCTGAAACATTCAGCTTCAAAGGGTCTGGGCACATGCTGTGCATGCTTTAAATAGCCAAGAATACAAAGATATTCTGTAAAAAGGGTAAAGTCCTGATTTAACTTAATTTACTAAATGCAGTTTATTAAGTATTTAGTTGTACTTAATTGTGTAGTTAATTAAGTTATTAAGTAAGTAATCACCAGCTCAACCAAAAAAAATAACTAAATAGCTGCCCAGGCTATTTGCTGTTCACAGGGGACTGATCTGCACAAGATAGCACTGTTTTGAACTAAAACAAAACAGAAAACTAACAAAAAAACCTATAAAATAGCCAGTGAGCTTGACTTCATTCCTATTAACTGGAGTGATTCAATGCCAACCCAAGCATTTACCTGTACCAAGCTTTGCAAAAACTTGCATGGATTCATCAAAGCGCTTCTGGCAGAACAGGTTGAAGGCAAAGAGGTTCTTGATGTGGTGGATTTGTTGTCGCTTCTCACTATCTGAATCATCTTTCATTTCCTGCATAGAAATTAACAAACATTAAAAACTCTCAGAGTTTACAGGAGAGAGAAACACCCTGGAGAATTAAGAGGAGCATTATCCTGTGGAGAGAGTAGGACGAAAAAAGATAATCTCTCAAAGGGAACACTGCTGGTACCTGTCTATGCTTATTGTGTCACTGAGTAACCTGTAAGGTCTGAAAGCTACTTCTGGTTACCTCTGTACCTGCTCCATCACAGCAAACGTCTCTTCATTCATTTGCCTTTCCAAATTTTTTTTCAAGTCAGCAGTTCAAAATGCAATTAATTAAGGGGAGTTTCCAGAAACCAAAAAATTTTAACGCAGTAAATTGAATAGTATAATGAAACATACAGCATCAGTATCTCTAACAAATTATTGTTTCAGGAGTAATATTATGCAAAAAAAGTTCATGTGACAAAACTCACAACTCCAAAATACGCTGTTTACAAGCAGTCTACAGACTCTGTAGCCCAAATTATTTCAAATTCTAAAAGAAGGTAGCCAATCAAACAGCTAAGAGATAATCTTTCATATACAAGATGATTTCTCAAAATCTACACCACAACAGATCAATATGGAGTAATGACAGCACAAAACTAAAACTTCAGTTTAAACTAAGTCTAGAGTTTACCAGTTTGTGCAAAGTGGACAGTTGGGAGGTTATACTGACTGATTACTGGACTCATTATAGTTTACCAGATGGCAAACATCCCTTTGTATACTTTTGCACAATTGCATCCACTGCAAACTCAAGTTTTTGAGTACTTACTGCCAACTGCAAAGCCAACTCAAACTGCTTATCCTGCAGAAGCTGCTGGATCTGTGTGGCTATGGACACTGGAATGAGCCTCCAAACAAAGTGATTACTTGCCACATATATAATGTTTGTGCTGTAAACAAGACAAAAAATGTCAATTATTAGGATTCAGTGCTCAGAAAGAAGGAATACCCTATCCTAAAAGAATCCCAATCCAATAATAGAAACATGCATCAATGCAAGAGCAACTGGAGCATTACTGCAAAGCAGAAAGAAGACTATCTCCAGTGTCACAAATTCTTAAAGACCCTCAATTCTATCCTTTCCTCCTCAAGGTATGGCCTCCACCAATCTCCATAAAAACCCAACAGATTGCTTCAGTGCCACATCTTAAGGTGAGAGTCAGAAAAGCTGCTCTTCTCCCAGTTTTTCAGCGTGCTACATGCAGCCAGCCAGCCTGACAAGAATGGCAGTGAGTTGTATCAATACCCTCCAGAGGTGATGAAGCGCGGCCTCTGCAGCTCGATGCTCTGCACCAGCAGCCGGGGCTCAAAGGTGCGGATCTCCACGTACCTTGGCAGGACAGCAATGATGTAGGGAGGCTGGTGTTCTGCTCATGAAACAAGGGAAACGTTTCAGCTGATTGGTCTCAAGCATTCCTGGAAACAAGCTATGACTTAAGGCTTCTCTTCAATTTTTCATCCCCCTGAAATGTGCCCCTTTTACATACTCAAAACAAAACTCAGTGCCTGACACTGACAGCAATTTGCTCACAGAATACTATACCAAGCCTTTTGCTCATCATTCACCATAAGGAAATTGTGAGGCACCCAGATCTACAGTGCTTTAACACACTACCTTCCATTTCAGACCTTGTCCCTGTATAAAAGATATGGACTACACCTATTTTATGAGAGGGGCACACAGACCACAAGCAAAGAAGGCTAAGAAGCAAAAACAAACAAAACCTTCCCCCGAGTACAACTTAAAATACTGTAGAACCTGTCACACTCCAAATCCACCTGGTTTCACAATACTGCAAATATGATTTTATCACATACTCAAGAGTAAAGAATTAAATTTAAACAAAACCAAAAACAAACTGCTACTTCTCACCCATGGCTATAGGAATATCTGTCCAATTCAAGGCACATTTCTGAGTACAGACCCCTTCTTCATTAAGCACAACTGTTAGATCATCTTGGCCAACTGCAACTTTTCCATCTGCTACAGGAGCTACCAATGGTTCCAGCTGCTTCCCTGTGGGAAACAGTTCTTTGATGGATCCTTTTCCATCCACCTAGGATAATAAAGAAGATAAAAAGAAAAAAAGTGTTTTGCACAATAACCTTTTCTTCAAAGCTACATAAGACTAAAGCAAAAACCCCTAGAGGGATTTTGCAGTCCAGGATAAACAGTAACAGGACAAGTGCAAATTTTAAATTTCTGCATATCATAATTCATCCTGCTTATACATCATTCTGAAATAAAAAAATATTACTTTTATGTCTGAGGTGATGATAGTAGCTGAGCACCAGTTTATCAAATCCATTATACCACAGCAGCAAAAGTAGCTAAAGTCTCGAAACCCTTCATTTAGGCCAAAAGTTTTAACACTTTTATTCTGGCATGAGTGAGCACTGCCACATAAAAAAAACCAACTAACTAAAAGCCTAGAAACCTGCCTAGCCATTTTCCCCTGAGCACCTACACAACTACTCCTATCACTAGAATGGCAGGAATCAACATCTAGGAGAGCACTGCAGAAAAGCACCCCTTCTTTTGTGAGCAGCATCAGTTTCAAGTGACTGTAAAAATTACGCGTGGTTTTCCTTTTGACTACAGATCACTGTTGCCACCCATGTGCATACATGTACATGTATGGTGCACCTCATCTTCATCCTATTTTCCTGTAATATCAGCAGAAGCCAATTATAAAGGCAGAAAAAAGAATGAACTATAGCTGTAAATGAAGTCTAAGTGGAAACTGTAATAGTAAATTAACAGTAAGTTCAGAGGCTTTCAAACAATTACAGTTCAGCTAGAGAATGAAAAATGAAAGAATGGGTAAGCTTCGCTGTGTGCCAGATGAGTTATTCTTGGCCTCTTTGTCCTTTTAGAGCTAATCTCATTTCTTAATACATAAAATAAAATGCAAACTGAGCTTACACAGACTGTTGCCAAAACAAAATGTATCTTCCCCAATTCCTTTTTTCTGCAAGAGCTGCAAACACTGGTCTCAACAGCAACAAACAGAAAATTACTTCCTGACAAATATCCATTTAAAAGGACAGGCTTAAACTGCCCTTTCCAAAGCCACAAATAGCAGAAGTACCAGATGCTGTTTTCCATAAATCTGTAAGATAAATTCCTGAGCACAGGAGCAGCCTCCATAGTGTCTGCTGCTACCCAAATCTTCTTAAAACACTGTTACACAGCCCCGTCTCACCCGTATCAGGTAATAGTCCCTCTTGAAGCCTACACAGATGGAGTTTTCACACCATGCCATAGACTTGGGTACATCAGGTACACTGAAGTCCCCCTGAGGAAAACAAGTTAAACTGGTTGTTATGAAAAGCAAAAGTCAAATCTGGCAACACAGAGTGTAACAGGCTGCTCTCTTGTTGACACCATATTCCCCACCACCTGTGCCCAGCATCTACTGCTCAAGGAATGGCAATATTCAGCAAAAAGGCTAGACTCATATACAGTAAAGAGGTGTGCTCTGAGTTAAATGATCATTTTTTAGTATAAAATTTTCTAGTAGAGTATTGTAGCTGAAAAGGCTCTACCCATTTCAATTAGTTATTTTTTCTTATTCCAGTATTCACAACTGCAGCTCTCTACACTTGTCAGAAACTATCTTCTGACTTAGTGATATACTTAGAGTAGAAGTGACATACTTAGAGTAGAAGTGCACCTACTTCTATGTTTTTGCAAGGTATGCATGCTCATATATTTCACTTGACTTTCAAGTAATTAAAAGTGTACTACAACCAGAACATTAAAATACAGCACACAGCCCTCACTTTAACTTATGAAACTATAAATGCCATTAATTGGCATTGATTTCAAACATGTGTTTTCATTTCTCTGCTGTTCCATTGTTAAATTTCTGCAGAGCCAAAAATCAATGTTCTGAAAGTCAGCAATGGCATGAGTAGCATGGCAAGCAGTGAAGAGCAATGACCCTCCCTGCTGAGACATGCTGGCTACAGAAAGAACACAACTCACCTGGAGCTCATGGAACTCCCTGTCCTTCCAGAAATAAAGCTGGAGCTTCTTACGCACTGCCACACACATCCTCAGCACCTCCTCCCCTGTATCTGATTGCTGTGAAAACAGACAGACCTAACTCACAGGCACTCACAGGGAGCCAAGTAAGGTAAGACAAGACCAAAAGACGCCTCTGCTAGAAGAAAAGCTGTCCACTGAAGAGCAGCCTTGTTCATCCATAACAGAAGAGAACTCCCCAAAAAAGGAAGTATGGGAGAGGGAGGAAGGAGGCAGGGGAGGTGGCAGGATACTTAAAAACTAACTTTGACAGGGACTGTGACATCAAGGAAATCCAAAAAAACTAAGAGAGCACAAAAGGCATACACACACACACAAACAGAGGATAAGTAGAGAGCTATCAGTTCAACCCTGAAACGAGGATAAATAGCTGGAACTCTATGCAGTATAGGAGAGATGAGGATATGGAACACAAAGAATGTGTTATACTAACAGATAAAACCATTAATAATCTAATATTCTAACCTGTTGGAAACGTTTCTTGACAAGAAATACTAGGAAAGCTAAGTGCCTGGACATACAAACAACAAGCCACTTTGCAATGACCAGACGTAAAGGTGCTTTGAAAGACATTCATTTTCATGTCTAGAAAACCCTAAGCACTTCCTAGAAAATATTTAACATTAAGCTCCCATGGGGCAAAAATGCAAAAAATTATAAAGGGCACTAAACCATCTCTTCTGATTATGAAAAAGATGTCTGAATGATATGGGCAGGCTAAGAAACTCACTTGACTAGAAATGGCTCACTCAATGAACCAGAGCAAATGAACAGAGGACTGCTACACCCTACAGAACCATTTTAGGGCTTCAATCTACCACAACTGCTCTAGGAGTCCTTGAGCCAATAAAGAGAAACAAAAAATTTTAAAAAACCCATATAGAATTGCTTGCAGAAGGAAACCACAATGAGCTAGTGCACTGGCAATGCAAGGAAAGGAAATGGCTTTTATATTAAGGGGACCTTTCAAAAAAGAAGAGTCAAAGTTAGCATAGGACAAAAATGCTTTGAAGTCTTGTATCAAAATTTCTGTATCAAAAGCTGCAATCACAACATGCACAGGAAAATACCTTGTGAAGCGGAGTAAGAAAAATAATTTAAACTATTGCCTTAAGCAAATGCAGTAGGTACTAATTTTAAAAAGCACTAGTACCCAAGAAATTTTCATCTAACACAAAATAACAAACCTAATCCATACAGCAACATGAAAGATGAATCTTAATTACAAACAGTAAAGACATCTGTGCAGCTGTATTCCTCCCCTTACCTGGAGATCACAAGTGAAGAGAGATGCACCTTTTGCCTTTGAAATTGTGGTGATTTGTTGAAATGTCAACAGGTCATGGACGTAAATGTTATTTTCTGTTTCAAACAAAACTCCAATTATTATTTAATATTTTAATACATGTAGAGGTGTTGCTAATTCAAGCAAGTTACCGTATTTTATGTTCATATAAAAAAGAACTTGTGAAACTAAGAGCTGCAAGAAAGGAAAAGAAGTGTTTTCCCAAAAGCTGAAAAATGCTAAGACACATACAAATACAATAAATGCAGCAAAGAAGACTAACAGCAGCATTGGTAAAACTACAGGAAGGTACTGCTAACCAAGCAGGGGAAGGCAGAGTGGAAGGGACAGCAAGCAGGCCAGAACAGAGCAAGCTCAAGAATGGAAAATTGCATGACAAAGATCATTCTGAACTGGCTCCTGAAATTAGTGGAAAATGAACAGCTGAAAATGTAGGGTACTATTTTGGCATGTACAAGGATGCAAGCAGCAGAAATCTACAAATACTGGAGCTGGAAGACTTGGGACTTGGAGATCATAAAGAAGTGAGTAGTAATATAAGCAAAAAAACACACTAGAAGATCCGAAGTTAAAGAAAGCCAGAGCCAAGCAAACTTAAATCTTCCACAAGACACAAGAAGACCACATCTGAATATAAAGTGAATTTGGTGCAAGACATCAGTGATAAGTTTGATACATCCAGCAAATTTAGTCAGAAGTTTCAGTGCCTATCCCACAGTGCACACAGATTCACATGCGTGCATATACATGTACATACAGGGGCCAACACAAACTGTATTTTACACAGACACTTTAGAGCATGCACCTACTTCTTCATTCCTAATCACAAATCAGCATTAATGCTTTGTTCTCCCAGCTGGCAAAGCTGCTTCTCAATCTATGCTGCTTAATGCTTCCTCTGCAAAATGCAAAGCTTAGCTCTACACAATGACTTCTCAGCAACCAGACTACTATGCTGGTGTATGGAAAGGGTGCCACATTCAGACAAGTAACTGCATCTAGAAGAACTCATTAAATATAAAATTAAATATAAACCACTTTTCTTCACTTACCTAATAGACTGACCAAAATTTTAAATTGAGAAACAACATGGATCTGAAAGGGAGAATGCTGTTAGTGACTCCATTCATAAACTAAAACTCTCAATAAGGATTGATTATAGATAGTCTAAGAAAATCTCAAAATAATAAGAAAGGCAGTTTTCCATGAGCAAGCTTCCTTCAGCTATTGCAACTCTTTTCAATTACACTGAAAAAGGTTTTCAGTGTAACTTTTCACAAGCTGGCATTTGCAACCTAAGCTGATTGAAAAAGTTTTAACATTGTTATGTTACTAGTACAAAAATACTTCTAAAGCATACACAGAGCGTTGCATCCTGAGAGAGGATCCATAATCTTTAAGATGTTTTTCCTGGAATCAATATAATCATTCAGAGGAAATTCTCAAAAAAAAAAAAAAAAGAAAATGGCAGCAAGACTGGTAGTTATTTTATTTCTACATTTCAAGTAAGTGGAATTACATTCACATTCCTATAGAATGTCATCTGAGAGTCAAATAATACATTACAGTCTGTTGATGTATTACCATCATCTCTACAAATATTCATAGAACAATTGAAGATCTATTGCTAACAAAAGCCCAAAATAAACCTGCAAGTTCCAATTCTTCAGTTCCTGCTTTAGCAATCAAACCAAGCCTATTCTGTTATGAGAAGAGTGGGCAAAACCATCTGGCTGTTACACCTCTAAGAAAATCTTTAGCTTTGGGAAATTTTTTTGTTAAGCACAGTAGAGATTGCACATGTACATTTGATATTTCATTTATTGGCTGAAAACTGTTCCCACATCAAGAAGATGGTATTTCCTACCTGTTGAATCTTCTTTGAGAAGTTCTTGTTGGATTTCTCTAGTGTCACTTCAAACCTGTTGCAACCTATCAGAAAGATTGAAGAGGGTATGTAAACTGAAGTTGCTCATGACTCTGTGTGTCTTACACTAAGTAAATTACACATAATTATGAAAGCAAACTTGGCCACTTAACACTGGAAGAATGACACTTAAACACATCTGCATTTAAATGCATCACGGGTCTTCTACACAGTCAGGTGAAAATGTAAATTACACTTCTTGTACCCAGCTGAGGGCCTCAGCAGTAGTTACATTTCTGCCTTGCCCAAGTTTTACATTGCAAGCATTATATTTAAGTAATTTGAAACCCAGAGATACAAAAATATACAGAAAGATTTTATCCACACTACTCAAGTATCAGTAACTTAAATTGCTAGGATGCACATCACTGCAAAATAGACAAGGAATAAACACTACACCACAAGGGTTTTAAAGGAGTTTTAGGGAGAAAGACTTACAGACACTTTCTGATGACATAACCTCTCCTGCCATTGATGCAAAAAAGGGGGAGAAATTTACCATGTGAGATAAGACACTAGCAACTCAAGACTAGCATATTCCAATTGGACAGACAACCTACAAGTTTCAGAAAAATCAAGCTGAATTCAGTCTCTAGAATCCAAGTAGCTACAAATATCCTTCCAAGAGCTGATGAACTTGGAAACTTACATTTGGTGTTTACTTTCCTGTGTCATGCTACAAAATACTACTGCATTCAAAAACATCAGATCCTACATAATAGTAGGTAATGTGAAATACAAACATCTTTAGAGAAAATCAATTTTAACTAAAGCAAAAATAGAATAGTTCTATTTGTGGCATTCCTAGAACAGAGTATGAGCACTTAGGACTCTCAAAGAGGAAGGGAAAGGGTAAATACCTGACAAAACAAGTTAGTATTTATCCCTCTTCCCCATCCATGAATCTCATGGACCCAGTGAATGTATTTCCTCTCTCACTAATCCAGTCATTAAAGATAACACACATCAAAAGTCTGGCAACTCGTACACTGCATTGCTTTTACACATATTTGTACACTGTATTCATGAAAATTAAAGTTGCTTACTATATATTTAAACACAAAGAAACCTGAGCTAAAACATACTTCACATACATGGAATTCAATATAGGAAAAAAATCAGCAATTTTAACTTATGTTAAAATCACTACAGCTCTAAAAGTGCAGGAAATAAAAATAACAATCAACTTTTTTGGGCCATTCTTAAAATCAACTTACCTACATCTTTCTTGATCCTGTAAAGCAGAAGATGCCCTTGTTTTGTACCAACAAGAAGCCATTCCTCTACAAGGACAGGAGAAAAAGAGTCTAATTAGTTCAACAAAATTTACCCTTCACAACTGTGCTAGTTTTTGCTGGGGTAGAGTTAATTTTCTTCACAGTGCCTATTATGGGGCTATGTTACATTCATCAGAACAATTGGAAACTTGCTTCAAACACCAAAAAAAATTTTCTGTAGTGACTACACAGGTCTCCTATCATCTCTCCAGTGGGAGTGCACAGAAGTAGCTTTAACTCTCAGGAGAGGATAGCCAAAGAGCAGGCAGCAAAACAGCATAAACAGCCTGGCCATCACATCCCACTGGATGCTTGTTTATGTCATACAGACATAAAGAAGCAACTCATTGCATCTTGTGTGCCATCAAAAGAGGCAATAAACGATTCTTCAGACATTATATTACCTCTCAGAGAGGAACTGTGTTACATAATGGGAAGTACTGTCAGAAAGAAAAACAAGTTTACGTGGGTTTGATTGTTAAGTTTTTTAAGTCAGGATTTTAAAATGCCTCTCTGAAATAGTCAGCTATGTTTGGAAGGAGAGTGTGGCAGCTTTGCTTAGGTTGGACAATCTAAGCTTAGCTTTGCTTTGGTCGGACAACCAAGAATCATTCAAGATTCATAAAGGAGGGCCTTTTTATACAAACTCTAAGGCACAGTTTCAGACTCATCCTCTTTGCAGCACTTATACCATACAAAAAGCATAAAATCTTTACAGGCTCATGAAATATGACTGAATTTCTTCCTCACTGAATATCATACAGGAAAGCAGCATACACGGATATTTCCTTCTACATCTAGTACTTCCTCATCAACAAACGAATTTGCATTTTAATAAAATTTTATTTCCTGCAAGGTCTTTCTTCTACTACTTGGTAGAAATATTGAAGAGACAGAATTACACATCTTTCTTACAAAACCATACTACTATAAGTCTGTATATTTAGGAGTTTTTTTCCTAGTTCAGCAAAATAAACACATTCAAAGAGAGAAAAATAGAAAAGCTGTAATGCAGGAATAAACTACCTTCACATCCTCTCCAGTACATAACTCCATCATAAACCTCCATGAATAACAGGAGTATTATCATTCAGGATGTAATTCTTAAAACAACTAATCAGGGTCACAATTCCATAGAGTGTGGAGGTTTTTAAATTGTCGACTTTGCATGATGGTGCTGATTTTACATCCGATGGCACCTGGTCACAGCTTTGAAAAGCCTTATCAAGCCTAAACATTAGGACAGCTGGTGCAGTCACCTGACCAAAATCTTGACTCTCAAGTATGCCCAAAAATAAAACCCACAATTATATATCACTAACACGTGCAAACGTATTCGAAATCTAAGACTTCAATACGCCACCGGCCCTCCAAATCAAGTTTAAGTCACAACACAAGGAATGCTTTTTTAGCAATAAAGTAGGCGGCCCAAGGTTACAGCCCCGGGAGTCCAGGCAGCCTCCCCAAAGCCGGGCTGCGGCCGGGCGGGCAGGGCAAGGCAGCGGGGCCCGCGACCGCCGCCGCTCCCGGGAGCGGAGCTCGGCACCGCCGGGACTGGGGAGAGGCTCCGGCGCCCCGGCACGGCCGGCTCGGTCCGGGGGGCGGCAGGGCCGCGGCCACTCAGGGTGCCGCCGGCCGGGCCGGGCGCTGCCACCCCCGGCCGGGGGCGGGACAGGGCAGGGCAGGGCAGGGCAGGGCAGGGCATGGTGCGGCAGCCGCACGAACGCTGCCGGGACGGAGGAGCGGAGCGGCTCGGGCTGCGGCGCGGCCCCTCCGGCTCACCCCAGGCCGCCAGGCAGTCGATCTGCAGCGGCAGCTTCTCCAGGATCGGCACATGCTCGAAGGCGTCGTGCATGGCGGCGGCTCCTCCGGCCCCGGCTGCCGCCCGGCCCAGGCACAGGCGGCACCGGCGGGAGCGGCCCCGACGGAAGCGCCCCCGCGGCTCCCGCCCCTTCCGGCAGCGCCCGCCCGGCGCCGCTTCCGCACCGCGTCTCCGCCCGCGCCGGCACCGCCCCGCTTGTCCCGGCACCGCCCCGCCCGCCGCGCTCAGCCCGCCCAGATTGTGCCTCCGGCGCCCCGCGGACTCCTCAAGGGTGCTGGCACGGTCCGGGGGCGTTCCACCAGGAACGGCGCCCTGTCCCAGCCCCAAAAACTGGGCTCTGCGCCGGCATCAAACAGCCCGCCCCGGGGGCTCGGGCGCGAACGGGAAACGCGGGTCGGCACGGCATCGAGGGGACCCTGACATAAGCCTTATGCATCTTCATACAGCCCGAAATTGGACAGGCTGTAGGAAACTCTCGTCTTCCCAAAAGGTCACTACAGGAGGTGTCCGGTTGCTGCTGGCTACCACAAACCACAGAAAATAGGAAAGTCACCCGGGATGCAAAGGCAAAAATTGACCTGCATAACCAGATGAGAGCAGCGAGACATATCTTGCAAGCACATGTCTATTTTTTTGAGGTCATAAGTTTTGCTTTAATGAACTTATCCTATTAACTCGGCCAGTGGATATCAGTCTCCAGGAGGAAATCTTTCTTGTTAGTCTGCCCCTTCCAGAACTGGCCACGGTTGCATTTATGTTTGTCATGGAGAGGTGCAACGTTCACAATCACTGACCTAGAAACTAAACTAACTATACTGAACTCAAAAAGCACATGGTACTAAATTCTCCAAGCATCTTTACCAACAAAGACCACTTTTAGAAAACAGGGACTGAGGATGCTCTGTGCTGGAAGATCAAAGCACAGGAATGGGAGAACAAGCATGGCATTGTTGCATCCAACTTCTTTCCTCCTCAGGAATGAACATTTTGTGCTAAAGCACAAAACTGTGCTGTCAGATCCCTCCTCACAGACAGCAAAACTCCAGATTTCCAAAGGTGCTATGGCTCAGGCATATAGCTGTCTTTTTTAACCAAGGATCCCACAAAAGGAAAAGGGACATGGCACCAATTAGTGAAAGGAAATGTTTCAGTAACACTGGCTAATAATGCCTTCCATGTTTGTAGTCCAGAGAGCAAATTATTTGTGAAGCATTACCCTCTTCAGACTTTACAATGTAGCATACAACATAAAATGCCATATACAGTGAACATGAGATAAATAAAGCCCACAAACTCACACACCCTACATCTGCAGAATAAGATAAACATAACCTTCCCTAGGTCTTATGATCCTGACTCAGTCTGTGCCTATCAAGCCTCTGGCATTTCTTTACCAGGGCATGTGATCTCTTACTCACTCTCTACTTACCTCCTTTGGAGTTCCTAACAGGGACATCTTGTCATCCTAACAAAAAGCTGGTCAACATCATCTTCTTTACTATGTTTCCAGTTTTCTGTACAGTATATGCTACAGATATATGCTACAATTCCAACAGCTACTTCTCACAAATAAACAAACAAATCTATACAGAACTAATTAGGAACAAGAACTCTTAAAACACTCGTGTCAGACATTTACTTTTTCTTATTACAAGCAGCTTCTTGAAAAACTCTTGCAGATGTCAGATCATTTCTCCCTCCAGCTCACCAAGCCTTCAGAACAGCTGGCATCGTCTGTTTTTGAAAGAAGGAGTATAAATTTGAATTGTCTTCCCTGACTACATAATTAAAGGTAACAACCCGCAGGATTTCTGGTTTCAAGCATTCTAGCAAGCTAGCTCACCGAAGCTTTCCCAAGTTTTTCCAAGTCAGGGAGCCAACACGTCTTTGGGAGGAAGATCAGGTTTCAGAAGAGGCAAAGATCTGTATAAGGACATCCAACATACCTGACCGAACATGCTACTGAGGGAGAGGCCACGCTGCTGCAGCCTGCAAACACAGCCTCTGCTCCTCACCCACAGCTCATGCGCTGCCATCTCTCCTGCAATGCCAGTGCCACAGCCCACACAAGGCTGTGGGAGCTGGGTTATCACACAGCTGCTCATAAAGACTGCAGTCACGTCCCAGCACACCACTGCTCTAGGCTAGGAAGCAGATGCTACTTTCCAACACAGAAACTCAGCTAAAAACTGAAAAACCAAAAATTGCTAACTAAGGGGTCAACAAGCTCCCTTGGAATTCAGGACAACTTTAAATACTGCTAGACATGAGTAAAAGAATGAAAAGGGTAGAAGGCTGCAAGGACTGCCTAAGACCCCAGAAGTCAAAGGCTGAAAGCACCACACTGCTACTATGTTTATTTTAGCATTTAAATTAATAATTGAACCATTAATACAATTAGGGAAACTAGTTGGTTCTTTTACTTTTTTTTTTTCAGAAATTCATTATTTGCCCTATCTCCATTAGCTTTTCAAATGACAGACTTCATTTTCAATCTTAAAAAGAACTGTTGAGAATAACTGCATTATATATACCATGGACTAAAGAGCTAAAATCAGGCAGCTTTGTGAAGATGGTAACACTTCATGTGAGAGAAGAGGGAGTAAGAAACTGGAAGGACACAAGGTTAGCCTTTCTACTCTTTGCCTAGCCTTTATTAAATAGTACATACAAACTTTTGTGCTTCCAGTAGAGAACATTTTTATCTATTTGTTTCAAAAAACCCAAACAATCCAAACCAATAGGATTTCTTTAAAAATGAAAACAAAACAAAAAAAAATTAAATAGCAAGCTTTGTGTAGCTTTATTTCACAAAAATTTCCTCTCCCCAAAAGGACATGGAGGTTATATTTTTTTCATCTATATCAATTAAGCATAGCAAATTAGAAGTGTCTTCTAATTAAAGATTCTATCTGTGGCCTGAAGAGGATGGCAGAAGAGCTCCAGCAACTCTTGCAGAAGCAGTGAGGTGCTATAGCCACACCTTTATTTCTCTGCCCATGTGCCCTTCCCACAACACAGCTAGCAGAAGATGCTGTGTCCTTGTGCCTCAGCTACTGTAAAGTGCCATGTTCAGCTTGAATTGCTGACAAAGAGGAGCTACAGCTAAGCTACCAGACCTTACAGTGGAATGAATGAAGTACAGGCACGTGTTCACTTCTGCTGACATAGCTATGAGAAGAACCTGAAAACCTGCTCTATGCTCTATGCCGTTCCAGCAGCAGCCACATCTGCTTCCTAGATATCCAGCTGCTGCTTGCCTCCTAATCATCAGTTCTAAAGGTTATGAACCCAAATTAGAGCTTTTGTCACACAGTCCACAACAGGTTTCCATGAGGAAGTTATTGCAACTTCAGCTGTTGCAACCAAGCAAAAACCGGAACATTGTCCAAAAGCTCTTCTTCATTTAAAAAGGAGAAACAAAATGCAATTACATAGAACAGAAACCTGCAACTTTGACTGAAACACAGTGATCTCAGAGTACCTCTTGGCCACAGGGACCAGCTGGGACAGGAAAGCCCAGCATCAAATCACTTACAGAGGAAGGAATTCTAAACAGACACCAGGAACAGAACTATCCCAGCACTGTGGACTCCCCATAAATCCTCTTTCAAGTAAGGCAGGCAGTGCTCACCATCTTCTCATAGAAAAGTGCCAACTTCTTGGTGGGAGATGTTACACAGAAAGGGAGAAGAGTTCTGCTGAAACATCCAGTTAATGTCTGCTTAACATGTAGTCAAGCACTTGTGGAGCACTGCAGGAGTGGTTCTGGTGATGTTTGCTTTTGTTGTTTTATTTGTTGGGATATTTTTTTAAATTATATCATGCAACACATGAAAGGTAGGGGCAAATCGTTTTTCCAGGCATCCACCACATTGCCGGCAATGAGATGTGCCACAGCAGCAAGTGTTAGCTCTAGGCAGCTGCTACCTACAGGTCAATGGCATTTAAAATAGAAAATCTTTCATACACAGTGTTATGAATAAAATTGCACTTGATTTTGTTAAAAACTCATATTACCGTAACTTTTCCAAATATTCCCTTTCTGGCATCTTCATTTTCTTCATCAACAGGAGCTTCTCTCTAAAACTCTTTCATGCATGTTGAACACATGACATACAACAGCAGCTGTTATCTACCAGAAAATGGGTCTGTTGTTTCTTCAGTGCTTATTTCTATCTGTCCCCACCCTCCCCCCAAAAAGGTACAGGCAGTTCACCTCTAAGTGTCAATTGTAACATCAAAATATAAACTCCTCAAGCAGACATTAGGAATTTTAGTTTCACAGATTAAATATTTGAAAAGTTACAGAAGGTGCTGGAATAGTACACGTCAATTGCTTAAAAATCCAAACTTGCAGCAACTTTAAATTCAAATTTCCAAAAGGTTTATAATGTCCTTGTGAACTTCTTCCACAGCAAGACACCCTCCATGACATTAAAGCATCAAACTTTCAAGGCTGAGATCAAGAGACAAATCAGCAGGATGAACTTGCTCCACCAAGCAACTTTAAAAGAGGTGTCTCCACGTCCAAGAGCAAAAAGTTACTCCTTCATTCCATTTTGGACCTTTCAAAGTGGGTAATCATTCTTTCCTAGAAAATAAAATACCCAATCTTGTAATTTTCCCCAGTAGATTTACATTTTTCAGAACATGCACATTCACAACAAACAACACTCATATGCATTTTAAGTTAGGAGTCCAACTTACATACCAGATACACCACTCATTTTAGAACACATTTGTACTTTAAGAAGTTGTATCATGGTTGTTCCCACTATCCTTCCCCTCTTGTAGTATTTTACTGTTCTGTTGACTTGAGCAGTGTCCAGTTCTGATAAGCCAAGACCTTATCAACTGACTCATGACTCCCTGGCATGTTAGAAGGCTAATTTGAACTGAAGATTTCTTTACTGACCTCATCTGAATCCAGAAGAGCTGGAAGAGCCCTGCAGTGGGGGGAAAAAGAAGTTAAAATAATTAGAGCACATAGTAAGAGCATACTGACAACCATTTTCAACCTCACATTTTTAGGGCACAGAAAAGAAACAATCAAGACAGACCTTTCAATTTAAAAGAAATTAGAGAAAGACACACAAAAAAGAAAGAGCCCAAGGAGTATCCTCAATGACCTTCACAGTTTTTATTCTTTTTTATTATGCTTCTCATTAACAAGTGAACAATTTTCAAGTTGCCATGAAATAAGCTGCTTCACTCATACAGGAACACTGCTGAACTGCACTGAAGCCATTTACAATATGGGACCATATTATAAAAACATGTCCCAGAAGTCAAACAAGTTCCACTGGTACTTCAGCCTTTCCAGCTACAACAGATCTCCCATTTATTGGGATCTTGGCTCTTCGCAACCCTGATCACACTCTCAGAAACAGAAAAATCTGCAACAGATTACCTCAAAGTGCCCCCTCCTAGTTTATACCAGTCTAGTCCTTCTTTACTTAAGGAATCCTATCAGTCATCAAAAAATAAGTACTAGGACTGGGAAAACCAAATTCAATTGAGAAAATGCACTTTTCTTCTTCTTATAACTTCACCTAATTTCTTTTCTTTACCTAAGTTCAAGGAAAGTTTTGTACTTCAATCCAGACCCTCTGCCAAAATTACCTGTTCAAATTTGTGAATACACTGATCTATGAACTTCAGTTTTGTTTTGAAAAATGTAGACACAGGCACTGACACTTCTAGCATGTCTAAGTTATTAAAAGCAGAAGAGATATAGACAGTGTACATAGCTGACTGTATTACCACAAGCATAAAAATGACATCACATGTTCCAGATAAAGCTGAAAACTGGATTACATTAATCCATGGTTTACATTCAGCAAGATATTCAAAGGTCTTCTCAGAGCACTAGAAAAGGGGTTGTTTGTTCTTTGTTTTCTGGATTTATGGATATTGTTTTAACTTCAGTAAAATGCAGACCAGTCTATAGTTTCACATTCCAATTGACTATTCCTTAAGTCAGCCTGTGTGCAATCCCAGCAGACTCCATAAGAGGGCTCAGAGCCAGTGCCAGGCTGAACCCAACCCCTGCCCATGGAAATGCAGCATACAAGTGAAAAGGCATTCTGATGCCTTATTCCTGTGGGAAAGGAACCTGCCTTTATTTAGACTACAGAAATACTCACACATCTGTCACTGATGAAGGAACATTCTCCTCTACCCACTTCAGGTCATCCTCCTGCTACAAGTACAGAAATTAAACAGAAAACAAAAGTCAGTTTTTCCACAATGCTGTCACATATGCAAGACTTTTTCTTCTCAACCTACTTGACAAAAAAAAAAAAAGTATTTATAATGTCAGTTAAAAAATTAAATACAAACACACACAAAAAACCTCATTCAGTCTGATTTCTAGATTAAGAAAACACATTTCAAGGGGAAAAAAAGTAAAGAAAATCCCACCCACTTGCTGTGAACTCTGTAACAGTCCTCACCACCACCCCCTTGCAAAATAGAAAAGTTTAACTTTCTTCTTATCTATCCTCAGGTAAGTAGTATACAGCTGCAACCAACCCTTGAGAAAACAATGCTAATGACAAAAATATGATTGCTATTATAATGAATTCCTACAGGTACTTTCCACTTTTAAATTTATGCGTGAATTCTATGAAAAGATTTCAAGACATATTTTAGGACTCCTAGATGAATGTGAAAACATCTTGCTTATAAGCCACAAAGAAAAAATGCATGTCCCCCAAAGTATTTAGGTAGGTACATAAAAGTACACACATCATCCCATTCATGTAATGAATCACCAATCTAAAAACCAGAGGGCAATTTATTTAAACTATGCCTCAGTCTCCCTCTCAGACTGACAGATTTGTTAAAAAAATATATTAATCACTATCAGAATATTGTTTTATACAGTGCTATCTACACTGAATTGTGGAGACATTTCTGAAGAACACACTGAATTCTTATGTTCCCATCGTATTTACAGGAAATCTCATGAGAAACCTGTATTTACTTTCTTTTCAGCAGTACTGTGTTAATGACACTTTGGCTCACTCACAGTCCGAGGCAAACTAAAAAGTAAACAAAGAAGAGGTGAATCTTATATTCTTCGAAGTACAGAGGTCATACTCACAACTTTGTTTGCTTTTACATTGCCATTTGGTTCTTGCTTTGTACTTCTCATTTTCATTCCCTCTGAAGCCAAAAGAAGAAAAAAAATTAGGGTAACAATTTTAATTGTTCATCGACTGTACATGAAAGCGTTGAATGTTCATTCAGGATATTTCATCTGAGTCAAAGAGACAGAGTTAGACAAGCTAATGATTTAGACTGCTTCTCCTTTGAAAGGCTTGCAGTATTTTTTCCTGACAGGTGGAGTATGCAATTTTTCCTGAAATTTACAATTTTACCTAGGAAATATAAATTTCTAGTCCTTTTATTTAAGCCAGACATCAGCAGCATAGGACTCAGACATAGTTCCCAGAGAGGCTGTGGAATCTTCACCCCAGAAAATACTCAAAAGCCATCTGGACACAGTCTAGGGGCAATGTGTTCTGGATGACCCTGCTAGAGCAGGGGGCTTGGACAGAATGACCTCCAGAGGTCCCTTCCAGCCTCAACCATTCTGAGACACAGGCAACTCCTGAAGTTTATTTTACTTATTGACTGCTCACCAGCCACTTGGTTGCCTTAAAAGCTGAGAAGCAATGTGGCCTGGCAGGCAGCCATATAGTGCTGGTTTGCCAAATGCACCAAATGGATTACACACTTCTCCTCAGCTCCTAAACAAGCTGAACAGCACTGATATATCCCAGCATAACTGATTTGTGGACAGACAGCAGTAGGCATGTAGCCCTACCTTTCACACAGCTTATAAAGAGAGGTGCTACAAAAGACAATTTCATGAATAAACATATTCACTCCTACATTTACACTGGACATTCCTATGCTAAGCCCTAATGTAGAGAATGAAGAAGATTTCACAGTTGAGAGAAGAGATAATAAATGAAAATTCTTAAACGGGATTTTAAAAGAGAACTGCACACTAAACCTCTGCCTAGCAACAATATCCAAGAGATCCTTGTCATCACAACTGGATTAAAACCTCAGACATGACATATTTAATCAAACAAAGCCCACTGGACATGGCAAAGCAACCACAGCAGTAGCAGTGTTTTCAGTGTCAACAGAAAATCCCAGAATTAAACAGGTGATGTAAATACTAAACATAAAGCCAGTGTTTCCTCTAGAATTCTGTGTATCAATGGCAATTTTTGCCAGAGAGCAAGACACCTTCCTCCACAGTACTGCCTTCAACACTGAAATTGATTGGAAAATTTTTTTTCTCTTACCAAAGCTTTCTTTTAACATTGGCTCTTTCTGCTCATCATCATCCTCCTCTTCTGACAGTGGTGAGAAAGCAAACCTATGTGAAAGAATAGTGAAAGAAGTGAAAGACTGAAAGCTACCTTAGTATTCCATCTCTTGTCTCCCAAGAGATCCATTACTCCAACACATACATGGCTTGATTATTCTGTGAATCTCAGTGATTATGTTTAGTGTCAGTCTTTAAAACAATGCTTAAGTTACTTCTTTTGGAATTAGCTGAGCACCATGACAGACTGGATTTTATGTATGTAACTTCTCTAGGTTTACCTTTCCCTACAAACACTGCTTAGTATCCTTATTGATCAGTGGACAGCAACTAAAAATCACCCACCAGTACTCTTTGAATAAACAACCATTCCTACAACCCAGGATTTTTAAAAAGAGGTAAGAAAAGCTGAACCTTTGGTTGTTAGCAGATGGTCTCCACAGAATCATGATGACAAAAAGGATCATTGAAAACAATAAACGCCAGATGGCATCATCCACCCATAGCTCTTGCCAGTCCTGTCAAGAAAACCAGCACAAATGAAAGATGTTGTGAAGCAAGAAATGTCATGTCCTCATCTCTTTCCAAGGATGAACTATAGGCATCTGTCAAAGAGGCTCATTACCCATAAAAGTGATACTTTTAGCCTGTGGTGCTTTGTGGCAGTATCTCACTGCCAAATATAAACTTATCAAGAGGCAGCAATTGTAGAAAACATTAAATATAAACTCACCGACTGACAGTCCACCAGCCTGAACTTCATGGTTGTCCAGATGATGAATACAATGGATGCTGCAATATTCAAACAAACAAGCTGCTTATTACTACAAAAGATGTCAATTCAAGTACCCAACTAACAGGACCGTGTTTCCCAAGCAAAGATCAAAGACCTCAAGTCTTGAAATCAAATTTAATAGTTTTGGAAAACAAGAGATGGATCTATTGCACTGACCTTAGAAATTTAGGCATAGACCAGTATATTTTACTCATGTTTCTTTACAGACATAAGGCATAAATCAAATACAGAGTATTTAACCAACTTCTAACTATTATTCATTATTCTTGTATCACTTTTATCTAGCATTCAAACCATGGTTTTATTATCACTTGACAAGTAAAGCTGACCCAACCCCTGAAGTAACTGAACAATCTGATCTGCTTGAATGCTTTAAGCATTCAGATCCTGACCCATAACAGTTCCAACACTCAAACCATGCTCTTACCACAGTTTTAGAAGAGACTTCCCTCCACTAAAGTATTTTAAGATGACCAAGAACCAGGTGCTGAAAGGAATGTCATCAGAGCCAATTTTCAAAAGGAATGTACTTTTTTGATTTTTTGTTTAAATAAAAAAGCACAGTCTTTAAACTTTTCTGCTCATTGTATTTATAGCAGAGAACCTGGAAGCACCGACAAATTTATTCTTGAAATTCAGTTGATCACATATAAATGGAAAAAGAAACTCAATCTGTATTCTTCCAGAATAGAGAGGGCATTATGCTACAAAACTAAGAATACAGTTTTTCTAAGAATCACTCTGATCTTCAGACATCTTAAAACCCCATCGCATACAGCAATATCACCATCTTGGCAAAAAGTATCTCTGTGAAGTTAACAGCATAAGATAATAATAAACTTTTGCCCCTGGCAGCTTGAAGTGGGACAAAAGTGCTGTGTTAGAGGAGCTGCATAGAACTACTGATCTTGTTAACATCAGGACTAATAATCCACTATCTGTGAAATATCAACATAACACTTGGCAAAGACCCACTTTTAGAAATGGGTCAAGTGTTAGAAATACCAAGAATTTCAAATGTACTTACACAAAGGCCACCAAACTTAAAATTTGCAAATCAAGCCCTATATGGAAATGAAAAGTGGTTTTATTTAACTGGAAAAAATTTCTGCTTACCTGCTACTGCCAAGATGAGTGTGTTGGTGAAGTGCCGATACAAAGAGAGTTTCACAACATTCCTTCGAAGTTTTAGCAGCTTCATTGTTTGAGTTAAGCTGATGAATATGTATGAAGAGTCAAGGAAAAGTCTCTGAAGGGACAAGCTAGTCACAAACTTAGGAGGATATAGACTTTATGATCAACATCTCTCTCAATCACACACTCTAACCCTCCAAAAAATTAGAGTATTCTCAGTAGAAGATTCATGCTATGACAAAGGTACCAGAGAGCAAAATCTGTCCTTTTCACGTTATTTAGTCATCTACACCTATAACTCTTGTCACACAAAGATGGTATCCAAACCTCTATTTTGGACTATGGCCTTTTCCCTCAGGAAAGAGTTGGCTGTGCTTTTGATAAATGAAAAGGAAAATATAAATCAGAAATTAGTTAAGATCTATCTAATGCATATGGGTGCCTTCACATTTTCTTTTGCTTTATTTCCACAGTGACAAAACAAGTGGTTAGGAGAGACATCATAAGGGAAAACTGTGGTTATCACAGCTGGGCACCCAGCTATTCACATTTTAAACAATTTTTGTGATTGACTTTAGCTAAGAACACTTTGGAGGGATTTTGCCATACACAAGTTCAGCATTTGATGTCAGTTGCTAAAGTCACACAAGATTATGGTTGCTTAAAATGAATACATCAAGACACCAAAAAATAAACACTGCCTCATTTTGTCACTTACTTCAAGACTAGTTCGAATTTTACAAAGACTTTTAGGTTTGATGCTGCTAAGCAACCTTCTCCCTAAAATATAAACTGACTCATTTCTTCAAAGGCTACTGCTCTGGTGCCATGACAGGCTACACTAGGACAAAATACTTTCATACTCAACAATGAGAGACTGATAACAGACAGACTATATTTTGGAATAGCTTTACACAGGCACATCCAGTTCAGCAAAAACAGCAGAGGCTTACCTGAATGCTCAATTATAGAACTTCTCTAACCTTTACCAGATGTACAAAAAAATATACACTTAGATCTTACTTTAAAAAAAAGTTCAGCCAAGAAAAGACTCAAAAAACAAATTCAAAAGAAAACACAACCCATCAAGTAAAACAGTGAAGGATATCCACCAGCACAGGGCAGTATCTAGGAAAGCCAGGGGAATAAAAGCCAAGGAGGCAAGATCATTCTGGGCCTGGAGACAAAGAGAGAGCCAATAAGAACAAACTGAAAAGAAAACAAAGTAGAGAAGTAAGAAGGGTCAGGCTGTTTTATGAGAAACCAACAATATCCCACCACAACACTTCCAAGTTTTGCTACAGAAACAGAGGGCTTGAACCAAGAGTTTAGTCCAATGTACAGAGAGGAACTGACAATACCACATTGTCAGTTCTCCACCAGCAAGGCAAGAAGCAGTTTTCCAGATTAAGTCAATCTAGCACTGTTAAAAGGAGTCTCTGCTGAGGCAATTGCTGTGATTAATTGCTCTGGCCATTTCCATTACAGAAAATTAGCAACCAGCTTGTTAGAGGTGTAGTAATTAAATCTTTTACACTATCCATGGATGAACTGAAAGCTCCACTGGCAACCATGAGTTTGACTAAAAAGGCAAAACTTGTCTTTGCATGTACATCATAAACTTACCAAAGTCCTAACAGAAACAAGCAAAACACCTTTTATTCCATTCAAGTACAAGACAGAAATAGTAAGCTATGAACAAGGTCACTTTTAAAAGGATATCCACAAAATAATACAGGCATCAATCATGGACAGGGCCAAGTTTGCTATCAGAGCCACAGTGTCATAGAAAAACTGGAAAAGTATCAAATATATGACAGGTTAATTTTATCCCAAAAACAGAATAACAGAAATCTACATCCCAAAGAGGCACTTAATGAATACAGTAGCATCACCACTCACAAACACTTCCCCAGGCACAGCCTCCAAAACTGGAGCAGTGGGAATTTGGTTTGGTTGTTGGGGAGGGCAAGTAGCTGTTCACACAAGTACATACAGCCAGTATGTCTGTGGCATATGGGAAAATTCAAGCAGTTATTACTGACCCCTGTGACTCTAAGAACACCTTCCATGCCAGAAAATAACAGATAAAGGGCTCCAGCCATAACTACTTTGTGAAGAGTCACTCCAAGGCGAGGTCTGTAGGAAACAAAGTGAAATTCAGATTAAGTGGAAACCAAAAAGTAAAGTCATGTCAACTTTATCTAAACATAAGGTATGAAGCATATGAATAAAAGGTCCTTGTAACAAGCCACATCTTGATCCAGCAATATTATTATGGTGCTTGAAACTTACTATTCATTTTGTCTCAGGTATGATGTGACTAAGGGAGAGACATGCAACAGTCCTGTTTTTTAGTTAACCTGTTTAGTTTTTTATGACCATTTCAATTAGTCTCATCCCAGTTCTTCACCAGTGTCCCCAGCAAACCCGCACTTGCCAAAAATTCCCACTGCCACCTAGCATCTGTTTATACCATTGAATACAGCTGGGGACAGACAAATGAGCCACAATCTTACTGAAGGAGATCCCCTCTCCTATCAATGGTTCTTGACCCTACCCCATTTATATACGCTTCCCCTCTCTCAGAAGGCAGGCCCATAAATTTCCCATTCCAAGTCAGTGGAGCATCTCAATAACGACTCAGAAAACCACCCTACAGTAGCACACAGAAGTAGATGGAAAGAAGAGCAATCACAGTATGGAACTGTCTCAGTTTACTAGAGAAGAAGTCTAGATCTTCAAAGCACTTAAATAAAGCACTTACTTTTAAACAAGCAAAGGGAGATGAATACTGCCCTGAAGTCTTAAAAACCAATAGTGAAAACCATTTAATAGATCACAAAAAACCTGTAACAGAATTACTTACTTGACTATCCCATATCCCAGGCTGACTATGATGACCAGAGTTCGAGCCAAGGAGCGCTTCACAGCAGAAAGAAGTTCTGCCAGTATTACTGCTCCTTGAACTACCAAAAGCAAAGAGGAGAAAGTTAGGGCATTAAAATGTAATTTCTGTTTCATTAACTACTGCATGCAATCATAGTATGAGAGCAGACATAAAAGTAGGCTACTGAAGTGCATAATCTTTTTATTATCTACATCTAGAGTTAGCTTTCAGAAAAGATAGGTCACTTAGCATTAAAAAAAAGCTACAGAAAAGTTTTACATCCAGCCTGGATACTCTTCCAAACAAGTCAACCAACAAAACTTTCTGCACCATGGGCATGGCAAATAAGCAAAGTCATAATGACATTTTACTTGCAGTGTTACATTTGTATGCATCCAGCCTGAAAACTCAAAACCAGAATAAGAGTTTCAGGTAAAGGGAATCTCTTAAGATGGATTATGAGGCTATGGGTTCAATACTAAGTTACCACAATGCTGTCAGGTTGAACAAGAAGTTTCACAGTATCTTTCCAAGGTCATTACCAATTGTGAGAAATTAATTACAAGCTACACTGAGCAAGTCCTATTTTAAACTTAAAACCAGCACTGCAGCAACAGAATGTAGCATTCTATATACTTAAGACACTACTCTCAGGAGTCAAAGAAAGCAACAGCATTTTAGCTTTAGAAGAACACAGAGCACCATGTTTCCAACATACAAAAATACAGAAACTCTAGTTCCCTGTTCTTTGTTTTGAAACAATCCTCAAGTAACCATATAGTTAACATGTATCTGCCACCCCAATTTAGCACAAGCCGTTAGTGCTATGCCCCTCAATTATCCTGCACAAGGCAGCTGCCACCTACCGGACTCGCCCGTGTAGCGGATGTTCTGGAACTCGGCATAGAAAACGGCTTTCTCAAGCATTCCCAAGAAGATAACAGCACCAATCCAGAACTGGATCCTCAGGAGATCCCGCCAGTAACAGGCTGACCACGCAAGCCACAGAACCCCGAAGAATACGTACACAATACACATCACCATGAAAAACTATTGCACAAAAAGAAGAAAGACATAGGAACTTTAGACCCAGAAAAATAATATCCTTGTTTCCATTCCATAGATGTAAGACAACTCTATTTTCTCCTCTAGTATAGCAACTTTGGAAGTATTTAAATAGACAAGCATTGTTTCATTTGTCTTCTCTGGACTCTTTAACAGTGAGAGTCTAATTTCTCACTACCAACAAAGGGAATGAGAGTAACTGAATTTCTGCGCAATTTCTCCCTTGAAGAATAGTCTGGCAATTTTTTCTAAGGAAAATACATGCTACTAGATTCCAAAAAGGTAAGAATTCAAGCAAATCATCAAGTACTAGAAACACTATTTGTTCTCATGTGTTGTTCTATTAATAACTTCATCATACATTTACAGTACTCTGCAAATAAACACACAGACCACCTTTAGACACCATTCCACAGAACAGAGATGAGCAACCAATGCTTGTATGCCCTGTGTTCAAATAATTTGACAACTTTTCTCAAAAGCTGATTTCCAGCAAACTCAGCTTTTGACCAACTTTTAGGCCAGCAAAAAACCTGCAGCTGACAAAGAAATCCAGATATTCATTTAAATATTAAGATTTTGTGATTTTTGTTTGGTTCAGTGTTACTTGCTTCAGAAAAACTTTTTATGGTATGTCTCATACAGCAAACAATAAGCTTGACAATGTTACTCAATGCTGAATTTTCTAATCATACCAAAGACAGGCAAAAAGAGGAATTAGAAGAGAGTAAGACATTAAGTGAATAGCAGGAAGTAGTTAGCACAGGACAGTGCTTAATAATCAAGTAGTGTCCTCTTTCAGAAGTAAGATTTTTTTTTTTGGAAAACCAAGCACACACCTAATTTCTTAGCTGCACAATCCACCAAAACTTTCACAAACTGAAAACACCTTCCTTAGGAGAGTAGCTTACTGATCCTTACACATTTTCACACCTGACCAATCCATGCAGTTCAAATGCTAAGAATCTAGGCAAGACAGCTCACATGCAGACACTGTGTTGAGAAAACATATAGAGATACAGATTCTTTTCTGGTCCTGTCACATGGGATATTTTCACTGATGAATTACATTTCAATAGGGCTACTGGAGGCTTTTTGCTTCTCCAGGAAGTAAAATGTGCGTTTCAGAAATGCTGTCAGGCTCCACTATTGACAGGCTGCTCTTGCCAATAGAGTCAAGCTAGAGACTTACTTGTTATTGATCCCCAGCTAAAGTCTGTCTTCACTACATAAACATTTTAAGTTCCTTTATTGTTTAGCCTTCTGAACAGAAGAAACTAGAAACCAAGTCAATAACTCCTTTGAATAAAAAGGGGATTAGCTCTTTGTAGCTCAATTATGCTTTCACTGCTCAGCAGTGTTAAAGACCTCTTCATGGGGTGTAAAACAGCTGGTGGAGGAAGCGAGATTAAGCTATTAAAGAACAAAGAAAGCAGTGACAAATGAAAGGGTAGCTGCAAACAAAAGCACAGAATAGCAGATTTTCTAAGACATGAGCTAAGGAGAAAAACAGCACCAGTAAAACTTCTCACTTTAGAGCTAATAATACCGATAACTTCAGGAACAAAAAATTAACAACCATTAATTCAAACAATCCAGAGAAGGACAACATTGGCAGCACATGCAAGGAACAGAAATCTCTGTCTGTTTCCCCTACCCTGTACTCAGTACAAAAAAAAAAAAAAACCCCAACCAAACAAAAAAAGCCCATCAAACCAAAAAACACCCTTGGCTAAGTAACTTTTGCTCCTGAGAAACTAGCTCTGTGTTTCCAGAAGTATGACAGCAGTGTATTTAATTGACATTCAAATCAACTGACAATTTTATAGATCAAAGAAAAGCTGGTTTACTTACAATCATCAGAGGGTAGTCTGCAAGTGAAAGATACTCATACGGCCCCTTCAGTTCTACTGTCACTGTCAAAAGACAATCCAGTTACAAAATCAAACAAGAACCAAAAGGAGGAAGCCAGGACTTAATTGACTTTCTCTTAAGTGTAAAGAAATTCCACATCTTCACATGGCCTTTAAAATCTAACTTGCACTTTCATAAACCTAAGACTCATAACATACTCAGCCAAAAGCATGCAGCTTAAAATTACACATTCCATTACCAAGTAACTCATAGCAGTACTTAAAAGTAATTTTTGCTGGACATTCATGTATAACAGGAAAAATTCAGAAACACATGTAAGTTCACTTCTTAAGGGGATTTTTAAATTTCTCTGAAGTTTGAATAGGTTATCAATGCACTGTTAAATATAATACAATATCAAGGTGATAATTATGATCTTTATACTCTAAGTTTTGACTTATTAGTATATATCACTGTATTGGTCTGCACATTTCTGAAAAAAAAAACCAAGCCTCAAAATTGAAACGTTTGGGATGGACGTTTCCTGAGTTCTATCAGTAAACTGACAGAACAGTCTTAGGATCTTCAAGACAGAAGCAATCACCTCTTTTCTTAAATGAGCAGTAGTAATATTCTACCTATGTGAAGCGAAAGACAGTGTCTTATGAAATTGAACCATACAGTATATGCTAAGAGTTCCTTAGAATACTTTGACTGGGAATACATAAAATAGTGCTGTATTTTCAGTTTACTCTGTAAAGAGCTATCTTACTTGTAAAGAGCTTGTTCTGATATGAGGAAGGCGTTGTTCTCTCAGTTCTTTTAAGCCCGGCAGTAGAAACCTTTGCAGTTTTAAGTGCAATTTGCACAATAAATATATATGGCCCATCTCGCCAAGTTTTGATAACAGCATTCATTGCCTGAAAATAAAACAGCTCCACGTAAACAGTGCACAGTCAAGGAGACAAAGAAAAGACAGAAGTAGACTAGCCATATATGAGTGGTAGCTTCATGTAAATATAAATTTCATCTCTTCCAAGACCTAAAACTTGTTAATAATTATCTGATATGGGAATTTTAAAGGTACTTATTAGACATCGCACTTAAAATTTAGTTGTTTGATTCAAGAAGAATCCTCTAAGACCTGGGAGATGATCAGGACTTTTTTTGCAAATCTAACACTGGCTTACTGAAAAGTACTCAAAGGTACTGCAAAAACTACAAAGAATTCAAGAAAGCATCACACTTTTTTCACTACAGAAGCATTAGGACCACCACAGAGATTTCTGCTGAAATCAATTGCTTGGGAACTGCAGAGCTATAGAACTCATCTCCCTGGTGAAGGCTGAATTCTACAGCATAATACAGAAGTAGCTTAGCTGTAAAAGATTTCCATAGTAGTCATTTCCTATGGACACTACTACTACAGTCCCTGCAACAGCTCTCCTACCTGCAAAGTTCAAATCCTGGCAGTGAACTAACAGAGGAACCTTGTCCAGATAAATATTTGCACCATACATCAAATAAGAGGTATCTCTGAGTTCCAGCACACAGAACTGTTAACTCCAGAAGTGAAGAAGCTCTAGACCTCTCAGAAGCTGCACTATTTACTAAGAGCTTTAAAGTTAAAACTTAGACTATCTACATGTATGCCACTCCCATGACTACTGCAGAACTGCAACAAAGATTTTTTTTATAAAGGCCTCTCCAAGAGAAAATCAGTATTAAGAGCATGCATTTCTTTTAAGAAACCTCTTGACTGCAAGATGCAAAGCAAATAGAATATTATATATATTAAAAAAAAAGAGTTTATGCTAATATTCACAAAACACAAAACTCAGAAACACAGTAAACTTGAAAGAAAATGGATAAATTTATATACACAAATTTTGCCTTTAAAATGCCTTTTCTTGCTGCATTGATTCTTTACTTCGTAACTGCATGCATCTACTTATGTTTCAGCTTTACAATAAACGGCCCCTTATGTACACAAGGAGTAAAATACATTTTCTTTCTTGGCATCCAGGACATTAAAGTTGAAGTTGTTTTGAGAAATGTTCCTAGTAATATAATATATAATAAAAATACTATGAAGTAATCAACTTTTTAAGTATAACGTCTCTGAAAAAAAACTGACTGAAGACAAAACCAAATGTATTCTGTAAGAATTAGTCATCAAAGAAGATAATTTAAATTACTATTTTAAATTACAATGGAAAAAGAATTTTTTAATTTATACCATTGGTTTGAATTGTATCAGTTCTGTATTTCACTTACAGAAAAAGCAGTTACTCTGTTTTCTGTTTTTCCAGCACTACCTAGTTTCAAGCTAAAAAAATCCAGGTGTCAAAAAACCATAGAATATGCTCCCATCAAGTTCTTACACAAAGAAATATAAATTTTAAAAAAGCAAACAAAACCAAAATAAGACTGCTGAATTACAAGCCATGCCTAAATTCAGTATACATACAGTTTTATCTGTCACCATTGTGTCATTTCCTGCACTCTCCTTCTTATCTTTAAAGCCCTTAGGGAGAAAATAAAAAACACAGAAAAATGAGTAAGTAAGTATGCCAAAACTATCTCTTCCATGACTACACTGCATCCTTAGAAGGAAAGGAAAATTACCTCTTGTTTCTCAGGTGAGAGAGGCTTTGGACGAAAAAATTCTTTATAGAAAATCTGCAAGATATAAAAAAGGTAAATGATTTATAGACACTTTATAGGCACTTGAACATTTATAGGCAATTCACACATTAACATGACATTATCAGAAAAGCTTCCAATAAACTTCATTATTCTTTAAACAGCTGTATTGGAGAGCTTTCATTTTTCTAAATCAAAAAAATGTCCATTTATGCAAGAAGTCTTGAAGACTTAATGTTTTGTAATTTGAGAGTTACTTTTCCTCCCCTCAAATAACAGGTATCTAGTTTTAGAAACCAGACATGATAGTATGAAGTTAATTTTCTTTTTGAAACATGAATCAGTTTTGTATCCCCATCACATGACTGATTCACCACAAACAGATACAGGGTTTTGAGATTTCTGTCTTAATCTATGCAAAAGTAAGTCCCTGGATGAGCGAGTGCCTATTAGAGATCAAAATTTTTCTAACTCTCCTGAACTATGGTGACTCAAAATCTAGTGGAACTGCTACACCACAAGGATAAAGCTGAACATTTAGAGAAGAAATTGCTGTGAAACTTCAGAAATTAATGTCTGACAAGAATATATTGTTAAGAATTCCACAGACTTTCCAGAGGCATTGGAGGAAAACTTGAAGACTTTTAAAACCTTAAAGACTTTCACAAGCATGTTTAGTTAGGATGCCCAAATCCACATTACACAGGTGAACTCACAAGATCTCTTCTACAAAACCAAGTAAAAACAGTAAAAGCATGCATCATCAATTTTTTTCTTTCTTTTTGAAAACCTTTCAAGCCATCTTCACACATCAAAGGAATTAGAGGCATGCAAATAGATTACTAAAAGCCATATTTAGGCATTAGTCTTTTTTCTTAATTAAAAAACCCAAACAACCAAAAATGCCAAAAAGCAACCCACAACACTAGGTTCAATAGTTATGAGACATTTCCCAGTATTTTCTATCCATAATCTTTTGTCTACGTGAGGAATGACTGAACACAGATAGAACCCTCCGTAATGTGCCTTCAATTCTAAAGTATACCATTAAATAAAGACAGCAAATTACACTGGTATTATCATCAGTCTGCTGATATACAGCTGGTGTAGAGCTGATATCTGCACATTACTTCCCTGTGCTAATTTTGCATTGTCTCCTTGCCTTTACTTGATTTTTTTCCAACATATTCTAGCACTCCTATTCCGTGAGTGCTAAAGTAATTCGTTTTTCAACACTCATTTTCATTATTCGACTAATAAATGCCAGTCCTTTATTGATTCAAGTTTAGTGGGATTTTCACTCTGCTGCCACTTCTAATCAACTAGCAGTAGCCTCCTGTACATGAAACAAATTCAGAATACAAACCACAAACTAAAAGAACATTGATCTGTACATCACTTTTACAGGATTTGGTTGAGGTTTTCTCACTACCGTGAGCAAAACATTGAAGAGCAAGCCAGAAGTGAATGAAAATTAAGAACTCATCATCACAGCTTGGTTGTCATAAACAGATAAAAAGAAGTACCTCCCATCCTATAGTGGTACTTACATAGGATGCCAACAGATCTACCAGGAATTACCACCTTCTCTATATATTGTATAAGATAGCAGAGCAAACTCTGAGCTTTCTACCCATACCTGAGGCCTGAAGAGCTCAGAGCAGTTTGAAAAGAAGAGAGAAGAAGTGGCATAGTATCCTGACCAACCCGGATGCTCTTCAGCTGTAGTCCCAAAATAGTTATCTGCTTGTTCATCCTGCCAAACAGAGTAGAACTTGGGTGTTAGCATCAAGTATTTCAAATGGTTTATCTCAGTACACAGCTACAAGACCTGGAAAGATCTGTAGTTTCGCTCTGCACACACTCTTGAATCAAATTTAGTAGAATAAAGGCATCAAAACTACACAAGACTATAGAAATGATGGTATACAGGCTTTGAGTAAGAATTAAAACGTAGAGATGTAGCAGAAAAAATAAACTTCAGTCTGCACAAACAAACTCTGCATTATCATTTTAAAGAGTGAAGACTCAGTCCTGTGTTAGATTAGTAGTTACAACTGTCATAATTAATAATTTAAGTAAACATGGAAAACATTAACCATAGAAAGCACAACCATGTTCTACTACATTCGCTAGAAACATTATATATTTTGCACAAATTGCTAATGCTTGCCATGTGCATCCACAAAAAACAGAATTTAGACTTAACACGTAAATATTCAAATTTTTCTATTCACTGTCATTAAGCATTCCTGCAAATATTTTCAAATACCATAAACTCACTCATTTTAGAGTCACTGTATTCACTTAAGTTCCAAAATTAAAACAATTTTGACAAACACTTCCACCTGGCCTAAAACCCAAAAAAGTCAGCAATTGCAGCAAGTTGTGGATAATTTCAATTCTATTCCATAAATTTGTTATCTTCCAATGGAAGAATGTGTCTTTCAGGCCCAAATCACAACGTGGATGCAAGAGAGACATCTCTAACTCCCTCCTTCCAAAACCTGCTTACCTCTAAAAACCATAACCTATGTTTTCCCATGGAATTCTTACCCCAAAGTTGAAGACTTCATTGTAGCAGTCAGAGTATCTTAAGTACCAAGTCACATTGAAACCCTGGGAGGATTCACAAGCTTTTTCATCTCCTTCAACTAAGAAAACAAACAAACAAACAAAAAATCAAACATGAGATATGTAAGACACCATCTGCCTTCCAGGTTTCCAGGTTTCTCCTCCCATTCTGTGCAAAACCAACATAATTAAATTTTAAACATGAAACTGAAAGCAAAACAATAGAATATTTTCCTCAAGTAATTCATTACTGTTCAATGAAAGAAAGAAGCATGTGAACAGAATTCTATTATAGCATTATACAATTCTATTAAAGAGCTGAAGATCATTTGGAAACTTTTTGTTCTGAAGACAATCAAGGATGTTTCAGCAACTGCAAATACCAAATGAGGAGAACAGCAGTGACTCCAATACACAAAAAGGGCCTCCCTTTCAGAGACAGGAGCACATGTAACAGGCAGAGAAAGCTAGGAACAGGATAATACTAAGCCATTTCCACATACAATTTAAATATATCAATGCCATCACCAAGGAAATGAAGGTAAGATTGTGCCAGTTAACAACCAGCCTCCCAAAAAACACACAGGCTATCTACACACTGGCCCATGCTGTCAAAGCTGCAATGCTACCTAAAACAGCAGTAAGACAACTTTTCCTCTGTGATTTACTTTAGTAACAACATGCATGAAAAGTGAAACACAAGACTTTCTCCCTAGCCAGGAAAGGTTGTGTGGGGTTTTGCGTTTCAAATCTCATTCTTAAAGCCCAGTGAAGAGAATTTGACATTAAGAAGTCAAGCAGTGACTATTCAGAGTCTTGGAAGAGCCATTTAGATGATTACATTTGTGTTTCCCCAGTCAGCAAATGGCAAAACTCTTTTGAGTTAACAGATATTTGCAGTGGCTAAGAAGTTCCTACAACTTTACAGGCAACATTCATATCAGAGGATGCATCCACAACTTTCTTACATGTACACTTGTAAGGAATGTTTCCATACTGACCAGGCAGAAAAAGCAATTAGAAGGAAAACCCTGCCACCAGGTATTAATTGACTAATCCCACTTTATACCTCGTGAGTACTAAAACACATACAGCTAAAAACTCAGCAGCTGAGTTTCTAACACCAAAAAATTAAGCAAAATCACTGAGAAAAAGCACCTTCTGGTAAGCATGAAAACAAGGCATATATGTTCCACATTGCCCTAGATGTTACAGAAGGTACAACAAGGAAACTAAAGCACTGCAGTGATGTAAGCAGATGCCAAATTCTTTGATGACACAGGCTCTTCTGATAAAACTGACCAAATGAGGAGTATCTCAAAAAAAAGTGCTAGCAAAAAATAAGATTCAAACCCACCTTTTAAATACCTTTTGCTCTGTAAAAAATAAATAGGGAACTACATATTCAGCAGTAGCACCCAGAGAGGTAAAATAGGTCACTAGAACAATCTGCAATTTCTGCAAACATCAAAATTACAGAAACTTTAAAAAGGAAGTACTTCAAAAGTCAGAAAAAGTATCCATGGCATTTACTGAATTCAGCAATATGGAAATTTAAGTTCCTCAGCCTTTAAACAAAAGCCAGTAATATTCAACTTGAATGCAGTCTTTGTACTCATTTACAGAGAGCAGGATTTCTATCACGATCCTATACAAGAAACTAAATGCCTTCTAGAACAGCACATCAAAAAAGTAGATAAAAATAAATTCATTATTGACAACACTGCATGCCAGCAGCAATCTTCCCAGTCAGAAGCAGAAAGCATCAGACACCAATGTGCCAAAGAGATTAAAAAAAAAAAAAACCAAAACAAAAATCAAGAAGAGGGGAAAAAAAGGAGAAAAAGAGATGCAGGTGCTCAGGAAAACCATGAACAGGCCATGAGCAATCATGTTTGGCAAGAATGGTCATTTTGTCCTCACAAACATCACACAGCAGATGTAAGAGGCAACAGACAGGAAACAAAAAGAGAATAGTTTCCACACAAGCGTGGGCAGAAAAAAAAAAATCACAAAGTTGAAGCTTCCCAGCATCAGATGCAGTTTAAGTTTCATCTAGGCTGAAAAAATAAGTTCCCAGCCTTTGTTGCTTCCTCTTTCATTTTCCAAGTTCATGTCAATCTTTTAATCACACCAGTATGTAAAACAGGTGTCTTCACTAAAGAATTTTAAGGCTTAATGCCTGTTTAAAGGTTGACAGTACAGTGTAATTCAATTCTACATCAGGAGGCAGGGGGTCGAATTCTTACTGACAGATCTGCCCTACAACAAATAATTTCTTCCCATGCCTTAGCTCCATCTCTCTGTTTTTTTGGCACAAGTAGATTTACCACACACATCACTTCAGAGACCTGTATCTTAGATGCCATGTCACTACAATACACTATTTATATTAAACTTTAGACAAGAAAGCCTAAAACCTACCAAAGCACCAAAATGCCCTTTCAACCCCCACTCCTCTTCCCAAGCAGCAGACTTCTAATTTTGATCCTGCAGCTGTACACTTGCAATTGTCTCACTGCAAGATGCGAACCTCAGTGGGTCAGTTACACTTGTCAAGTGGGAAAGCCCTAACACAGAAGGGATGGACCTTCTCTAATAACTACTCAAATTCTACCCTCCTGTTTCAGATTCATGTGGGATCAAGAGAGGCACTTCAACAAAGTCTCCTTGAAAAACTGTCCCAAGAAGGGCATGTATTGGAAATTAAACCTGAAAAACCACAAGTACAGAGACTAAGCAGCCTTCCCTCATGGTAAAAACTGGTGCAAACAAGCACTTAAAGTGTTCAAAAAAGATTTCACACCTTTCTAAATCAACTAGTCACTTCTATAACATCTTATTGCCATCTAGATGCTGTCCTCATGTTCACAGGTAAGAGGGTATTTCACAGAAACTTTCCTTGGACCAGAAACCTACATAACCCATAGACCTGGCCAGATCAGTGAAGAGCAATACACAGAAGAAATCAGAAGGCTGCCAACATGTTTGTTCGACAGAACAAACTCGATGATCCCAATCACGCACTGGGATCAGGAGAAAACACCTCTCAGGAGAGCTCTGCTGCAGTGTGCAACATTCCCTCACAAAACCCAGAAGCACTCAGCTAAAAACGAACAAGGCTTCAAAAAACCTTGCCTTTTGTATTCCCATCAGTATACAAATAGCCCCTGTCCAGCTGGCACCAGATCTCCCAGACATTTAACAGTCTTAGATAGGAAAAGCACATCTCACAGCACAGTGCAGCACACCCCACACATGGTTACCCACTATATGAAACAAAGTGGTGCTCCCATTGCCCATCTTGCCCTCTCCACAAAGAGCATGAATAGAGCCATTCATTTCTGCTCCAATCTAAGCAGATCACAACTGGGAAGCTCCAAGGCTGTTAACAGACTCAACCATATCAGAGCTGTGGCTTTCATGCAGTGCTAGATTAGCTGTTTCTGGAGCCAGTGCAGTTAAACACTTTACAGTGTTTTGAGTTCCAACTGTTAAAAACAGGAGGGGTGTCAAAAAGCAGAGAGAGCCGGTTAATTCCTTGTAACCACTTACATCTCAGGAAAATGGTGGTGTTGCTGAAGAGAATCTTCCCAAAGCTAAACTTCTTCCCCTGCAAAGGCACAGAAGAGGAAGAGGTATTAGTGGGTTTGATGCCTTATCAGCCCTAAAATCACAAGCCAAACAAGTTAAAAATGATAAAAAGCAGTTACCATTAGTAGACAGTGCTCCAGGTGCACTTATGGTGGAGCGCACACATGATGTAGGGCTTCGGCACTTTTCTAAATTTAGCAAATTAGCATAATTGACAAGAATCCCCAATTAGAAGTACAGTAAATGAAGTAAATTCCCTCTTGGCTCGACCCCCTACTGAAGCCTCCTCCTTGCTTCTAGCCCCACGCTGTTTATCCCTAAATACGTGGGAAAGTGAAATGTCCTCAGTTCATTGAAGAAGCGAGATTATAGTAGGATTCCAGGAATGTGTTTGTCTAACCTAACAGGGTAGGAGAAGTACTGAAATTAGCTAATAAATTATATAAGTATACAGTAATAGTCTATGAGCTACTAACAGATGAAAAATACATAAAATGCAAAAATATATAAAATGGAAAAATCTCTTGGCATCAGGTTTAATGTCACTGAGCTTAAGTAAACATAATCTTCCATTTTGAGTTTTAAGTCAATACAGTAATGAAAGCAAATGTCAAATCTGGAGCCAGTCTTACTGGACTTTCCAGTCACGCTTCACCACCCTCCAACATACTCTTAAAGATGGTTTAAGAGACTTGGGGTTTTTTGATCCGCAAGCAGAATCAACTTCACGTTGACATCTGTTGAAATAATTACCATTTTCTTGCTGATGAGATGGTCTGGACCATCCAACAAAAAAAATTTTGTTCTAAGAACCAATAGGAGCATTCACTGTGATCCTTCAGTTTTGTTCCTGAGGCTCAAAAGCCTCACATAAAGTACATAGTACTCTTATTGCCTGATAAAGTCCGACCGAATTTGAGGCAAAACAGCTTTCCTCCATGCAAATTCAAGCAGGCAGGGTTTATGAGAAGTGCCGAAATTCCTTCACCTGCCCTAAGGCCCATACCTCTTTCGGTCCACCGCTGCAGCGGCCCAGCTTCCCCGAGGCCAGGCCCCGGCGCTGCCCGGCGGTGCGGGCCGCCAGCCCGGCCGCACGGGGGGCGCAGGGCGGCCTCTCCTGCACAGGGCCCACCGAGGCCGGGCACCAGCCGGGCAAGACACTCCCTCCTTCCCTACGAGCCTCACAGGGGCGGCTCTCCCTCCGCCGCCCATCGGATTATTTCCTGCACAAGCCTTCTCTCCCCTGCCGCCACCGCCGACCCGCCAAGAGGGCTCAAGCCCGGCCCGCACCAGCTCCGGGTCAGGCTCCACAGAGGCGCGGCCTGGGCGAGACGTCCCCGAGGGCAGCCGTGTCCCGCCCCAGGAGGACGCGCGGAGCAGCCACGGCCTCCCGCCCGCACACGTTCGCTCCGACCGCCGCTACACCGGCCGGCCCGGCGGCTCCGAGCCCGGCCCCGCTCCCCGCACTCACCAGGAGCACCGGGAGCCGCCATTTGGAGCGCTGCCCGGCGCCCGCCGTGCCCGCCAGCAGCAGCATCGCCAGCAGCCGCAGCAAGACGGCTCCGGGCCGCCGCCGCCCCCCGGAACGCGGCACCGCCACCATCCCGCCGTACGGAGGCCGCCGCGCTGGCCGCGCCTCTTCCGCTCCCCGCGGAGGGACGCGGCCGTCGTGGGCCGGCGAGAGCTGCGCTGGGCGGAGCCGCTCTCGGCTGGGCCCGGGCTGTCACCGCCCCCGGGTGTCACTCGCCGGCCCGGTCGCGTTTGGGGCCCGCGGTGTTCCCCGGCTGGCGCGGCGGGTCGCCACCCCTTCTCTCCGCGGGGGTTGCTCGGGGCAGCTCCGCCATGGAGGCGGGGACACCGGGGGGAGTCAGGTAACGCAGCCAGGGAGGCGCTCCTTGGCCGGCCCTCTCCTCGCTCCCGCTGGTGCCGGGGAGGCTCCACCGGTTTCTGCGGGGAGCGGCGGGGTCAGACCCGGCCCCATGCAGCGGCTCGGGGCTCGGGGTGGGCGTGCGGGGCCGTGCCGTGCTGTCCTCGCCGCCCTGCCCGGACACAGCCTTCCCGCGGCGGAGCGGAGCAGCGAGCGGAGCTACAGCGCCAGGGGTATTTCGGGCTGCACCGCGTTCATGCGCCAACAGAGGCACACGAACTTGGAGCAAAACCCGAAAGGACACACTTGTCTTCAATCAAAAATGGAAAGGGCTGAGTGATCTAAGTATACGGTCACTGTGAGATCTCAAATAATAATCGAGGACTTGTAATTGTGACTGAGCCTCAGTGGGTGCCGTCTGCATTTCCTATATTGCATGTATATAATTAATAAGTATTCCGTAAGCATCAATACTTTATCTGCCAGAACTAATACTTTATTCCCTTCCATCTGAGCCCGGCATAATCTGAGAAATACTTTGATAATAGACACTACTGGCAGCCCCATTTCTTTCAGGCAAGTAAAATATTTACTGTTATCTAATAAATCTAAAAGTTACTTCAAGCCTAAGATAACATAGAGCTGTCAGCGGGACCATCGGAAGCCTCCCTCCTTTGTCGGTCCCACTGAAGGTTGAAGAAAAGGGTGCAGTATTTCTTTTCTGCCAGTCCTCCCCATTTCTCCATTCTTATTACTGGAAAATAATAATTAACCGTAATGACTGCAGAGGGAGGTCTGGCTTCAAAATGCATAAGAATTCAGCTATGCTGAAATCCATCTCTGTTACTCATAGATTCAATAATTTCTCAAAATTTCAGGGTTCAAAAAGAAATGGTTCAGCATGAAACTAAATGTATAAGAAACTCTTCCCATATCTAAGCACAGTAGTTCAATGTCCATCACATTTTATGTTGGACCCGAGTTTCCTGCACTGTTTTTAATCCTGACCTCTCTTGAAAAGGATCCCCATCATTTGATCATTCAGCAGGTGTGTGATGGACACATCTGAATACTTCCTTTATCTGCTCTTTCTAGTGTCCAAGATGAGGCTGTGGACAAAAGCAACTTTAAGAAATGCAACCAGATTGCTTTTTACAGGTATGGAGAATTTTAGTGTAGTTATGCATTGACTTTTAATCACAGCAAGTCTGCTACTTTCAGGATTTATCTTCCAAAGGGGAGCATTCCACTTACCTATCAGCAAGCAATAATCAGCGGACTTTAAAACATGTAGTCTTACACCCAGAATGTCTTCTGTTAAAGTTCAAAACGATCAGTCCTCTCATCTGACAAAGGTCCAGCAATATTTTAATTTAAGTGCACTCAGATACAGATTGTACTCTTGACACTGATGTTTCTTGACCATCTGCAGTTCAAAGTAGTAGAAATCATTTGTCTGTGACAATAGCTGTGTGATTACAGTTCTGTTGAGCAAGTACCTTGCCCAGAATTCAGTGTCAAATCTAAATTCTAGCTCACTAGTCCCTTAAAGTTAACCTTGTGCTAAGTCATATTTCTCATCCCATTTCTAACTGTGCTCTCGACTTTTTTCTTCCCTTTGTTGTGTTCCTTCCTGTGCTGACTGAAAGAAATGATTGTCTATTGTTACACCAATTAGTCACTGACATATTTGGTTTATTAATGAAGGAGTTTGTCTTTAAGGTAGCATCCAAGACGCTTATCTTCAAATACTTCATAAAACCTGGGCTTGGCATGGAGAATTCTACAAACAGTTGAAAGAGCCTTTATTTCAGGATCTCTGACCTAAAAACATTATCAGGGCCAAAAGCTGTAGTCAAAACTCTGTAGTCATCAAATTTATCAAGAAACAATTTGCTTGGTGCATATTTGAAGGTTACACATTACAAACACACAGTATTTCATCACCCCAGAATGTAGAAGGTGTTCATTGTAAGTTACAGGGGTATATGACAGAAAATGAAAAAACAGATTATTCAACTGAAATTTCAGGGATAAATGAAAGAACAATAATGGAATTGTATAGCTAAGAACTGGACACTTGAGACTATTATTATTATAAAAAGCCATAGAGTGGTGATGGGTGAACCCCTGAACCCCTCTAACATCTCATTCATAAGCATTTAGGTGTGCTCAGAACTATATTCCTTCTTTTTCTTCTTGACTTAAAGTGCTAATAATTGTATTTCAAGCTCAATAAAAGCTCAATAAAAATGATTAAATAAACATTTCTAACAATATGATGTCCCTTTGTATGATATAAGCTACAAGAGCTGGGGAGACCAAAAATAATTTTCTGTCTTGACAGGCGTCAGAAACTTCTACGTCCTGGAAAATCCTTGTATCGAGTTTTGTTGGATTCAGTCACATTAAGTGATGAGAATGTCAAATTCCAAATCATTCACGAGGAGAATAAGGTGAGCTACCATAGAGGGTGCTTACAGAAAGAGCAGTGAATATTGTCAACACAACTAATAATATTTACAGGTTTTGAGATTCTTCAGTGGTAGATATTTGAGAGATAATGCAACCTATCAGCCTAAATATGTCCTTACTAATCAGCATTTAAGTTTTAAAAAATTAATGGCTGTATGAAAAAAGAGAGTTCTGAATAAAAGACTTTTTTCCTAAAAAATATTTTTAATTCAGAGTTTTCTCCACTATTTCAAAATAATAAGTTCTTTTTTTGTAATGCTAGATATCAGATGCTTGAAGATAAAGAGTTCACTTAAAAGGCATTGCTTCTTCAAAGGGGTGAAGTAGAGTTAACTGGTATATATTCATATGGATGATGAATTTTACTCTCAACAATGCTAAAGAACAATCAATCAGAAAGCAGGCATGTTGGTTTTTTTTTCCAGACAGTAAGTGTTTGGTGATGCTGTGTTAAAAATAAGTATTTTTTATCCTTATGAGTTTATCTGTTTGTTTGCTCACAGGTTCTTCTACAAGTAGAAATTTATGAAATAGAAGGCAATATTTTCAGACTTAAAATTGATGAGGCATCTCCTCTCAAAACAAGATACAAAGTTCCTGATGTTCTTATAAAGGAACCTACCGCCCAGAGGTAAGTGATGGGTGATTTAAGTGATGATGATTTAGCACCTCAATATCTTATAGAGCTTCCTCCTTTATATTACAGTACAGTTGTCTCTCTGCAATATAAAGTTCCTACAGGAAGAGAAAACAAAAATGCATGTGGTTTATTTACTTTCAAAAATTTATGTTAAATACTTAAGAAAGTATTTAAAAAATAGAGAAAGCTTTATCATACACACAAGAAAACTGAGCCTGTTTGACCCAATCAGAAAATAGCCTACTTGTTACAATGCAAAGTTTTTACCTAAGGCATTACCTGTTAATGTGAAAGGAGTGCAAGCTCTGGATAGTTTTCATGGCAGTTCTGTAGCCACTTTTTGCACTATGCAGTGAACCCTGAGCACAGCATGTATTTCTGGTCTTCTTTGGCTTGACAATAGCCTTAAGGTTTGTGTAATGTATGCAGATATTCTTAGCCATCTTCTGTATCTATTGTTATTTAGTTGCAGTGGATTTCATGTGCTGTTGATTGATATAAAGGTGTTGTTGCTTTTCATTTGCAAGACTGTTCATATCCCACAAGGAGGCAGGTATTTTGGTACTGTCAAGTGTTAATGAGGACTACAAACTTCAAGTCACAGCAAACCCCTTCCAAGTTGAGCTGCAGTCCAAGGGTGAGACTGTTATGAGTGTGAATTCCAATGGTTTGTTGTATTTTGAGCACCTACAACCACCTCCCAGTGACAGGTACAGCATTTGTCTATCACATCATTGTATATACTGGTTGTGCTGTAGCTGAAAATAAAGTATGGAATTACAATTTCTGAAAGCTCTTATGCACTGAAACGTGACTTCTCTTTTACTTCATTAGTACAGTAAATACTAGGGGAAGTTTTAACAAATACATTCTAGATCAATTAGCTGCAGACTGCTTTGATCCCTTGCAGTAGCCATTAACAATAAACTGATTATTTCTATGTATTTGTTTTCATTAGAAAACCTACAGCACAAAATGAGGAGGCAGCAAGTGATTCCTCTAAGGTAACCCATACTTACTGCAATTCAAGCAGGAATATTTTGTAAAAGAAAATTAAATTACATGTTCATTTTGCCCTATAGTATGTTCATAAATACAATCCAACCACCTTCAAAAAAGGACCTGGTATAACATTTTGAGATATTTTACAAATTCATAGTTGAAGGAAGGTTTATGTGTTTTACCACCTTGTAGAAGGCATCAGTCAGGTAGATTTAGCCCCAAAATTTTTTTCTATAGCCTTTTTATTACTAATTTATTTCTCTTTTGTTCTCTTATTTGAGCTGGAGTAGATGTGTAAAAGGGAGCTTTGTGGTGATATTTGTCATTTTCAAATTCCCTGTTCATTGCAAAGAGAGTTTCAAAAGAACAAGACCTTTTTTATAACAGTCAAAAAATATGTCTCCACATACATTCAGGCTTAATACAGAAATAAAATTCTCTCTTAAAATAGACCAGGTCCTGGCAGCACATAGAGGCACATAGCAGTTTTCCCAGGACGCTGAGTTGTGTCTGGGATATAATTTTAGCCCCCTGCAGAGCAGATGGCTGCTTACTCTGCTATCCTGTTGTAAATGGCAGGAGCTATGCTGCCTTCAGCATACTTATGTTTGAGCTCTGATTTCTGCCAGGGAAAGCACACAGCTGCAAGAGGCCACGTCCACTTACTGTGGGATGAATGTAGAAAAGAAAACTAGGGAAGATACTGCAAGAAGTGTAAATTCTATGACAATGAATTACAGGACACAAGGAGGTTAAAAGTATCAGTTACAGACACTCCAGAGTGTCTGAAGAGCTTTTTCTGTGTCTGACCTTTACTATTTGGGGGAGTGAGTTGGTTCTGTTTGTATGTGTTTTTTCTGTTTGGTTCTACCCATGCATTTCATAAATTTATTCAACATGAAGGAGAAACACATTTTTCACAGTGAGAATAATCACTCACTGGAACAACCTTCCCAGGGATTTGGCATAGTCCCATCATGGGAGTTTTTCAAGATTTGTTTGGACTGGCTGCTAAATAATCTCATCAAGGCTCCCTTTACCATTAAAGGCTGGACTATGTGATCTTTTGAGGTCCTTTTCAAACTGGGCTATTCTATCATTCTGTGATTCTGCCTAAGATCTCAAATAGTATTTTTATGCTGTAGCAGACTGCTTGTGTACAACATATGCACATCAGTTCTTCAGTGTAAATTCCTGGAGCTGAATCTGATTTGTGGTTTTGATTTATTTATATTAGCCATATGTGGCCAAAAAAAAAAAAAAGCAGTATAAATCTCATGTGAACAATCATGTTTTTCTTAAAACTACATGATGTGTGCAGTTTCATTTGCTAGGCTTGCCTATTTTTATTTGTACAGGAAAAACAAGAGGATCTAGATCTCTGGCAAGAGAAATTTGGCAGTTTCTTAGACATCAAAGCTCATGGTAAGTCTCAGTCTAGTTCTGAAAACAGCTTTACTGTTTTATATATAGCCATGTTCATTCATATTTCTGTCTGCTTTCTGTTTAGCTGCTTAATGTTTATCAATGTCCCACTTGTTCCTGCTTTTCAGTTGCCTTAACTTTGTTTTAATCAGAAATCAGTGATGGGTAACAATTTGACAAAAACTCTGCAAATATTCATTTGATCTGTGTTCAAGAGGGAACACATTAAATGTGACCCATTTCATCAATTCACTGTATACCATTTCTGACACAGCATTAACACTATCTGCATTGTCTGACTTTGCATGTATATATTGTATATAATACATTATTTCCTTTTCCTTTTTTTTTTTTGAGTATTAGTACATAACATTGACTTCACCTGTAGTTTATTCTCATGACATATCAGAAATCATGATATCTAAGCATTAATAATTGTCACAAAGAAACCCTTTTAAGTGTGGACTAAAAAAAGGAATACGGAGCAATCTTAAGTGATAAAGACAAAGGTTATAGACACATGAGAGCGGTAACTCAAATAAAATTTAAATTATAAATTGCCAAAATATAGGATGATCTGCTGTCCATCCCATTGTATTCTATATTAATTAAGTTGCTTGGCTTTGTCCATTACCATTATCATGCAGACTTTTGTAGTGATCAGCACTACCCAGCAACTGCAGTAGAAGGAGGGAAGTCTGAAAGCAATTTCTTTTGGTGGCAGAAACTTCCTCAGTTCACAGTCAAGACACAGAGGGCAGGAAGCTGTTGCTCTTGTTGTTCAGACTATTTCTCATGTCTTAGGCCAGCATCATGTTTTTATGTTTTCTGTGTCAGAGGAGTAAAGTCCATATGGTCAGATTCTGATCCTGAAGCCACTGCTTGTCAGTCTGCAGGATCTCTGGTTGCCTGCCAAAAGTTGCTCTGGATTCAGTAGTGTGACAGGATGATATCATTGGTGGGGACTCTTGTGCATGCTACTCCCCTGGCTGAGGCTGAAGAGAAGACCAGTGGGAAACAGACAATTCAGATCCTGAAGTTCGCTGTGCTGCAAAGTTTAGCTTTTAGGTAGGGGTAGAAACAGGACATAATTTTAAGCAGTTTCACTACCAAATAAAGAAGTGACCCGTGATTGCATGGATTGGGATTTTTTCTGGTAAAATGATTCATTTTATCTTGTTAAAAAGTTCAAAATCAAAATAAATATAATAAAATCTGTTTCAAACATTACCTCTACAGAACAGAAGTAATAATGGAAGTGAAGTTAAAAGGAAGCATGAAAGACTTAATTATTGAAACATTAAAACCTATTTTATTTTGGTTAATCCAGTTATGTTGCTCTGCTTTATTCCTTCCAGATAAGCCTAAGAACTCTGCATTCTCATAATTTAATATTATTTCCACAGGTCCTACTTCTGTAGGCATGGACTTCTCTTTACATGGATATGACCATGTTTATGGAATACCACAACACACAGAAACACTTCTTCTGAAAAACACCAGGTAAAGGTGTCAAGGCATCAGATTGCTAGTGAATGCAGTGTCTTTTTTTTGTTTGCTTTGTAAGAGAGAGCTATAACATAGTATTAATAATTTAACCCAGACAAGAGCTTGAGATATGTGTATTTTAGTTTAATATTTTAGTTAGTTGAATTGTAGCCCCTATCCATGTGGAGTAAGGCATTCTTCTTTCCCTAGTGTGCAGTTTCATGAATGGCCCTTTCTGTTCTCTCCCAATTTTCCATGCAGTTTTTTTCGGACTTCCAGGATTGGTCATGTTTCAGCAGAACTCATAAAAGAGCAATTCTATGGGAGGATGGGAGAGTTCAGAAATAATATTTTAGGATTTAAAGCAAACTCACAGTAGTCTCCCTGGCAGCAAAACTCTCATTTGCTTCAGATAGTGAGGACCAAAACAAATAAGCAATAATCTAAGCAGTCCACATTTCAGCTCTGGATGCTAAACAAAGGACTAGAACACAGAGCACTCACTGAGTATTCACCAGGTTTAGTGAGACAGCAATAGAATTAAAACTAGCCTAGTGCAAGATGCTTATGTGTAACAAACACATCTGTTTGTTTGTCCTAGTGATGGCGACGCCTACCGGCTTTATAATTTGGATATTTTCGGCCACAAGATACATGACAAAATAGGTATTTATGGTTCAGTACCCCTTCTCTTAGCACACAAGCCTAACAGAACTTCAGGGATCTTCTGGCTGAACTCTTCAGAAACACTGGTGGATATTAGTACAAAGGCAGTAGCTGAGGTGAGAGTTATTCAATTTCCTCAGAATTAAATTACAAAAGAAAACACTTCAGGACAAGGCCAACAGGAATTTAACACTATTGGAGATTTATCTTTTGCTCACTAATGAAGAATTGTCAGTCTCTTCCTCCTGTCCTCCCTATTGCTAAATTTGTTGTATTAAACTAAAAGAACAAAGAGATCACTCCTTTCAAGAGCCAAGTTACAGATTTTGTATCTTAACAGATCTACAGGAGGAGACAGAGAGAAAATACATAGAAAAAATCTACATGGATGTAGAAGGCAGAAAAAATGGTGGACAAAAATCTTGACATTCACTTGGATTTGAGAAATTTTTATGAGTGTTTAAATTGTTGGAATTGCCACAGATTTCTGCTTAGCAGGCTCATTCTTCTGTGGAATGCAATTGATCTTGAAGAAATATAAAATGTTCAGGAAAGGAACTCACTCTTGAAACACAAACATATAAATTCTGTTAAAATTGAAACAATGACAAGCAAATCTTGCTTTTCCAGCACTGCATTATGTGGTTAATTTTATTTTTTTTTATTAATGATATAGATATTACTCAAAGATCATACAGAAAATTCACAGTCATTAATTATGGAAATGCTTTAATATTTTGCCACTCATTACTCATTTTTTCTCATAACCTATTACTCTACTTTGTGTAAGTGGTATGCAAGGTAAAGAATTTGTGAAGGATTTATAAGAAACATTCAGTGTGTATTCCTACTACCTGCCAGGTATGTGGTGGTGAATTTTGTGTGTTTCCCTATTTGTTCCTTCATTGAATAGAAGTATGATAGAGAGAGAGATTTAGGTTTACCTTGTTTTCCTTCTAAGCACACTCCATCCAGATCTGCTGCAGAAACTGCTAAGCAGAGAGCAGTGCCTCTAACTGATGTTTGCTGGATGTCAGAAAGTGGGATCATTGATGTTTTCCTGCTGATGGGACCCACTGCGTTTGATATCTTCAAGCAGTTTGCACAACTGACAGGTACTAACTGACATAACTGGAGTCAGAATGGCACGCTTATCCAGGAGATTGTCTGAGGAACATGCTGTACCCAAGAATGCATCAATATTTACCTAGCCCATGGTGTGCAGGAGGCCAGTTGTTCCCAAACTGCAGTGTGTAGATCAAAGGCTCTTGCTTTGTGAAGACAGGCCTCTATCCTTGTTTTCCCTAGCATTCACAGTTGGTCAAACTTGCCTGTAATTGAGAAGCCAGCATAATCACTGCTATCTGAAACTGCACCCTTAGAGGAAGAGGTGAAACACAGGGGGATAGAACGGCCAGTCACAACACATGTATCACAAGTATCAAGACATGCCACCTTATAATGTGGAAAGACTGAATTTATTGAGAGTTTTATCTTCATTCATATATTCTTTCTAGGCACTCAAGCCTTGCCCCCACTTTTTTCTCTGGGCTACCATCAGTGCAGGTGGAATTACGAGGATGAACAAGATGTCAAGGCAGTGGATGCTGGCTTTGATGCACATGACATTCCTTATGATGTCATATGGCTGGATATAGAGCACACAGATGGCAAGAGGTATTTTACTTGGGACAAAAAGAAATTCCAGAACCCCAGAAAGATGCAAGAACATCTCAGGAAGAAAAAACGCAAGGTAAATAATATTGCAGGAAGAAAGAAAAGATTTCTCTGTAGTGTGAATCTACCCAATCTAGCTTTAAGCCTGGTACTTCAGATACTGGAATCAGGTGAACTACAGCACATTAAATTAGACTGTGTTGCCTTCTGGTGATGCTTCTAGCATGCAAGCTCCATTGTTTAATTCAGTTCCTTATACCATTTTATTATTTAGTAGCTTGTTCTGTATCCTGGCAATCCAGCTTAATTTGACCCTTGTGAAACTCCATCTTACAGAAGCAGCTCAGCACTGATGAACACAGCAGAAAATCTTTCTTTGTAACATGATCTTTCACCATTGATACTTTCTGTGGTTGTTTCAGCTTTTCTTTGTGTTTCTGTATTTCTGTTTTTACAGTTAAAATATTTTCCTTGGAATTATTGAGTTGTAGAATTGCTTAATGCTTGATCTTTGCCAAAAGTCAATGAACAGGGGATTGTTGTAACAGTATTCAAGTTTTATAGTCTCTCAAGTGGAGCTGTAGTACTTTCTCAGCTCTGCAGTAAAGCAGCAGAATGTAACTGCAAAACACAATACTCGTTGCTGTTGTATGATACACAAACTAAAACAAATTTAACTGTCTTAAGGCGTATGCTTTTAAGCAGGCACATGAACACAGAAGTCAGATATTTTCCCATTCACAGAGTACAGCAGTGAATTAAACAGGTTGTTTTTAGGGGTTGTGGTACTTGCTTTTATCTGAAACAATGTCTTTTGTCATTTATTTCAGATGGGTAAGTTCATGCACTCCTTGTAAATTCAGGTCCTGTACACATGTCTAACACAGTATATAAAAAACTGGTATCTGCTTTTTAAACTAGGGACACAGCTCTCTTTACCTGAGATGAAGTCATTCTCTGCCTTTTAGCAAAAGTGAACTCTTACTGTTTTATTAAGCACAGCTGATCTTAATTATGTGTTTTATTTTCTTACCCTGGCAGCTTGTGGTCATCGTAGATCCTCATATTAAGGTTGATCCCTCATATACCCTGTATGCACAGGCAAAAGAAAAGGGATATTTTGTGAAAGACAGGAATGGGCAAGATTTTGAGGGCATCTGTTGGCCAGGTAAAAAACACTGTGTCTTTATATTTTAAGCTGTTTATTTTTAAAATTTTGCAGAATAGTTTAATTGGTATGCATGGAAGCAAAATTGAATTCTTATATTCCTTTCAAATTCCTTTTATTCCTTGCAAATTCCTTGCATTTGTTGTAAATACTAATAATTATAATAAAAATTAAAAGTTAATATAATTTATAATACTGGGGGAGGGTTGGTCCTCCCCATCATGTCCCAATTGCCTCAGCTGTATAAATTGCCTCTCTTATATCGATTGGATGTGCAGCTAGTCTCAGTGCCTAGAACTAAAAGAGTTGGATTTATTGATGAGAACATCCATTCCTCTTCCCAGCTTGTCTTGGACACAGAAGTGCAGTCTGGTCCATTGCAGTGAGCACAGCTTATGTAGGCTGGATGAAATTTAGTGAACTCTGATCTGGAAGACTTTGATTCAAGAGTAACACAGTGATTTGACATATTATGTTTCATGAGAAGATCTCATTGCAGGGAGGCAGAGGAGGTTGTCTCCCTTCTTTACAGACAGGAAGCACACAGTCCTGGCAAATGAATGATAACGGGAAAAATCAAGGACATATTGCAACTTCTAGTAGCATGGTCGGATGTCGTTATTCAGCTTCTCAGTGACACTTTTCTGTTTCAGCTCAGAATACCAGTGGTGATGTCTTTCCCTGACTACTTGTTCACATGTGAACGTATTTGAAACTGCTAGCAGACATCCTTAAATGGTGCTTAGCTTCAGACCTCCTGAATCTAAGTGTGTTGACCTTCACAACATGGCAAAGGGTGTGCTGAATTCCAAGTCAGCCTGGAATTTGGTCTTGAGCTTTAATTTCAGAAAAAATAGCAACTACATTATTGCTGCCTATGGAAACCATTGTAGCTTTAGGCCATTGTATACAGGTGCAAAGACAATATTCTTAAAATCAGATAAATAATTGGGATCTCCAACATCTCCAGGTTCCTCTTGTTACCTGGATTTCACCAATCCTGAAGTGCGAAAATGGTACGCAGATCAATTTGCCTTCAAAACATACAAGGTTTGTATTTATTTGCTCTGATCTACATATCCCAGAAAGCCTGAAAAGGGAGAAGAGAGAAGATACTGTTTAAGCAAGTTGTTGGCCTTTGTAGCTCTATTATTGTGTATAGGAAAATACCTTGATAAGCTGAAGTACCACAAAAGGATTTTCTCCATGGACATATCTACACTGAGCCAGTGGGAACCCATATGCCACCAGTGAACACACACTCTTAGTTGCAGCAATATAAGGGACAAACTGCAGGCATTTTAAGAACCCATAAACTGAAACAGGTGCTGCTATTCCAGCCTTTACTACCATGATAGCACACAAGGAGTGATGTGGAAGTACACTCTCACACCTTAGTCACTTCATCCTGACCTTCCTGCCTAGTGCTGAAAGTGTCTGGGTGACCATTGCTGCGCACCTCCAGTTCCTCCCACCCTGCTTCAAAGTCCTAGTTTGCAGTAGAGTTGTTGAAATCACTTCCCTAGTAGACATACATAGTAGATATTTCCCATGCTGCTTTTTCTCTCCAGCTTTTACCTCTGGCCTTCTCTGATTTTTCCTAGTAGCTGTTTTATACTTCTCTTTTCCCTGCCTCTTTCCCTCACAAGAAAGCAGGAATAGCAAGTGCGTAACTGAGTTTTGTAAGAATTGCAAAGATCATGTGGCCTTGCAGGCTGCTACCCTGACTAGAAGGGCCTCTGAGAGGGATGAGATGACTAACTGAGGGCTTTCAAGTGACCTGAGAAGTGTAATTACCAAGTCTTGGTTTTGTGCCGCTGTTTCTACTCATACCCTAGACTGGCCCGACACCCACTTGAGATAAACACTCAAAATCACAGGATTGACTCTGTCATGACCTAATTGAAGCCCTGTGTCACAGGGATCCACTAATATCCTCTTTGTATGGAATGATATGAACGAGCCTTCGGTCTTCAAGGGGGCAGAACTAACAATGCAGAAAGATGCTGTGCACTACAACAACTGGGAGCATCGGGAAGTACACAACCTCTACGGATTCTACCAGGTGGAGTATCTGGAGACACAAACTGCAGTTATTCTCATGGAGTATGTGTGATGTGGTACTTCACACAGTAGTAGGTATTCTATAGCCTTCATCAAAGCCTGAAACTCTGCTGGATATTGCAATGTTTAAAATAAACTGTGATTCATCACAAGAAAATGTGACATCATTTGTGCCTTACTACCATAGTAATGTAAATTACATTGGTGTGACTACTGAATCTTTTCATGTCTTCTAATAAGAACATGTTATTTAATAATAGGTATTATTTCTGGGAACGGGATTGTCTTAGTTTTTCTGCCTTAGAAGGGCTAAAAAGACAGTGTAGAAAGTACCCTAATTAAAGAGTTTGTCTTCCTGACTTTTCTATTCATGACTTTCAGCAAATGGCAACTGCAGAAGGACTCATCAGACGTTCTTCAGGAAAAGAGAGACCTTTTGTCCTCACACGATCTTTCTTTGCTGGATCACAGAAGTATGGTCAGTAAGGATTAGCTGGATGCCTTCTTTGCTGCTTTATTATATTAAGTTATATTAAGGAATTCCAAAGTAGTTCATGATTATTCTTGTCTTCTTTCCTTAACTGCAAGCATAAACTGAGATATACATTCAATTTTCCTGCATAATCCTGAAACTGTGAATTTCCAGGGGCAGTGTGGACTGGAGACAACAAAGCAGAGTGGAGTTATTTGAAAATATCCATTCCAATGCTTCTTACTATCAACATGGCAGGGATTTCCTTCTGTGGAGGTAATGAGCTTCTCACTGTGCATAAATTGTGCCATCAAGTTTGTATTCCCAAGGTAGACTTCAACACAGACAGTGGAAAGCTTAACAGCCGTCTGCATTTCCAGGTGGTTTCACAGATTAGTCTGGTTTCAGAAGCCTGAAACCTGCCTCTCACCATCATGTCTCTCTCCACTAACTTTTGTGCAGTGTTTTTGTTCCATCTGGAGCAGCAGTCCTCGGGTAGTGTTCTGTTTACAGCATCACTGTGATAGTGCTCTGTCCCTGGGAAAATCACTCACTTAGCCTTCAAAACTTCTCTTCAGTTTGTTTTTTTTTCAAAGCATAAGTTGTTGCACTGGTGTTTTACACTTATTTGGACAAGCAGCTGCCCAACAGCTGAACAGAACAGTGAGCAAACTGTGAAATGCATGGATTTATACACTTGGGATGTTTGTTAGAGGAGAGCTTCACATTTTCCAGAGCAATCTCCAAAACTGTGTATTTTCATTTGTCTGCGCAATATCTAGCTGATGTGGGAGGGTTTATTGGAGATCCAGAGCCAGAGTTACTTGTTCGCTGGTATCAGGCGGGAGCCTACCAGCCGTTCTTCAGAGGTCACTCTAACATGGAGAGCAAACGGCGCGAACCGTGGCTCTTTGGGGAGAAGAGCACCCAGATCATCAGGAGAGCCATTAGAGAGCGCTACGTCCTCCTGCCCTACTTATACACTCTGTTCTATCGGGCACACACGGCAGCTGAACCCGTCATGAGGTAAGAGCATGAGCCAGCAGGCCTAGAGGGTACCTGCAGGAGCTTACTTGGAGAAGGGAGGTTAAATTACCACCTCTTAGTTTTGTAGTTACTTATTTGACTATTAAAAGGGAGAAAATCAGACAAAAGTTCTAATACTGAATTGTCTTTTCATGCATTCTGTGAGCTTTGTTAGGGCTTTCAGAGGAAAATTATGTCCTGAGTTTTTCCCCAAATGACACCTGGAACACACTAATTCAATAAACCCATTGCAGTCTTTGAAATTTTTAGAGTAGTTTGGGCTTCAAATTTTTCATCATGATAAAGACCTTCACATGGTAGTCCAACCAGTACATAAAACAGTGCTTAATAGACTGTGAACTTGACCTAGAAATGTAACTGCCATTTTGCCTCTCATGAAAATATTTGTTACTGCTTAACTGTTACTGTTATAAAATCTTATTTCATATTAATAGTTTTATCACTTTTTTCTGCAGTATTGCTTATAATGTTTCTTTTAGTAGAGAATTTAATAACCTAGAACAGAAATGAAATTACAAAATAAATTATTTGTTCTGTTGCTCTCTAACCTCTTAAAAGTGCACCTCTGTGGAACTGAATGCAGCACTTCTTTTGGAAAGAGATTAATGTCATTAATCTCCCTGATATAGATTATAATCTGGGTTTGTTTGTATTATAATCTGTGTTTGCGGTTGCCCTAGAACTGTTCTTTTGCTCACATTTGCCTTTATATTTTGTTATGCAGATACATCTTATATGTTTTAGAAACATAACAGTCTTTTTGATAAGGGTTGAGTGGTTTGAGTTTTGAAGATAATTTGCATTACAGACTTAGTAGTGTGAGTGTCTGTCTGGACCTATGTAGGTGTAAATGCACCTGTTTTATGCACTGACAGAAACAGTGGGTTTCTGTCTTTCTTGAAATGAAGCTTTTGTTGGCATGTGAACTGCCCACAGTATTAAATCACACTTCCATTGTGTTAAGTTTGCTGCAGTAGGTACAGAATTAGAGGGGAAGTGTATTTTTCTCACTGAGACAAGCAGAATGGAAAGTGTGTCTCATTAGCAAGCACACGAGCAGCAGGACTGCAGTGAAGAGGTGGATGCCTGTGAGTGAGCAGGTGAGCCAGGCTTTTGTGTAAAGAAACCCAGACTCTGTCTCTTAACAAGCTGTTGTTGTCATAATCTCTCAAACTTTAAATATACAACTTCTGTTCCATAACCAGATGGTTATTACACTACACTTTTTTGAAAAAGACTGAAAATTAGCTTCTGGTGCAGGTTTTTCAGGTGCTCCCAAGGCGAGACTTTCTATAAAAAGCAGCAGGGAGCTGTTGAGAACAGGAAGGATTGTGCTGCAGGGACTAGTTCATCAGGGGCCAGCGTTGCTGGTAGACTGGGACACAAAGGCTCATTTATCTCTCCTTTGATAGAAGGAAGGCAGATGTAGTGCAAGTTTGTAAGGAAGAAGGCAGGAGGGACGAAATTGATGCCACAGATGTAAAGATAGGTATAATGGAGTGTCCTAACCCATACTGTACTGGGGACTCTTAGCAAGGGCAAAGAGGCACTTTGAGTCACTGACACAAAAGAGAACCTTACCCTGTATTCAGTTCTTGGTAACTGTGCCTTGTAAAGAGAGGGAAAAAATGGAGCCTAAAAATGCCAGAAAGACTTGAACAGGTTGATTGGAGAGGAAAAATGTAACTGAATTCCATTATCTTTCTTTTCTACAGGTCTCTCTGGATAGAGTTTCCAGGGAAAATGGAAACTTTTGATGTGGAAAATGAGTACATGCTGGGTAAGCAGGTGTCTTATTCCCTGCAACTTGAGTTAAAGATTTTTAAGGTGTTGCATGAGAAAAAGAAAACATAAAAACACTACCCAACACTTAAAAAAATTGTAATCGAATATAGAACTTGAGACCTCTTTAAGGGACCTCCTTTTAACAACACTTTGAAAACAGAGGACATAGGAGATAAAAAAACTCAGTTGTATCTCACTAGTCACTTTGAAAAAACATTATTGCTTTTGACCTGAAACATCAAGTTCAGTAGAGCAGCTAAGATCTGCTTCAAAAATGGCAGTAGTAAACAACTACCAAACATTATTGGTTTTTACTGTGGTATGGCTGGCTGCTGAAGTCAGTCAGCCATCAGCCCACTACACAAGCCTTTTTCTTCAGTAGAAAGTGAACCTAAGCATATAACATGCCCAAGCAAGCTCCTGGAATGGCTGTGGGAGGTTGACAACCCCAAAGCACACAGGGTCTGCTCTGGGAAGATGCAGCCTTGAGGACCATAGCTGTATTTACGTTTTTCTCCAGGAAATGCTTTGTTGGTACATCCAGTCACAGAGAAAGAGGCCAAGACAGTGACAGTTCTGTTTCCAGGGTCAGAGGAGGTAAGGATGTATATGAATTGTCCAACTATTCATCTCAAATAAGTATTTTATGCAGAAACCTTCCGGCTCCCCATCTAATAACTGCTGAGCACTAATGCTGTGGCAAGTCTTCGCTGGCCATGCTGTGCCACTCCAAGCCCTTCCTTTCATCTTGATGCCTTGCTTGCTTGGCTCACAGTTAATTTGCTTTCTTCCTTTTCCACGAGCTGCTGCACAAATTTCAAGTCACCTACAGTTTAAATCTCCCTTCAAAGCTTGCTCATCAATCACCATGAAACAGCTTCCCTACATTGTCAGTTACCTTTTTACATGTATTTCTCTTTGGGTTAAACTTCTCATTTTATGTAGAAAAAAAAGGGAACTTTGAAGAAAGGTCAAAAGGAAATCAGAGAGAAACTGTAGGGAGGGAAATTTTAACAAGTCAAGCCTCAGTAGCCTGGGACATGTATAGCAAACACTGACTCACACAGAGAGCAGTTCCTCTCTGAAATAAAGGTATTTATCCACAGGATGGCACAGTGGTTCACTCCTACAAAGAGCATTTGGCTACAGCAGCAGTGGATGAAGGAAAATGATTTGGGGAAAATAGTTGCTAAGGAAAAGCCTGAGACTCCAGAGAGTAAGCAGCAAAACGGAGTGTATGAGACCATGCAGAGCCTTGTGACTCCACTAACTGAGAACAGTTAGAATTCTTCTCAGTTTAAGGAGAAAAACAGACTAGGTTCTCCAGACAAGTTAAGGAAAATACTTTTATCAAGATCTCTGTGGCAATTGAGTGCTTGGCACATTAGCTTAAACAGCTTAAACCTGCTGCCAAGTGTGGTGCATGGGAGATTCAGATGCAGCTCCCTTTTGTCACCTGTTATTAGCAGCTTTGTTGTTAATTTTCACTTCAATATAAATCTGCTTTTTCAAGAACTATATTTAAAAAAAAATAAAAGTGTTTCATTGTTTTGCACTTCCAGATGCTTTAAGACATACAAGACATTATGCAAACTGTAGAAAAGGTCAGATAATTTTTGTGCTTCAGAAATTACAATTTATTCTTTCCATCCAGAAGATCATTTAATTTAAAAAGTAAATGCTTTTTCTTGCCAATCAAATAGGTTTTTAGGAATACTGACAAGTTAAGGAGAGTAACTGTGTCTACAGAGGGAACAGATTTTGGCATATGTGTCATGCTCATTCTTATTTCATTTTTTCTAGATTTGGTACGATTTCAGAAAATTTAAGCGAATGGAAGATGCGGGCACAGTGAAGATCCCAGTAACACTGGAGAATGTATGCTTTTGTTTTAAAATGCTACTTTCATGGAACAGAAAAAAACCCCAAGCTTTTGTTTTGTCAATATTCAGGATCAGAAAAGTTACAGTTCAATTTCTTTGTAGAAGTGTAATCTAAAATAGCTATTTCCCATCTCCTCTGTTGTTAGATTAAACCCTACTGTGTCCTGGTGGTAAAATGAGATGATATAACAGTTATTTTTCCAAGCAAAATTATTTTGCTTAAATACATACAGAAGTTTAATACTATTACCATTGTTAGCTGAATGATTTTCTTTATATATTTGTGGTAAAAGTTCATTTCTAAGTTGAGCAAACTTCTGTTATCTCTGATCCTCATTAAAATTCCATTATCAGAGTGTGGGAATCTTTCTGCCCTGACTTTGTGTTTTTGCAGATTCCTGTATTCCAGCGAGGAGGCACTGTGATACCTCTGAAGACCTCAGCTGGAAAATCCACTGAATGGATGATAGATATTTCTTATGAACTCCACGTGGCCTTAGATGCAGAGGTATGCTGGGATAGTGTTCCCTTTTTACAAAGACGTCTTCTACTCCATCTGACCTTTGTAGGCCCTGTTTGATCAGAACAATGGCATCTACATTTGAGTGTCCAATGGCTCTTCTCCACTTGTGCTGTTTGAGGGGACACAGACTTCTCCCCCACTGTCCCCTCTAAGCATGACTATCTGAGCATAGCAGAGCCAGAATATTTTTCTGACTTTTTTCAGCCCTTGTCTAGTCCCTTGGAGGGAGGAGCAGAGAATGAGCAGGCCACAAACTTCCTTTTGGACACAGAGAGGGAACTTCCTACAACTGTCTTTGCTAATAAAGAGGTGACATATGGCACCTGCATCAATTTACAAAACCAGGATGTCTGGCAGTCTCAGAGCTGGATTGCTTGAGCCTTCCAGGGATATAAGCTGCTAAAGAAAAATAAATACACACCTTCAATATGAAGCATAACATATAGTGAGACAGTTTTATTATTCAACACTAGAAGGTGCTGTTAATTTGTGCTTTATCTGGTGTGTTTCACAGGCCTGTGCCATAGGTGAGCTCTATGTTGATGATGGGCATTCATTTCAATATCTCCACAAGAAGCAGTTCCTGTATCGGAAATTCACTTTCCACAAGAACATTCTCTCTTCCAGGTAACAGCAATCATGGACAAAAGCCACCAACACAAATGTCACTGGAAATACCTGTTCTAGTTCATGAGGCCTTCTTACAAAGGTAGCAGTATTAGTCTCATCTATTGCTTAGTGAAGTCTGAGAGAGTGCACAATCTGTCATAAAACTGCAGAGGTAAACAGTGTTCTACAGAAGTGTGAAGGCAGTTTCACATGAAATACTGAGCTGTCTTATATTGTTTCAGTCTAGTCAGACTCGAGATTCTGCAGATTGACACAAATATAAAGGAAGTCGTTAGAAAGAGTACAGCCTATCTGAGAGACAAAAAAGATAAATCGGGAGATTTGCAAGTATGCAACACCTGGAGTGTTTATATTTTCTAAGTTTTGTTTTCTAACATAATCTTTGCTGAGAGGGTGGTCAGTCACTGGAACATGTTCCCCAGGGAAGTGGTCAAGGCATCAGGCCTTTCCTAGTTCAAAGTACATCTGGATGATGATCTGAGCCACATGGTTAGGTTTAGGTAGTCCTGCAAGGAGCAGGGAGTTAGCTTGATTCTTATGTGTCCCTTCCAACCTGAGATATTCAGTGCTTCTGTCTGGGAACCAAAACCACATCTTTGCAGTCTCCCAAAGTAATCAACAAATTCACCATATATATTAGCATGAAGAAAAACACTTGAAGGGAGGCACAAGAGGATACCACCTGCAAAGGTTCATTGACAAAACCTAAAAGCCAAAGAGATGCCAAATATGTCACTATAACACTTTTACTCTTGAGGTACATTGCACAGAGGGCTGTGTAGTGCATAAATGGTGATTCTGCAGGCATTTTTTAGTCCTTCAAGCTTCAAAAGTATGCAGGAGTTGGTCCTAAAGCTACAAAATTTAACACAGAGCAAAACTAGTTTAGCTTGTATAATGTGGTTTAAAGTATACTTCAAATCTCTTTATATGGAATATGAAATCTGAAAAGCTTAAAAATTCAGGATGGGAAAGAAAAATGTTGCTAAATTTCTAGCAAATCTGAAGTTGGAAAAAATAATTTTGAGATTAATAACCTCCTGTTCATTAAAAAAGAGGTGCATTTTGATTTGATTTGAGGTTTTATAGAGCTTTTTAATAAAAATTGAATTAGTTACAAAATTAAACATAATTTTGTCTCAAATTGAAATATTTTATGTGAAAAAGTGTTAAAATTAGCTTTACATTTATATTTAGGAGTTTTAACTACTGTTTTCTGAAAATCCAGAACTTCTCTGGTTCCCAAAGCCATGCTTTTTGCCTTAAAATAGTTTCTCAAACTGTTTTTCTTCTGACTGTGAAATCTGATATGCAGTGAAAAAATCAGCTGACAGTGGGAGAAAGCTTTACTTGTTTTTAAGAGAAAGATAAATAGAGGAAAGGAAACCAGTATAGGGAGCTTTCAGGATGAGACTGAAGCAATAATATTTGCGTGATACCGATTTATACTGAGGGAAAGAAATTGATGTATATGAAATTATTTGCTTTTTTCAGCTGTGTAGATGAAAGCGGACAATACCACACTACATGTGTAGTTGAACGGGTGATAATTCTGGGATTTGGAAAGCAACCCACTTTTGTGACAGCCAGTGCCAAGGGTAATGAATTGACTTTTATTTTACTACAATTTTTCAAATTCTGTTGCTCTGCTGCCATTCACTAGAGGTGTCAAACTGACAGGTCTGCAGAAGAAGTGTTACAGCTTAGAAAGCCTCTTTGTTTAGCTTTCTTTGTTACTTTTTTATATCAAGGACGGAATTTAATGAAAGGAACGAGCAGCTATTCACCACTAATACTGCATGCAGAACTGAAGAACACTGACTTTGAAAGATGATAAATACATCAGTAAATGTGGTTTGGAATGAGCACATTCAGACAACATGAGCAGAGATGGCACTTCAAATTAAAGCCCATTTGCTCAGGTCTGTTAACCTGCCTAGTCTAGAACAGGAAACTTGCAGACAAACCCAGATTTACTCTTTGTTTCCATGCTCATCCAAAAGTTCTGGAGTTCCTGCCTATATGTGATATCATCTCTAGAAGTTGTGAGGTATTCCATAGGGATAGGCTGTAGCAGCTACAGAAAGGGCTTACAATTTCTGGTTGCTTTTCAAGCATGTCCCTTCATTTTGAGAGTCATGGGGAAATGTACTTTCTGCCTCCACCTGTCAAGGGTGCCTGGAGGAACACCTGTGCAAAAACCAGGGTGATTTTTTTTCAGAAAAATTCTTAAGTAGTTCCATAGTTTGATGTACCATAGTTTGAAAGATCAGAAAAAAAAGAAATATTTACTTTCTTATTCCACTGTATTCTTATATGTGTGCTGGGAAGATTTGACTTCTATTTGTTTTTTAATCAATCCTTTCCATCAGTGGCAGGGACAGTCAGAACTAAAAACTGTAGAGTCACATGTACACACAGCTGTGTTTCAGAAGAATTCTTCTTAAATTAAATAGAAAACTCTCTTGTCCTGTTCAGGTGGAAAAAAAAAAGAAGTGATTTTCACATATGATACGAAGACCTTTGCGCTGACACTGGAAAACTTAGCCCTGGGTGTTGATGCTGACTGGGAGATCTGTATCAGCTGAAAGAAGATGCAACTTCTTCTGAGAAACTGTCCGTTGAGAGGCTGAGGAGAAATAAACTGGGAGGACTTCAGATGTTCACTTGAATCCAATTAAATCAACAAACATATTTTCCACCAATACATCCAAACTAACATTTCTTTTAAAGCACCAATTTGGACTTGGATAAATTTTCTGTTCAGCAAAAGTAATAGCACTAGGATTGTATCTTTGGGGAAATAAGCTAAATACTATTTGCATTAGGCTTGCTTCAGTTAGGCATTAAGCTTCAGTTCTGCCTTCACTCGCAATAAAAAATTATGAGTTGGTGGGGTGAGATTGTGGCTTGTTGGCACAGGCCTAAATGTAAGTATTTGAAAATCATACTGTTCAGAGGCTGTTGCACTTTTGGAGATCTGGGCCAGTTCAACAAGCAGCATCAGCAAGTATGTAAGGCACAGGTTATCACCAGAGTTCTGCCTGCCAGCTGCCTTCTGAAAACAAACACAGAAGGAGCCACCCAGTGTGATCACAGACACTTCTGCTTTCCAGTCCTTATAGCAACGCAAAATTAGCTGGTCTGCACGCGAAAGTAAACAGCAGGCTGGCCAAAGAGCTCAGGCACTGGAGGGGAGGGTTGGGTAGCTTGTGCCATTCGTTTGTGCAATAAGAGAAGACAGTAATGTGGTGGTGCAGAAGGCTCCCTAACAGCCAGCTTTGAAACTTGGATTTCAAAAAGGCACAGGTACTACTTAAAAAAAAAGTTTTCTGTTAGGAAAGAATTGGCATTGATGATTGAATGTCATTGATTCAAGGCAGCCCAGTGAAGGAGTTATGCTTTCCCAGATCTTCCAAGTCCTGCCAAGTTTTTGCTTCCTTTAGAAAAGTTTTAGTCATGTCACTTTTTAGTATCTGGCTGAGATTTGAGCTAGGCATTTATGAAGCAGAATTTCATTTTAATGGGATTAATTCTGCGTGCAGGCATCCCACTTTCTCTTACAACTCAGCCTAATGTTCCCTTGCCTTCTTTTCCCACTATCTCTGCAAACAGAACTGGTATGTTTTGATGCTTGCTTTGCTTGCAAACAGAGACATCCTGAGTCTCACATCCATTACATCCTGCCTGTTCCCTCAGGCTTTTCCATCTTAGGCATCTCTTTTCACAGGCTGCCATTGCTCCACAGAGTTTGTTTACCTTTCTATTTGCTAAACTTGTCAGCTATATTATTTTCAAACCAGTTCTGCTTTGAGTCAAATCTGAACATGCCATCAGTTGGGTTTCTGGTTTTTCCGGAATTCTAGTTAATTTAATTCCTTTTAGTAAGATAAGGAAGTATTTTCTAAAGACATCAGTAAATTAACTCATAGGAAACAGAGAAGGATGGTCACCATTTTTGCCAGCTAAAGGTAACATAACATTACTAATCCCCCCTGTCATTCCCACCTGCTGCTGTTTGTCCTGCAGGGCAGATTTCTGGGAACAGCAAGCAGGAGGGCAAACTATGAGTGCTCTTGACTACTCAAGTGTAGTTTGTTCCCCACCAGACCCTTAGCTTCCTTCTTTTATATTCTGCAGAGCTATTTGTCAGCACCTTCCAGGAGACAGTGTGAGCCTCCACTCCAGGAACTGGCAGTATGAATACTGTTGTGCTTAATGCAAATGTGTTAATCCGGGTAGAACAGCAGCAAAGAGATCTTTTGCATCTGTGAAAAGAGAGACAGACCCTATCTTTCTATCAACTTCTAAGCTTTGATTGATGATTTCTTACTGTGTTTTAAGTATAGCAGTGCTTCTGACAGGATATAGTTATTGTCTTGGGTAATTTAATAAAATATTTTAACTGCTATTTCTCAAATTGGAAAGTGAAATAAAGTAACAATGAAGCAAGTTACATGCCTATTTCCTTACAACCTTCTTTCTACTGCTAAGAATCACTAGTGAGTATTCTTCCAAGAGTACCTGGTGAATGTGAATGACTTGCCTTTATTCTCTGGCACTCAGTAAGATATCTGCACCATAGTAAGTACTCATGGGTCAGATTTTCAGTGGTATGAAGTTCCTAACATCTCTGGATTTCAGTAGAAGTTAGTTGCTGAAAATCTTAAGAGTTGGGTCTTTAGATCTGATAAATTTCAAAGAATATGATTTACATTGCTGTTGTAGTAACTCACATATTTTTTCACATATTTATGCCATAAATGAAGAAATAAATTTTTAGTATATCTTTATAAAAAAAAATAGTTCTATTAGTGAAAACAACTGGAGAGAAAACTCCATACAAATTAAATAGAAATATTAACATTTTAGATTAATTCACTAATTCATTGTTACTGTTGAACAGGTCAGCTATTTGAGTACTGCTGCTTATGGTAAATTCCATCACATACAGGATTTAATTCCTGAGTATTTGTTTTGCTGTCAGTATTAGACAGAACATCCATTGTCCTCAATGGAAAATTGTGTTTATTTAAAGACATCATTTTTCTTTTACTAGCAGCTCCTGTGAAAAAGACCAAAATCCTACATAACAAACTCATCTTTCCAGTATGAAATAAGAAAAGGAGAAATTGTATTTTAAACAGGTGTAACTCCTGAACATGCCTAAAGAGCAGCATTGGTGTAGAAGTGAGAAGTGCATGTCCACCTGCCATTCCATATGCAGGCACTGGCTGATCTGTTAGCTCTAGCAGTAGCAGCAGGTCATACCCTGGCACTTGCTGACAATCCCAATTTAAAAAAAAAACAACAAAACACTGCTAATCATTCACATGATCCTCCCCAGCAGTCCATAAAGAGTTTCTCAAATGTCATACCCCTGCAATTCTTCCAGAAACAGAGCTCTGTATATAAGAGGTGCACTGGGCAAGAAGGGAGAATAGGAAAGAAAAAACACATGCACAGGCTGCAAAATGAGCACTTTGCTGAACTGTGCAGTGAAAGGCCCTTGTGTCTCAATATTTGCCTATCTTGGAAAGAGTGACACATGGCTCTGCCAAGCTGTCCTGCAATGTAATGTCAAGTATGAGACCTGCAATCCTAGCATCTAAATGTAAGGAGGAAGTCATCCATTCTGCATCCAAAGAACCTACCCTAAAGCAGTTGCATTCCTATTTTCACAAATGCTTGAATCTCTCTTTTTCAATTGCCCTGTTGGTGCAAGAAGGCTTCTATTCATGATGAAAAGGATTTAGGCCACCTAAAAGACTGATGATTAATATTCCTAGAGGTTAGTCAAGCTTGCCAACTTTATATTACCTCCTTTAAAAGTTTCTCCAGGGGAGTTTTCTTTAATGAGCTATAGAGTTTGTCCACTATACTGTTGACTTTAAATGTGTAAACTGAGCAAATGGCTGAGGAAAAAAACCCATCAGTGCTTTGGAAAATGCCATAGCCGGAGGCCAGAAGGTCAGCAATGTATATGTGAGCCAGAAATTAGTATAATTAGGCAAAAATAAAACTGATGTCAACCTGTGATTGAAGACTTCCCAATAAAGAAAAATCAAGGTATTATGGTTCTTTTCTTGACATATAAATATTGTCACCTTTTAAGGAACTGGGTTACAGAGAAAAGCAATATATGTTTAGATTTTTGCTCACAGAGGCTGTGAATTTGTCCCTTATCCCACTGTTGTATGAAAAATACGTGTAGAGTCAGATGTTTCCTTTAACTTTGGTATATCCTAACACATAGAGAATAGCCCAGTTTCCATACTAGGCTCTATAAACGTTTCAAAGTTTACACAAAAAGTTGCTTGAAGTTAGCTATTATGAGGTGAATCTTAGTGTTGCCATACTGCTCTCCAGAGGAACCAAACAGAGCTGGCAAGTGACCTGACCTCAGTAGCATCAAATAGCTCCTTTTTCACCATTAGAAGTGTCTGCTGATCATCTTCTCTAGTAGCAAAAAATTGTCTCTATCTTTTCTGCCACAAAGGGTAGAAACAAGTCAAGTACAACAGTTCTTTCAGTAGTGTCAGGACCATTGCCTGGCAGTACTTTGTACATAATGTTCCTAACCCAGCAGGAGTTTAGCTTCCAGTTTCACTCTTCCCTCTACTTAAGGAAAAGATGAACTGCTTGCACCAGGAGTCAGCCCACACACAGAGCCCGTCCCAGGAACATGCCTGGCCTCGGCACAAGCTGCACAGAAGACTGACACCGTCTCACTAATGCCCCCCCTCTCATTTTCCCTCTCTCTTTGCCTGTAGTTATTTTTAGATTTCACGGTTAAAGCTTGTCCCTTCTGGACACTTACAGGACAGCACACACACATGCTGTAGATACAACTCGAATACAGGAGTGAGCCAACTGATCATCTTGTCCCACGTCAAGCAACAAATTCCAATTTCTGATGACAAAATACTGTCCTTTAGGAGGATACAAAACCATATGGAATTTTCTGGCTTGCAAATTTGACTAGAAGGCTTTCAACAGACAGAAAAGACAGTTTGCAAGCAACTTCCTCTTTTCTGAAATTTCCTTCCAGTTTGCAAGATCCTGCTGTCTTTCAGCATTTGCTGTCAGCCTGACTCCCATGCCGACCGCCATAAATGCAGTGGTGGCTCAGCAAACGGCTGCTGGGTCAGTCCCCAGCACCACTGCTGGCACTACGGAGGGGGCAGGAGGGGGCACAGGGGGTATTTATTCTGCCATTATAAGTCGCAATCAGCCCATTATCCACGTAAAGGAGAAGACATATGAAGAGCTTCACAAGAAGTGCCTGGAGAAAAACATTCTCTATGAAGATCCTGATTTCCCCCCAAATGAGTCGTCCCTTTTCTACAGCCAGAAAAGCCCTGTCAAGTTTGAATGGAAAAGACCACGTGTAAGTAACATGTTTGCTGATTGCCTTTTTCTGTAAATTGAAGTATACACCCTGAGCTTACTTTTTTGCAGAAATTGTGTGTTGGAGAGGCAGGTGGAATAAACTGGAAAGATATTTCCTTAGAGCTCTCCTGGGCTCTAGGGATAACTAGCTAGGGCTGTGAAAGCTTAGGCAATGTGTATATAATGACTAAAATACAATAAAACAGCAGCGACAAAGGAGATGAAATGAAATGTTTAGACAGAGATATGGGGAATTTCATTTTCTTCTTGCATGGTTTGCCTGGGATTTTCTTGTCTGAAAGTACCAAAGAAAAACTCTCCTCCTTCTGTACCAGTTACTGGGTTTGCTGAGGCTTAATTTTTTTAACACTACTTTGTTTCACTTAAACCTCTATTTTGGTATTCCGCCATTTTTCTCATGTTTGAAACTAAAAGGACAGGTTATGTTCTCAAATATGCTCTTAGTCAATTGTTTCCTGCATTGCTTGTCCCACTCACCAATTATGTGGGTATTCTAAGCGCTATGAAGACCCACTCTTGGCTACTAATCCCATTCATTTTCCTATTTTGTGGGTATTCCCCAGCCAGCCCTCCTATTCTTTTTCATCTTTTTTTTTTCCCCTATCTCTCTCACTGGCAGAGGACTAACACCTCAGTTCCCAGTTGATTCTCCCTCCTACTTCAGGAGGAGTTACACATTTTCCCTGTCACATCTGCTGGGCAGCTGCTCCCCTGCAGCAAGGCAGCCCCTGGGACAGTGCCTTGATCCTTGCCATCCCCTGTCTGATAGTGGGGGTCTTGTTCTCAGGAGCCTCCACAGCTCCATTTCTTCGGCAGGTTTTGGCCACCTCTTTTATATTTGCCATACTTCCCCTGTGCCCAAATCTGTACTTCAGTGGCAAAGTCAGTGGTGATAGATAAAACTGACCACAGGAGTGTAACTGAATAGCAAAAGACCACGAGGTCTTGTGGGTGGCTCTTACAGACATGGAGGAAGGCCATGTGCTTTTGTCACAACAACTTGAGCAATGTGGAAGGATCGAAACAACTCCCCCATCTGCTGTGCCCTGTGCACTTGTGCCCTGTCACTCCTTCATCATCACCACAGCTGCATCAGCCTCTAGAAATGTGTGTGAATGACTTAAATGCAGCCCCAAGTCCGTCATGTAAAGGGATGGGATTTCCCTTTCTTCTCTTTCCCTGCAGAGGAAAGAAGTACAGCAATACAGTGGATGAGTGCCAGCCTCCTGCAGCAGACAGACTGCAAGTGTCATATTAGAAAGCATCAAAACAAAAGAAATGTACAATGTAACCTCAGACTTGTTGTATATAACTGTGCAGGCACAGATCAAACCTTTGTTACTGGAAAGGTTCAGACCAGGTCTTAGTTCCAAAGACATTTCTTTAAGTCACTCATGAAAATGTAACTTTGGACTTACCATTCATGTAGTAGACACAGGCTGGAGACCATGCAAGACTTAAAATACAATATAAACTTCAAACCCAAAATTATCTGGGTTTTTTTTTTTTACACAAACAGGAGTAATACTGGGCTAAAGAGTATTCTACTAAGAGGTTAAACAATCATTGGAGCACCACATGTATTCCATTGCACAGGCTGTGTTTTGTGATGGTCTGTAAAGATATGGACAATCTATGTTCCTGTTAAATTGCAATAGTTTTCCCACCCCCCCCACCCCACCCCCCCCCCCCAAAGAAAGAAAATACTTTTGCTTACAAAATTTACTCTTATAAAGTGGTAATTTTAATCACTTTGAAATTCAGGTCAATAGTTGAATGAAACTTGATAATGTAGTCTAAAAGAAAAAAAAAAAAAATACCTCACAGTTCAGAGTTCCTGAGAGAATGTCCTAATGTGACCAGTCTAGATCATTTCCCTGTGCCATTTTATGTGCCACATACCTCCAGACACAGCAAATAAACAAGTGATCAGTGTGCTCTATGATCCCACTTAAAACAGAGGGCTGGGAAATACACAACATATTCCTGACTCTCTGGCTTCCTGAGTCACCTTAGTCACGTCACCTCATCAATTTGTATCAAAGCCCCTCTACCCAGAGACCAGGTCCTCCTCTGCCACCTCCCAAAATGCTTGTCCTCTGCGGCAGCGAGGGCAGCAAATGCATGAGGACTGGCCTTGTCCCTTACCCAGGGAAGGACAGGTGCTGCGCAGGGCAGCTGGCAGCCCTAGCATGGGGGCAGAAAAAAGGTATTTGTAATTCTACCCAGCTACTGACTGCCATGCCACGACATGAATGCACAGAGATCTCCTAATACTCAATTCAGACAAAAGCCAAGTGAGAGCCCTGAAAGTTCCCCTGCGAAAAGTCTGCAGGATCCATCCCTCCAGTGTTTCTGTTCAGAGTATGCAGACCATGGTTTAGATACATAGAGGGAAAATTAAATCCCCCTCAGTTAACGCAAAATATTAAATTATTCGCTCACCCACAGCAGGTAAGAGAAGCCCAAAGAGCTGCTTACACCTACAACAGGTCACATCCAGCTCACTGACTGGCTGTGCCTCTTACAACTATGCTGCCAGTGGGAATTTCTCACAGCTGAGAGCAAGGATGAGGCTACTGATCTTTGAGAGCTGAGAAAAAGTCTGTGTTACAATATAACACAGAATATTGAGAGGTCCTGCTGCAGTCCTGTATGGGTCTAATGACACCGGGGTATTGATAGGAAGGCTCTACTGTGACACTGTGCTTTCAAATGCACTATTGTCATTCTCCCCACTCACAGCCAAGTCACAGCATAACCACCACATTCAATGACTTCCCTATGGTGATCCTCTCCATAGCCAGAAAATCACCAGGAGGAGCTTTTTTTCATAATGAATACAAATAAAATCAAGTCAACAAACTACTGGATTTTGCTTGGAATGAAAATTAATCAGTCAGATCATCTACTGCACACATGTGAAGCTGTTTGAATTTAGTCATCACAAAATGTGTGCCTGTGCAGGTCATACTACAAAGCAAAGATGGAAGTTAGTGCCACCAAGGCAGAACTTTCAGAAGATAATCCAACTCAGAAGCTCTAAAAGCAGCTTGGTGTCTGACATTGAGCTGTGCCTTGAAGTGCACAGCAAAGACATTTAAAAGCATGGTCTAGACCACAAGAGACCAAGAGATAATGAGGCTAAAAATTGTCTTAGGCTGAAAAAGATCCTTCCTCTGTTTGATAGGATCAGTTTAGGGAATTTACTTAGAATGTCATAGATTATAAATGGCAGTTTTTAAAGGAATTAATGCCTTTTGCTGCAGCAGTATAAGCTGGCTGGCAAATTTCTTCCTGATACAGAAGAAAAGCCAATGAAAATATAACAAAGGTCAAATGCCATTTTTAGTTGCATGCTGCCTCTGCGTTTTCCAGGGCTCCCTTCCAACTGACTCGTAAGTAATCTCTTCCCAGAATGCAGCATGCACCACTACTAGGTTTTTCCTGGGATTCTTTATTTTCTTTGCTGTAACTGACTCTTTGTAATGAAATGACAGTCTGAACTGGATCAACCCAGTGCAACACAAAGCTCCTTTGGATAGTACCAAGGCAGTCTGAGGCACTCAGATCAGAGGAGGCTCTTTTAAAAGATGAATCATTGCCTCAGTGAAGTGCAGCCTGTTGGGATTCTCTGTGATAACTTGACCTAAGAGATGAAGAGCAATCTCTTGCTCAGCCAGGAAGACTGGAAGGACAGACCTGCCACCTGCATCTTGGACACCTGGTCATCTCTCTCTGCTGACTGAGTACTTCAGCCTTGGTAGACCTTGATACCTTTCTCTGTAACTTCAGCTGTACTCAGCAAACTAGTGTAGCTGGAGATGAACTAAGGAAATACAAATTAAAATCATATCCACAGTGCGCTATACACACCTGTTCTGCATAAAGAAATGCAAGAAAAGCATTTCTGTCACAGCTAAACCAGGCCACATGACAATTGCATGATTCTTTCCTTTGCATTCCTTTACCAAGCATCCTACAAAACAAATGACCCCAAGATGCAATAAATGCCTCTGAGTAACACATTGCTGTACATTTAATATTTGGAAACAACTAGGTGGCACCTGACTACTTTCAACTAAAACACAGCATGCTGGACTTCAAAGCTAGTTACAATAAGAGCAAGATAGAGTCAAAATACAATAATAGAGTTGGAAAAAACACAAACCAAAAACCTGGCATGTCAGACTAGTTTTCAGCAGAGCACCACAGCAATGAAAGGAAGAATATTTTCAAAAAGACAAGTGAGTGGAGAAAAGCATGAAGGCATCTCAAAGATCTGTTTTGACAGAACTGGACCCCAACAGCTGACCAAGGCCCAAAATAACAGGACAATCCCACCATTCCTTCCCTCAAGGAAAGTAAAGTGCCTTCAGGGGTTGGTGGTAGAGAAGGTGGCAGAAGTTGGTCTCTCTGGCTATATGACTAATCCAAATACTTACATCAAAGCAACTTTTCTGATAACTGTGAAGGAGAAAAGAAGGGGGTTTGAGCCAAGCAAAACTACTTGACCGTGAGTCTGGGAAAGTCCAGGGCCACCCTGATGATATTAATAAGAAGCTTCAGACTGTAGAGGTAGCATCAGCTGCCTGTATATGCTGCCACACAAGCAATTTTCAATTGTTTGTTCTGTCTCCTTCCCACTCTTGTCCTAACATTTTTCAATAGATTGGGCTCTTGGACTATACTTTGTCTTCCTCCCAATTTGCAGCTGCTCAGGACAGTGCTCCTCAGGTTGCAATATCTTTCTTTCCTTACCCTCATAAGAGATGTGTCCAGAAGTTGTGTCTTCTTATTCTTCTCCATACCAAGTATTTGAGTGTGACAAATGGGATAAAGCAGGGATATTTTTCACTCTGTAGGACAGGTTATAGCCACTACTTTCCTTGGTTTTCCTCTGTCTGGTTTTCCACAGTCTTTGTTCATTATAGAAAAGGGCTATGTAAGCCTGCAATTGTCCCACCTCACTTGCTGCATTTTGCCTTCCCTCCCTGCAGAAATGTCTTTTTATACATGTATGTTGTATGTTGTACCCACTCTGTTGTAGTATAAATACAGACAAACCCAATACATTGTGCAATGCGCAGAATGAAAGGAGACCTTCCTGTCCTTGGAGACAGATTATATCTATACACATTTTTGAATGCAGCATTGTCAATTAAATACTACAACATGAGGAAAAGAACAAAATCTCTTAACCAGCAACTGATTATTTCTTGTAATTAAACATCTGATCCTCTAATTTTAAGAAGGAGTAATGCTGGGGTTCATTCCCAATGAAACGCATTCTTCAACCCTTTCAATGCCCCAACATGCCAGTTACTACAAATTGGACATAAGATCATTTTAAAATAATTTAGTCTGGTCACCTGTTAGTTTTTTCATCCACTTTCTCTCCTGACTCCTCCAATGTTTTGTTTTTTCATAACTGTGCAGAAAAAATATTTTCCCCAATTCTTCTCCTTTCAGTGTGTTTTCACATTTCAGTACAGAGGGAGCACCCCAGGCTCAATATTAGACCCTGTAGGTGCATGGGGAAAACTCTGACTGGAGTCTGGAACATCCAGATTCCAAAACATTTTCATAGTGAAATTCTGCAGATGAAAACTGGGAGAGAGGTTTTGATACCACAAGCTATCCTATAGGAAAATGTTCTAAAACTGACTTTACTTCTGTGCTAAACAGGCATCATTATGGACACTTCCTGCTCATCCATCTGTTTCTGTTTTGCAGGAAATCTGTGAGAATCCACGGTTTATTATTGGTGGAGCCAACAGAACAGATATCTGCCAAGGAGAATTAGGTATGAAAATCTTACTTCAACTCTGCACTTTTTAAAGTCTACATCATGGTTTAGCTCTCCATTAATTTTCTTTAATTTCTAAGGTGATATCTGAAGTCCTCTGTCTCAGTGATTCCTTTGCTCTGTAGCAAATTGTTGACATCTGCTTAGTAGAAATCTAGGCAAGAACTTTTAGTGAAAGATTCACATGCCACAGGGAATTCTTAATGCAGGTAACAGTGTTTATCAGATTTTAGGCTTTTTCCAAAGTACATGGAATATCATCTATTTAGCCTGTGTGTACCCAGTTATGAACAATGCTCATGAGCATTTCTAGAGCACAAACAGATAAAGTGCTAAAGTACTGCAGAACACAGACAATCATACTCCACTGAGAATTAACATGTCACTTTGCAATATCTCAGGTTTTCCCTTTATAATTGCTCTCTCCCTTCATTTTGTCTGCTGCTTCTGCTCATTTACAGGTAACTGCTGGTTTCTGGCTGCCATTGCTTGCCTGACGCTGAATAAAAAACTACTCTGTAGAGTCATTCCTCATGACCAGTCCTTTATACAAAACTATGCTGGAATCTTTCACTTCCAGGTGAGTCGCTCCGTCTAGTGGTGAGCATTTACCCAAAGCTCAGCTCTTCGCATGCTCTTCTCTCTTTCCCCACCCTTTGGAATCATGAGTGACAGATGGGAGGAAAAGGTATTGAATTGCCTCACCCCAAACTGTTCCAGCAGGGCAGTCACAGCAGGGCAAGCCAATAAAAGCAATTAGGGAGCATTAACCCAGCAAGGAAGCATTTGCAGATTGCAGTGTTCTGGGTGTAAGGAGTAGCAACAGGTGCCTGCTCCTGCCTCACTGCTCAGATGCAGCACTGCAGCCAGCACAGACACACGGGCACTTGGCAAGAGCAGCTGCTTTTAGGCACAAAAATAGCTGGTCAAAACAAGTTCTCGAAGAACTTCTTATTTGGAAAAGATTGACTGCTTTCCACATTTCCTTTGGTTCTCTTAAGGAACTTTTTACCCAGAGGAATTCAATACAGCTGCCTCCTTCACAGTAGCCATCAGTTTTGGCCACATTATGAAGTGTATTTCCATGTTTCTCCTCTCTCAGCCCGACTTTTCAGCCAGGCTTCCTCTCCCTGCACCAAGTCAATCCAGTTGTTGTTTTCTGTTTGCCTTTGACCAGTTCTGGCGCTATGGAGACTGGGTGGATGTCGTCATCGATGACTGCTTACCCACCTACAACAACCAGCTGGTCTTTACCAAGTCCTCCCAGCGCAACGAGTTCTGGAGCGCCCTCCTGGAAAAGGCCTATGCCAAGTAAAGCGAACCGCGGGGCTGTGCCGGGCTCCCCAGCGCCGCTCCCTCTGCTGGGGCAGTGGTGACACCACTGCATACAGCGTTCAGAAGCACACAGAGAATATACCTGAATACACCAATGCCTTTTCCCGTGCCTTAGAGTTGGGGATGGGTTAAAGTGTATTTTCCAAGAAGTTTTGCTACTCATTCAGAAATCTACATTTGATTTTAGAAGTTTTAAGTTGTGAGCTACCAGGCAGATGGGTTGTGGGGTTTTTGTATGTGTGTTTACAGAGCTGTAGTTATACACACAAGTTGGATATAAATACATAGGTAGGTATCTATACCTGTGTAAAAGATCTCTTTTTATCTCTTTTCAAGACTCCATGGGTCATATGAAGCTTTGAAGGGAGGCAACACCACTGAAGCCATGGAGGATTTCACTGGAGGAGTCACAGAGTTCTACGAGATAAAGGATGCCCCCAAAGATATCTATAAAATCATGAAACATGCCATTGACAGAGGATCCCTCATGGCCAGTTCCATTGATGTGAGTCCATATGAACTTTGCAGATAAGAGGAGAGGGACCTCTCCATTCATAACCAAATATATACCACCTTTGGAACTGCTTGGTTTAGGCCACATAGAAAACATCCATTTCTAGGAGATGGAGTAATCCCCCCTAGAGACCAGCCATTAGCAAACAGTGAGTACCAAAAGTGAAATAAACAGAAGTAGAACATAGAGGTGGAAAGAACAGATACAATCAGCAAAATCAGTACCCCTTCTCCCTCAAGACCCTAAGCCAATGAAATAGGTTAGTATGAGGATGCTGCAACTCTGTTAAGACACAAATCTTCATGTCAAAGATCTTAAGTGTGCAGATTAACATTTTATTGTCCACATGGCTTCAGACTGTCTTCACTTATTGTGGTGAAAAAAAATTAGAAAAAAGAAATTTAAAAGTTAAAAAATTAATACTTTATGGGGTACCATATTTCAGTAAAGGTGGGAGAACAGTGCTATTGACCACTGTAGATAAGTATGGACATAATGAGGGAAAAGAGAAGTAATCTGGGCTATCTTTTACCATTCATCTTCCTCCATGATACTTTTCTCCCATTCTCTGTGCCAGGATGACCTAGGATTTTCCTATGGATCAGCTCCTCGGAGCAACATTGGGGAACTGATTGCTCGCATGGTGAAGAATCAAGAAAATGCACAGATGACTCAGTCCACTGTAGACTACCAGGGCATTGAGGAGAGGCCAGCCTGGGTATGTCTTCTTAACAGTTGACTTCAGAATGCTCTTATCTACAAACTGTTAGAAAAACATATCACCTATGTTTTTAAATCCTTCTTGGGTTTCGCAGAATAGCACTAATGAAATGTTCTTATGGATGCTGTTTGATGTGCGTGTTGAAAGACTTCAGTGCTTTCCAGCACAGTGACTGATACTAGGGGGCTTCACTGATACTGAGGCGTTAAAGGGCTGTTGTGACACACGCTTATAATTTGCAGAACAAGAAATTTATTAGTGGATTTTATCAAGTCTCTTGCTTGAATAGGGTGGAGAGAATGAAAAAGCTAAAATACTAGAATAGAACAAGATCCTTGAGTGTGCATGGAATGTCAAAGAAAGAAAAAGCAAGCTCTGCATAGCTCTCACTCGAGGCAAAAAAGCTCTTAGTGAACTTATTTTGTGACAGAGTCCTCTACCTATTAATAGAGGAGAGCCTGCTCTAGTGACACTTTTTTTTTTTAATTACTGCAAACAAAGTCCTCATTAAAAATGCCCAACAAGGAAAAGAAAAAGTATTTGGAGTTTTATATGTGTGATGAAATACAAAGTAACTCCAGCATATCCACATAAGTGTCTAGCAAAATAGAGGGATGTTAAAACCCTCTAAGAAAAAAAATCCCATATTGGACAACTTAGAAGCTTTCAAATCTGTAGAGGGACACTTTGCTGCCTTCTCTGTGTCAGGCAGCTGTCATACCATGCCCTTTAAGGAGCTGCATTTCCATGACAATGAAATTACATCTCTTGTTTTACAGGGGTGTAGGGAAGGGTGGAGAAAAACAAAACAAAACCAAAGAAAAATCCTCCAAAATTACATCACTCAAAACTTTTGGTTGTGCAAACTTTCTTCTGCATTTGCAGCTGAAATAGCTGATTTTTTTCTCTTCTGGCATCCAAATTTAGTTCTTCCTAAAAGACTGAAATGGTGTCATTCTTTGGGAAAGACCACTATGACTATCTTGTTTTGCAAGCATGGCTGCCCAAACCTCCCATGGCTGGGGGGGAGAATTTCCTTCTCAGTGCCTGTCTACTAAAAGAAGATTGCAAAACTCTTTCTACACTTGTCCCAGCAGCTGTTGTGCTGCTGGTTATTGCATATTCCTGAACCATCACCAGGAAAAAAAATTAGGGCTCTCAATGGAAAGAGGCAGATGAAACACTTCCAAAACCTGGACTTCGAGAAGTTGTCCGGGTCAGCAGAAGTTAATGTCCTTAAATAGAAAGAAAAGGGTTCTGACAAGTGATGATGGCAACAACTAGAGAAGAAATGAAGAAAAAAGGAAATAGGTGTGAGGTTATAGTATGAAAACAGAATTAAGGGAAAAGAAACCAAATAGTTGCTGAAGTGAAATAATGGAAAACAAGTGCAACATCCAGGAAATATTTGGATGAGATCCTCCCTGTGCAAGCTGAGACCATTTCTGTGTGACCTCACTAATTCTCCCCCAGGATCCAGCTCTGCCTTTTTCATGCCGTTAGATGTGTCAAGAAGGGGTGGCAGAGTTACTGACAGGATTTTGCAGGCATCTCTCAGCAACAGACATAAAGAAGGAGGAGAAGTTTTGCTCTTGGTCCACATGCACATGGCAGGGTCTACCCCTCTCACCAATACTGGAGATCTCTCATACAAGCAGAGCAGGCTGTGTGCATCTGCCATCCTGCTCCCAATTCCAGATCTCACAGATACACAAGCAAAAATCCATCAGACACACTAAAAGCTGATGACTAAGACAGCAAATATGATAATACACCTGAGCAACACAGCTATGCCCTTCCTGAAAGTTAGATACAATAAGATAGTGTCAGTTAGCAGGCACAGTGTATTAAATAGGGTGTTTAAATGTCATTGTGATAAGATAGCAGCCATGTGGACAGAGGAAAGTATTCTAGATGTTGATTTGCTCTGATTTTTAACCAGTTCATGTGTAGTAACCTTACAGAGCCATACAAGAACATACTATCCTAGAAAAGGCTGAACAGTCCTTCTAATAAAAAAAATTAATTATTTGATTAAGAATGCTATATCCTGCCATGTTCCAAGTGCAAAAAGCAATAGTCTAAACAAAAGAGAAAAAGACACCAGAAAACGTCCTTTCCAATTGATATTATCAACTTTTTCCATTTTTAGTTCATACTTCACACCTTTCTAACTATCAACATGAATTCTGTGGGCGCTTAGCTTGACTGCTTTGACAAACACAAAGAGGAGAACAAGGCAAAAAATCTAGTCAGCTGAACGGTGTCACCCTCCCTGTGAAAGCCCTGGGTGGCAGCACCTGCCCTCGAGCAGGCAGCTGAGCTTTTTGTAAGTCCCACGGGTGTTTCTCTCTGTCCGACAGACCATAATGCCGATGCAGTACGAGACACGGATGTCCTGCGGGCTCGTCAAAGGGCACGCCTACTCCGTGACGGCCGTGGAAGAGGTACGTGCCCCGCTCCCCCCTCCAGCTGTGCACAGCTGCAGCCACTGCTGGCCTGGCCCCACGCACGGCACCAAAGCCATGAGAGGCATGAAAAGCGAAACAAATTATGAGCCAAGGAAACAAAACTATGTTCAAATAAGTTAAAATCTTGTGGACAAAGAAACCTATCCAAGTTTTGGCTCACTTGGGCAACACCCACTTGGGCAAAGGTGGCTATAGGCAGCCACCTCCTGGTCTTACAGCCTTCCCACAGCCACCCCAAGAAGATCAGGCTGGGGTATGGCCCAGAAAAGCACCATCATGAAGGGTGTGGTGACAGGCAGAACATCTCCTTTTGAACCAACTCTCAATCTATTGTTGTTGCCTTCTTTTTTCAATTAGACAGTATTTAAAGGGGAAAAAGTACGTCTGGTAAGGCTGAGAAACCCCTGGGGCCAGGTGGAATGGAATGGAGCCTGGAGTGACAAGTGAGTAAAACAGAGCTTCACATGATTTGAAAAAGAAGTTGCAGCTTTATTTGCCTTTATGCAGCTTTTGCATAATCCTAATATTCAGTGATGAGGTATCTGAATTGTCTTTGAATTTTGAAGTTCATTGAGTGCTTAGCTGAAGCTGTAAAAAAGAAAAGAGTACCTAATAAGATGTTAAGAGAGGCTTTAATAAATGGAAATTAGGTTATGAAAGAACTGAATGAAGCAAGATGTCAGTGTTTTCCTTAGAGGAATTTCAATAGGTACGCCAGCAATGATAATCCGCAAACACCTTTTTCTTCAAGCTAAGTAAAATTAACACAGTTCAGCAAATGTTTGAGAGCTGCTAAGAGGAATTCTAAGAAGAAGGCTGAGAGAAGTAGAACAATTGCTTCTTTTGTTGGGCATATAGAGAAGAGGATAGCATTGAGAACGAATTGTTGCAAGGCTTACAAAGGAAAAATTAGGTGGAGGTAGCAAGATGACTCTTGATTTTTCACTCTATAAGCCTAAAGTGTAGAAACTTTAATGAAAACTGTATTGCAAAGCCTAAGCTAACTTGTTTACTCCTTTGAAGGTCAGAGGAGTGGGACTCTGTTAACAAAGAAGAGAAAATCCGCCTGCAGCACAAGGTTGTGGAGGATGGGGAGTTCTGGTGAGAGCATCAGTTTCTCTAGGAAATATGCAATCAGCAAAAATGAATGCCACTGCACTACTACCAATTTGCTAAAACCATTGCAGTGATCTCTGCTCCCCTTCATATTCCCAATAAACCCTGCTCTGTGATCCTCCCATTTTCCCACCAGAGATTATTCAGTGCCATCAGCATGGTATTTCTAATTATGCTACACTTCCACAAGCTCTCCATCACCCTTCCTACTTACCGTCCTGTCAGCTCAGTTTCCCTGAGTTTGGAGCTGTACCTGTGGTAACTCACCAACCAGCAGACCAAGAGCATTTGGAGAACATGGCACTCCCATTGCAAACTTGTCCCAGTACTGACAGTGCTATTGGTCACTGTCTTCCACCTCCCCAGGGTCTTTCAGACAACTGCCAACCATGTAAACGCATTTGGGTTCAATTTCCCCTCAATTCCTCCAGGATATCATTTCAAGATTTCATGAGGCACTTCACAAAGCTTGAGATCTGTAACCTCACACCTGATGCTCTGGAAGTGGATAAATTCCAGACCTGGACCGTGTCAGTTAATGAAGGACGCTGGGTGAGAGGCTGCTCAGCTGGAGGCTGCCGCAATTATCCAGGTGAGCAAAGGGTCTTTAGGGATACAGCTTCTTTGATGGGGACTAGGTTAGATCCCAAAGGCTAAGTCATACCACAACCTGGTTAGTGCTCAGCCATAGGAAAAGCCTTGCTTTCTCAGTGGACAAGGCATGAAATTGGTAGCTGGACATCTTCTGTCACTATGCTGGAACAGAACATGGTAAGCCCAAAAGGCAGCCCTGGCAAAGATAAATCATTGTTCAAGTACTTCACGGTGCCCCAAGTAAAAGGGATGAATTTCACCCTAACAGTTAGATTTCACTTGGGAAATTCACTTTTGTGGGTTAGGGATAGCTTTAGGGACTTTGGAGGTTTATCAGATGACAGTTCTCCATATATCCTCTTTTGCAATACAGTTGTTGGAATTAAGTAACAGCCATAATATGTAAAAAAACCCATGTACGTCTCAGCCCAATTTTAACCTTTCCCTCAGGAGCCATAGGCAGGGAACTTAAGTTCTCTTTGATCATGAGCATCATTAGAAGACTGAAGCTTCACATGTTTTCTTTGGGTTGCTGATGGGATTTCACAGATACATTTTGGACCAATCCCCAGTATCGCTTGAAGCTCCTGGAGGAAGATGATGATCCTGAGGATGAAGAGGTTATCTGCAGCTTCCTTGTTGCACTCATGCAGAAAAACAGGAGGAAAGAGCGCAAGCTGGGAGCCAACCTGTACACCATTGGCTTTGCCATCTATGAGGTAACGGCTCTAGATTTTGCTCTTTGCACTGTGGTCACAAATCCTGACAGTATGTATTTACCAAGAGAGTTACTGAATCATTCAAGCTGATTACATCAATTGCAATTTTTGCTTTGCAAGGGAGTCAGAAAATCTGGAAGAGAGGAAGGAAATTCAACTCTTCCTAACTCCTCGTAAAACAGCAATGTCAGGGTTTACCCATCTCTTAAGTCAGACACTTTTTAGGCTTTTATAGTGACCTAATGCCAGATTTTAGCATATTCTTTCACATATATTTTTCAATCTCCCTTTTGCCCTTTCTGAAACTAAGCATTTCATTGGCAGAAGAGTGTGAAAAAGGAAACAGTCATCCAAGGCTCATACATAGCAATTAACCTCTGTCCCTGCTATTGACTTGATGAAAAAGTCAATTTACTCAGTCCCTTGCACAAACATATTTGGTTCAGATTTTAGCTGATTTCATGTAAAAGTCAAGAAACTTAGAAAGGAAGAGGAAAAGTGCTTATCTGACTAAGGGCATTTTAATTACTGTGTCCTCAGAACTTTAGTTGAGTACCCTTCTGTGTGACCTATAAACATGTAGTCTCCCTTTGCAGCTCTGACTGTTTCTTCTCTCTGTTTCTCCCTAAGGTGCCCAAAGAGGTATGCACAGAACGGAGCCAGATTGACGTCTTGGTGTATACCCACAGCTAGTGTTACTGTAGTGCCTGGCAGTAAGTCAGCAGGAGACTGTCCAGTCAAGTTTGTTTTCAGGGATGTAACAGCAGTAGAACTGCTAACCTTTTTGCTTTGAGTGTTTATTAGTAATATTTTGTGAGTAGTTTTTAGTTCCTTCTCACTTGCACCCCATTTTCAATTAGACCCTTTCATCAATGCTTCTTTTGTCTTCTGTGGTGGCCTGGCCATCACTTGCACAGTTGGTCAGAGACCCAGGAAGCAGTGCCTGTGAGGGCTTAGCTTCTGCACTCCATGCAGAATCACCCTAAGCCACTTGCATTTCCTCCTAAAAATAATATAAATGGCCTACATTCTGCAGTCACAGAGTTTTCTCTGTAGTCTTAGAATGGTTTAGAAAATTGTGGTATTTTCAGACATTGAAGAAATCTTATCAAAAGTACACAGATTACATTTTTTCTGAGCCTGACAGTAGCTGAATCATTGGCGTCAGAAGTTTTGCTAACAAGCTCATCTGAAGGCTGTTACCTGGAAAGCATGAGGATGACAATCTGAATGTTGTCTTTGCCAACTATCTTACAGATGGTTATTTCTGCAAAAAACAGCCTGCAAGTGTGTTTAGTCCACAATTCTTGGCTTAATTTTCATATTTGAACTAATGCAATGTTTGATTATCACATTTGTTTAGCTGATACAGAACTCATGTTTTGTCTAGACAAGGACATGTTTATGCTGAAAGCACCTTCACTTTACCACTCTGCATGTACACTATTCCTTGCCATGCACCCTCCAAGGAAAGTGGCTGAGCTTTGGTTACACACAACCTAGCAAAAGAGTCAGATACAAACGCCTACACAGCAGAAGTCAGCCACACAATCTGCAGGTGGGCCCTGGAGCAGCCCTCAGAAGCCAATTAGACACAGTCAGTGGCAACTCAAAGGTGACAGACTCTGTACCTGCCACCAGTCCTCAGCTCCCTGCTTGCTAAGCTGCTGCTTCCTGTGTTTTCTATCGCAGCCATGCACTGCCCGCATAGCAACCCACCTGGGCAATGGGCAAGACTTCCTTAAAGACAAATGGACTCATTTGTTCTGCAGATGCATGGTACTAAGCACCACTTGCAGAAGGATTTTTTCCTCTACAATGCCTCCAAAGCTAGAAGTAAGACTTACATAAATATGCGAGAAATCTCTGAGCGCTTCCGGTTACCTCCCAGCGAGTACGTCATCATTCCATCAACATATGACCCCCACCAGGAGGGAGAATTCATCCTCAGGGTCTTCTCAGAAAAAAGAAGTCTTTCAGAGTAAGTTGCAGAGCCATTTATTTGGCCATATAGGTGGAATGACCTCACTAGGCTGCTACGGTCATGTTACCAGTTTGCTACACCCTGCTTTTTATTTTGTTAACCTCATTAGAAACTCGAAGCTGCAAACGCGTTTCCACAAGCTTACTTTATAGATTAACAAGAACCTGCTTTGAATTGTCTTTGGAGAAGCTTACTGCTTGCAGGATATCCTTTGCAAAGAAACCATTAGGCATTTACTAAGGCCAAAGAACTTCTGTTTTACTTTCAGTTCACTGTTATAAAGGCTCTTTACAGGAGTAAGCCGGGTGGCAGCTGTCCTGGAAATGGTACTTGGGATGTTCAGCTCAAACTGGGAAAAAGCTGCTCCTAAAGCCTGCAGCTGTAATTCTGGAGGCCAGCCCACACCACTGGCTGCTTGAAAAGTTTGAATGGGTGCTTAAAAACCACCTAAAGAAACAAGAAACTTAGGAACAGTCACTTTCCTGATTTATTTGTTTTTTGCTTCCTACTTAGGGAGGTTGAAAACATGATTGAGGCAGAACGTCCATTGGTAAGTACTGTCCTGGTCTTCTTTTGTGTATAGGAGTAGAGAGGAGAGGAACATGATAAGTGGGGGAAACCGACAGCAGGAAATCATTTGCAGCTACATGACAGAACCTTTATAAAATTCTCATATTTTTTCTCATTAAGATACTTCTGTTGACACTTGATTTATATATGCTTTTTTCTCAACTTGATTCAGACCAAAATGCTTTTGCAGATTTGAAATCTGGTCTTGGCATAGAGAAGCTGGATGCTAAGCATTGTTTTTGTCTCCATCAATGGAGATTATCAATTTACCAAGGGAGGCCTAGCTCTGTGCCCTGAAATACTTTCTTTGTGAAATTGGTGTCTCAACTTATAAAGAAAAAACTACCTTATTTTGAAGTACCTGCTTTCTGAAAAGGGATCCTAATAGCACTCTGATTCCAAATAGCATCCATGGCAAATTCTAACTCTTCCCCCTGGAGATTTTTACACATCTTTGTGGGAATATACTACACAAACAATACAATAAGTCTTGAAAAAAAAATCAGAGGAAATGCTGCTGCACAGAACTGAGCTCCATCAAAACTTGCTCAGAAATGTTCCCCTTCTCTTTGCTGTCATAGTGAAAAACAACTGTCCAGATGTGAGGGAATCAAATTGTCACTTCAGATATCATTGATCTATGGGCATAGAAGTTCAATCTCCCCGACACTGGCAGGCTGGGAAAAAGAAAAGGAATACTCAGAACTAAAGAGATTTTATTCAAGCAAAGCCCCAGATGAGATGAGACACAGTTTTATTATGGTTTCTGCAATGTGTTTCCTTCAGTATGCCATTTCTTAGTGGGTGCATGTTCCCTCATTTTTAGTGATTTGAAAGCTCTATAAATATAGGAAACGGGAAAATTTGTATGAGTATAGGAACTGGAAAAATAAACATGAGAAAGGGAAAAAAAATAATAAAGCTTGCCTTCAGTGCTGCATAATCTGATCAAGCACTTTTTAATTTTGTCTCTTCCCACAGAAGAAAAAGGGCAAGGTAGGTACCTGTGCAATGTGCTAAGTGCCAGCAGGGCAAAGAGCATGTGCAATGCATGAGCTGGGACAGAGTTCCTTGCTATTATAATTTTCTCTGTGTCTGGAAACAGACCTAGTTAATGAAGGGTGCTGGATACGAGGCCATTTGCATGCAACAAAGATTTTGTCTTCCTACTTGAGATTCTAATGAAATAGGATTAGCATCATATACCCCTCTCACTCAAAGGGATGGTGAAAGGGTAACAAACTATTCAGCTCAGTCCTCTGGGTTGCTCAAACTGTTCCTCCTCCCTGCCCCTCCAGAGGCAACCTGACACCCTTTGCTAGTGAAAAGCACCCCTTCTCCAGACATGTGCCCTCACACTTGCTTTCCACCAGCTAGTGCAGCAGCCACTCCTCTTTCCTGAAGTTTCTGCTCACTAAAGTCCTGGGTTCTATTTTTGATTTGACACAACATATTTTGGACCTTGAAAATGTAATCAGATATTTCAATCCCAAGAGAGCTGATAGTAATTAATACTCTAGAGTAATACATTCACATCATGTAGCAGTTTTTTCCTTGTTTTAAATGCACCAAAGCAGAACAATTGCAAATTGTTGGCTGCTTACAGCTGAGTGCTTCAAGAGTCAGTACAGATAAAGAACATATGCTTGACATAGCTAACAAGCTCCTACACAAATAACTCCTTTTCTGGGTACTATGCACATTTGTTTTGTTTTCAGTGCTACTGTCCTTGAGGGGCAAGTTCATCAGTTTGTGTGATGAGAATCTGGGAGGCTTATTTTGCTTACAAACAGGGGAAGAACCCCACCAAAAAAAACCCAAAAAACCAAAAAACAAAAACACAAACCCAAAACCCAACTAAAACACCAAAACCAAAACAAAACCACACAAAGAAATCCCAAACAAAAACAACAAACCAAACAGATTCAATGTCTGTCTTTTTCACAAGGAAAGCTAGGACCCAGAAATTGCACTATTTTGCAAAAATATTTCTGCAGCTTTTTTTAGCATGAGAAGAGCAGTAACTGCAGAAATTTTTCCTCCTTTTGATTTAATCCTTTCTTTTCTTTCATTCCAAGAAATGGCTTCTCTCGTCATACTTTCAAGGGCAGGAGTTGTTGCTGCATGGACTTTCCACAGAATGCTTGTAACCAAATATTTTCCTTTCCACTATTTCTCCTGTAATTTCCACTTCTCTTGTGCTCTCTTCTTCTAGCCTATCATCTTCGTTTCTGACAGAGCAAACAGCAATAAGGAGCTGACAGTAGAAGAAAATGCTGGCAAAGATGGTGAAAAAACCCAAGCAGATGAGAAAAAGGTTTCTGCAGCAAGTGGCAGAGGGGGAAATAGGGCTTGGTCTGGCTAGCATGAAAGAGTGGCTGAGGAGAGCACAGGAATGGGGCACAGAGGTGCCCTGAGATACTAAACAGCTTCTCATTAAATCTTTACATGACTCTTATCTGGTTTATGTGGATCTAATGAGCACAAGCACAGAGAGACTGTCCCTTCAGTTATTTAACAACTCTACAGGAGGATTAGTTGCTTGAAAAATCTCCTGGTTGCTCTCTCACACAAGAATCCTGGTTGTGAGAGATTCCCACATTCAGCTTGGCCCCCTGAGGTGGCACCACTTTAGAAGGGCACATGCACAAACTGCACCCGAGTGGCTGCAGAAGCTCCTGGCAATGACCACAGCCTCTTCTGTTACAAACACACACCTCTATCCATCCTAGTCCTTGTTGGCCAGAGGATAAAGGACAGGTAAACCCAGGAGCTCCAGCACTCCTCTCTTCTCCCTCACTACCAGAGAGGAGGAAAACAGAGTAGCAAATTCAGAATTTCTTCCTGCAGGTGGGTGAGACACAACGTATCTAACAGCCAGATCCCACATCCAGGCTTGTGACATCTGGGGGCATGGCTGGAGCATCTGCTTACAGGGAGGGTGCTGCATGACTGCTAGAGCATGCAGGGGGTGGAGTGAAAACCAATCTAAACTTTCCTCTGCATTTAGACAAAGGAAAACAAGAAATAAGCCAAGAAATCCACTTTGTTACCTATAACTTTCATTTCCCTTTTCAGTGTCAGCTTCAGAGTTCAGGGTTGCATTTTCCATGTGTCTGAGAAAGCTTCATGTTCCTCATTTTCCTCTGTCTCATATGCTATTTGTCTTCAGCAAGTCCCCCCCCATCATAAAGAGCTCTCACATGGTCATTTATTGCCTATAGAGCAGCTGTGAGGCAGATACTGTGTCCCTGCCCATGGCAGGGGGGCTTGAATAAGATAATCTTTAAGGTCTCTTTCAATCAAAACCATTCTTTGATTCTCTGATAAGCCTCTTCTGCTCCAAACTTCTCTTTGGCAATATTTTGGAACAAAAAATTAGAAGATAACTACCAGTGTTATTTAGGCTCCTTCAAATAGAAGAGAAAACAATGGGATGAAGTTAAATACTTGGCAGTTTTAAGGAAGAGAATTAACAAAAACATAGGGAAAGGAGTGGGAGAACAACCCATTCCTCCAAAGGCCTCCAGATTCACTAGGATGATCCCTCACACAAGGGTTAGTGAGCCATCCAGGCCCTTTCTCTTTTCCACTGGGCTCAGGATGTATCTCTTCTTTGCTTGTCTCTTCTCAGCGTTCTTCAACAAAAGCTCATGAGGAGAGCGAAGAGCAAAAACAGTTCAGGAATATTTTCCGACAGATTGCAGGGGATGTGAGTATGCAATCAATACCTGTCTCTGCCCTCAAAGCAGCCTGGCCACAACAGCCCCTAAATCAACTATTCCATAGATTCAAAACATTGGATATCAAAATTTCCTTTGAATTTGCTCCCATCAAATTCTCTTTGTGATTTTGAGATAAGTAAAATCAAATAAGAACCCCATTAAGTATACAGCTATCCTCATATGTATGTATAAACTATTCTCACTGTGTTGAGGGAGTCTTACTTAAATTCAGCTTTTTTTTCTCCTATCTCCTACAAGATGCTGTTTTGCACAGCAAGTATAAACAAGTTAGAAATGCAATGCCCTCTGGTATATGCTTAACAAGGGAAGTTAAAGATAAAAACAGATCAAAGAACTGCATAAATCAAGTGGCTGCATATGGGATACAGGAATTTTCTGATTTTACTATTTTACTTTTAGACTCGCTAGAAATTACCAGTCATTCTTCTAGTTATAGTTTATTGAGCACTGTATAGTAACTTCAGGTCTACCTTGTACCGAAGCCTCAGGAAAGGGCTGGACTAATGTTCACATGAAGTAGAATGCCCTCTGGTTTGAAACATGTATATCTCTTATTGAAAAGTGACCTAAGACTTTTAGCATATTCAGCCATAAAATTGTTTTTCATAAAGAATTCTGTAACTAATGATATTCTCACCACATTTCCAACAGGACATGGAGATCAATGCTGAGGAACTTAGGAATGTTCTCAATAATGTCGTAAAAAAACGTGAGTTTGAGCATGTTTTTTACTAACCCTGGACAAAGAAATCTGTAACAGAGCATAACTCCCCTCCCCGAGTTTCTAAAAATTATTGATGTTTTCAAACTCAGAAATTTCCTAGTTACATTTCCATGGACAATGCATCTGAGACTTTCACAAGCTGAACTTTTCACAGAGATTATCTCTACAGGTTGTTAGTACTGATAATCTAGAAATTAGCAGATGCATTCATTCGAATTACCACTGGGACAATAATGCAGTTCTCACAGTCTGCAAATGCCCTTTAAAAAATTTCTAGTGGACAGGCAAACCTTTCTCCCTGTTTAGCAAACTTTAACCGACAGACCCTGGACTTTCTTAGTAATTTAGGAATTAGTTTAGAGTTTTTCAGAGTTTTTTATTGTATGTAACAAATCAAGAAAAGTAAATCTAGTTCACAGGCAGTAACATTACTGAGAGTCTTTTCAGATTTCTCTACCACTCATTTCTTACTGGACAAAGGAAGTAGGTTTGGCTTTTACTTTGATTAGAGTTACACCTGAGAGGAAAATAATTTGCTGATTTGCATTATTTGTATTCACCTGGGACCATTTGTTTCAGATAAGGACCTAAGGTCAGAAGGGTTTGAATTGGAATCCTGTCGCAGCATGATTGCTTTAATGGATGTATCCTTTCCTGGTGAAAAGGGACTGCTTGAAACCACTCGAGTTCACCATTTCTCACCACCACACACACAACTTAGTAAGCCAGGGAAACAAACACAGCAAATTGTAGTCTGTAGTCAAATTAAAAAGCACTCCTGGTTTGGCACATCTTAATTCCAGTCATCTCAATGTTAACATAATTGGCAGAGAAAGATGGCCCCAAAAAGAAAGCTACAGAATAAATCAGTCAGTATGACACTCTTCTTTAGGTATCAGACACTGGCCACATTAGGTCCTAAAGCATGATTTTTTCATTATTATATTTAAAACAAAGTCAACATAACTATAGATCTTGCCAATAAATGTACTATATTTATCTCTTTAAGTTCGTCATGTATCACATATTCTGCTGTGCTCAGCTTGCAATGCAGGCAGAACTTGTCTGGAACAAGTGCAATAAAACACACTCTAAGATGCTATGTGGTTAACTCTGCTACAACCACCCTAGGCTTTCCAGTTTGAGATAACACAATTTTGAGAGAATGTAAGTGCATTCAAATATAACAGAACAAAAGTATAACTACAACCCACAGCCATAATGGTTGAAGCCTAAACACATTTTTGAAAAGAGCTTTAGTCAATATTTTGCTTATTTCTTAATTCATTTTAAGCAAGGCAGAAAGAGATTCGTGACAGAGTAAAGCTCAGTTGTCTTAAAAAGCATTAGGTGAGCTTCACATTTGGAGGTATTTCAGAGAATCCTACTAAAGCATCCTACTCATGCACTTTTAGAATAATTTCAGAGGCAAAGCTGTGTCCTGTACCAGAAGTTTGCTTCTACACAAAGTAAAAGTAGTACTTCACACTCCTGAAGCACTATGCTATACACAATAACCAAAATGCTTACAAATGTTTTACTGCACAGGTGAATCAACTCTTTATGCTGAGGAGATCCCCAACCTAGTTTTACATTCATCATTTTACCAGTAATTGCAGCCTTAATTAATTTTATCCTAAAAGTATTGTGGGTTTTTTACCTGAATGTTTGCATCACAGACAGATGGCTCAGGGAAGATAAACTTTGATGAATTTCGACATCTCTGGGACAAGATTAAAAGCTGGCAGGTATTGCTGGTATCTTCACAGCTCCTCTTCACAGTTTCTGCAGTGCAAATGTTCTACAGGAAAACTAGAACTCTCCACATATGTTCCATCAAGAATAAAAGCTAAAAAATAATTGTGAATTAGCTTCAAAAATAAAAAGTAATGTCTCTCCTCATCCTACTTCACAGCCTAAGCAAATAGCCTGAATATCCCATGTACAGCCTTCCCCCATGAGAGTAGCACAGAGGCCTACAAATTAAAGGAGGAGAATGATGGGAACTAGAATCAGGCCTCAATAATAGCTTAATTAGGGCAATCAAGAGGGAGGATTACCAGCATAAATTCAAGTCAAACAAGGAGAGTCTCAAGGGGAGAGTTTTTTTCTTCCCAGAAACTGGATCTAAATTATTTTACTTTGCAACTGAGAGGAACTCTGTGCTAACAACCCAGAGTGCCCAGCAATGGCACATGGCAAAGCCTCCAAGTGCCTGAGGCACATGGCACATATCCACTCAGTGAGTGCATTCAAGAGCAGTACAAGTTTTTATTACTGTTTTCTGTGGTTTTTTTTCTTTTTCCAGAAAATTTTCAAGCGCTATGACACAGATCATTCAGGAACCATTAACAGCTACGAGATGCGCAACGCAGTCAATGATGCAGGTACTGTCCCTTGTGCAGTGCCCATAGCTGAAGAAACTTGGTTTTGTTTTGGGGCAGCACAGGCTGAGATCACTGAACACTGTGCTGCCTTTTAAAGACAGATCATAGAGAAATTAAAAAAATATTTTTTCCCCCAACAGAGCTTCTCAAATATCCAAATGGCAAGCCTTGTATGTCTTGCCAGCCAAATAGTTCTCTTCAGCTCCTCTTTAATGCAATGAGTGATGCTTTGCTCTCTTAAGGATGTCCTACTCAGGGTCCTGCTATTCAAGGAGACCAGGGAATGCTGAAGACATTTACTCTCATTTAAGCTCTGGATTCTATACATTTGTCTAAGTAAAAACAAAGAACAGTGGAAAACTTTCAACCTAAGTGTACAGGCCCTGAAACCAGGATGGAGCAGGTCTATGTCCAAGTGTGCATTACAGGCAATTGGGTGGGCATTTCTGAAGTCATGTTAATGTTTCTTCCATACTGAGCCACTGTGGCTCAGTCTCTTCTATCTGCACAATGATAAGAAAGTATTTTTGCAAAACTTGCAGCTAATGAAATTCATTCTGATAAGAGGGACTTTAGACTTTTCCTGCTTATCTCAGACACACCAGTATGCTTCTTCCCCTGGGGAGCAGGCCTCCCCCCACAAAAGGTCTCTAAGGGACTTAGAGAACCACTTTGATCAGAAAATCTGTAGTATCACTATAAAACTAGTTGGGATGATTTCAGTGACACCTTGTTTTCAGTAGTATTTTGGCAGGTCAAGGAACAGAAAAAAATGGTTACCTTGTACTTTACAAAACCTCAGTGATTCTGGAGTCCTTTGCTAAAGACAAAACTACACCTGGATTTGGACTCCTGATGTGGTAGAAATATGGGTAATTTTTATTTTCCAGGTTTCTGTTCTCACCAGGGAAGTTGTCACTGTAAAAAGAGAAAATACTTAAATACCTCCTGCCCTGACTTTAGAACTGAGAACATTTCAGAGCCTTACAGCACATACGCTGTGTTTGATGTTGTGTTTAGCCAACAAACAGCTGTACCCAAAATGTGACAGACCTTTTCAAGGCACAGCAGTGGCTGCAGCATTCAGTCCTACCACACCAAGAAGTTGCCTCCTTGTCTATTTTCTGACCAGTGCTTAATTTTGCTTTTATAGCAACTTCCCCTTGCATTTCTGATTTTTAGCTGATTTGCTTTCAGAAGGCCCAGCTGAGCCATCAGGCCTTCTGGGGCTGCAGGTCTCCTCTTCACACTTACAGCCTGAGGTTACTCACATGCTAAGGGCCCTCTCACAGCATTGCTTCTGGTTTGGGAAGGCAGCTGGACACAGTGAAGCTCCTTACAGCTTTATTTGATTTTGTTTAGCAGTTGCTCCAGTCTGTGCCTTGGCTGGGCCAGGGGAGTGCCTGTGGCCCACCCCTCATGGAGCAGCGCCTTCCCCACCCGAGGCCCAGCTGTGCCCGTTTTTGCTTCCCTGCAGGGTTTCGGCTGAACAACCAGCTCTACGACATCATCACCATGCGCTACGCCGACAAGAACATGAACATTGATTTTGACAGCTTCATCTGCTGCTTCGTGCGCCTGGATGCCATGTTCCGTGAGTGGCTGCCCCGGTCCCACAGCACTGCCTCCCCTCCTGCCCCCAAACACAGCCCTGGATCCGTGGAATGGACTGGGTTGAAAAGGACCTCAAGGATGATCTGGTTCCAACTCCCCTGCTGTGGGCAGGGACACCTTGCACTGGACCAGATTGCTCAGAGCCCCATCATACAGTAAAGTTTGTTCACAGCACTACTTCCTCTATGGAGGGTGTTAATTATTACAGACATGTGCTTAGGGAATCTAAGATGACAAGTTGTCTCACAGAAACACAGAAGAAACCACTGTGTTTCTCCTTGAATTGACTAAGGAAAAACACAGCAGAAAGTGACCCCACAAGTGAAGACCTGTGCAAGCTGGCATTTCACAATGGGAGCGCTGTTTGATTTCCTGTCTGAGAATCATCTTTACTCACACAGTAACCTAATCTACTCCCCATATTTTTGTTTCCTTACTTTAGGGGCATTCCACGCCTTTGACAAAGATGGAGATGGCATCATTAAGCTCAATGTCCTGGAGGTAAACTGCTTTATGAGAGTATGTCTAACACCATGTCCCAATACTAAATTTTAATTGTGTTAATCATTGCACATGTTTTCAAGGGAGAACTCTATGAATAGAGAAATTGCCACCCAATTTGCCACCCAAAACCTCCTAAAATTTTGCTACCAATTTTACATGGAAAACATCCATGATCTGCCAACAACAGTTGCTCTGTAAGACTCCAGTTGGTGCTGAAGGGCATGGCTGCAGTCTCTTCATATCATCTTTAAAGTCCATCAAAAAATTCTGAGATTTTTTTTTTATGAGGCAATTAAGATCAAACATAGTGATATGATATTAAATGATAATGGGGCTTAGCATAGTTCTTTACCTTTAAAAAAATCTTGTTAAGAAGAATTAGAAAGTTTCAACTTCATGTCCTCTGTTAGGGAGGACATTAAAAACATCCTTTAAAACACCATTAAAAGCACCCATCACTTTTTGCAAGGGAAGGAGAAATAGGAGCAAGAGACTCAAGAAAATTCCCCACTGCCACTCCATGCTAAGTGACAGCAAGCAGCTGCCTTCCAGCTAGAGATGGTGGTCTCTTCACACAATCTGTGAGAGGACACCAACAACTCATCCATCCCTTAACTCTTCTTTCAGTGGCTGCAGCTCACGCTGTATGCGTAACACCAGAGCCAGTGGCCACCTCCATCAAGATCACACTGAAGATTCCATGGACTAGCACTATTCAGCCCAAGGGCAATTCCTAATAATGGCATTCACTCCTCAAGATGAACAGCACATGGGAAGAAGCCCTTGGAAAAAGAGACAACCACACTGTAGTGGACAGCACAGTACGCATATTTCGTAACTACTTTTATAGCATCCTGACATTTTTCCTTTGGGCAACAAGGATTAATTTATTAATGACTGAATTAAGCTTTCTCTGCATGGTGAAGCTTTCTCTGCATGGAGAATACAAAATTGTTCTGCTTGTGCTGACAACTGGAAAGTTGTTCCCTCAAGTGAGGTGAAACTGGGACTGTATCTAACTGTGAAAGTCAAAGGTGCTTACTGCCACCTTGTAATTGGTCATTAACTGTTTGTCCTGCTCTTGGTATTATCCTTTCATCTCTTTGTAATATTTACTGAATAATTCACATGAGATTGTGCTAATTGCATTAGTATTATGCAACCCAATGACTCAGTTACAGATTTGGCTGTGCAGGTTGGATCTCTGCTATGTAGAAATGGGAGAGTAGGGCACAACAGACTGCAATACCCGAGTACAGCTTGATCTAATGCCTCAGCAGAAGTACCAGAACTGAGCAATTGGCTCTCATTATTAGTACTTATCCTGATTACAAATGTGGACATTGTAAATGTTTTTCATTGTAACTGCATTCCCCATAATATTGAGAAACTTATTTGCCATTTGAGGCAGACAACCTCTTATACCTACAAATTTATATATCTACACACATATATTTCCCCTACTGCAGGTCCTATTTCCCAACATTAGCATGCATTTCTTTATTGCAAGAGGTGACTTGTAGGAGAATCTACGTCAGCATGACCACTTTGGGAATATTATTCCAATGGGCAAGTACAATTATTTTAATGGAATAAAAAAAAAATCAACTGGATTTTGGCCTAGGCTTTTTGGTCTTATTCTGAAAGAACAGATGAAGATGAAATATTGAGCACTCTTCCATCATTCTCCTGAATATAGAGCAGCTTTTGGAGTTTATGGCAAGTGTGAAATTAGCTTAATATCTCAAATATTTGCCCATTTACTCCTTGAATACATTAAAAATGAAAAAAGAAAGCACTTGAGAAGTTCCCTTGCTACCAGATTAAAGGATAACAGGTACAATATAAAAAATGGAAGGGCAAACAAAACATGCAAGGAAGACCAGACTTTGTCAGGAGAACCTTTTACTTAGTTGTCTAGTGGGAAAAAGTAGCAAAGCAATCCACTAATGTAAAGTAAAAATTAAAAAACAAATTCTAGCATCCACTGAAAGTTATTCCAGTGAGTAGTACATTTAACTGAAAGGTCACTAAGAAGCAGAAAACCTTTTGACTATGAAGTTCTTAGTGCTGTCTTGCACTGTAACTTACTCTGAGAGAGGAACGAAATCCTGTAATTTATCTAAAGAAAAGTTATTCTCCTTCTAATTCAACTGTTTTTTAACCCAAATAAATTTTAGGATGACTGGAACACCTGGAGCCCTGGCTTCCAGCCATGCCTTACCTTCACAAAGCTATTATTTTCCATACAAGTAGTGCCGAGATGCTCTTGGTTGGGATCTTCAGAGACAAAACAAAATCGGTCAAAAGATCAAAATCAGGATTTTTAATTGGCAACTGAAAACCGGTCCTTACAGTTCTGATGAGTGAACTAGCAACAAGCTCTAGAGAACTTCCCTTGCAATGGGCCATGAAGCAAGACAGACAGCGCATCAGCTTGGAGGCATAGTTGGGTGGACAGTTTCATTTCTTTGCCAAACAACTGGGTCTGAGGTTTTCTGCACACCTGTAACATTCCCGCCAGTGCTGGAGCTTCAAAGTGGCCTGTCTGACTTTATCCAGCACTCACAGTACAGGAAAAAATCCAGAACAAAGTCAAGTTCTACCAAATCATATGAAAATCATTCTATTTAAAACAAAGGAGAAACAGACAAACCGTAACAATATAAAGAAGTTTATTTTTTTTTAGTTTCTTCTTTTGTCATGTAAAGTTTCATTACTACACTCACAGCTTTGTACCAAACTGAGTGAAGAAAACAATGATCAGTCTGTGCACATGTTCTACACAGCTTAAATAACTAAATATTCAATCAAGTTATTTTATTCCACTTCCATTCTTTCAAAAGACTGTTTAACATTACAGCAAAATGAAATCTGAGAAGCTGGCAGGCACATATAACAGAATATATACCTACACAGTTTGCTCCTTGATGATTAATAATTTTACAAACAGTAGCTGAAACAATTTCCTTATCCTTCCTCACATATTCTGCAACTCTGGACAACTTAGATTCTTGAATTATAGTACCATACAAACCTGAAAATGAAGATTCACCTGTACCTGTGTTTTAATTCAGCTTAAGGGAAAAGTATTTTTCCAACAAAAACATTTCCCCTGCCATTTATTGCAGTTTGCAGTTATCATTTACCTTGATCCAGCTGATTGTACTGTTTGATTGTACTGTTTGAAAATGTGCATTAAGAACTGCACTACTTCAAACACTCCACACAGCCAAGCTCCTGCTATTTTGCAGAAGTCAGCTTATGTGCTGATAATATGTTTAAAGACTGTAATTTACATGTAAGTGACACAATGTAAGCAGAAGCCTGGATATTTAATGCATCTTTGTACCAAGAGATGCAGAAGTTTTCCCTCCATCCCCTTCCACATACAGAAGCAGCAGCATTAGGCCAGAGTGTTTTGCACTGCCAGATACCTATTATTTTTCTCTGAAATTTGAAGGAGAAAGGAGAAACTAATCTAGACCAATCCCAAAAGGGCTGCCATATGTAATTAGCCATACAGCAAGTCCAGAGATTGTTTTTAAACACCTGACTAATAAAACAATCCACAGCTAACCACAAAATAAATCCTCACTCTACTCACTCTTCCACTCACAACTTTTTACTTGCATAAAAAAACAAACCAAAATCAAAAATAAATAGTCTTGAAAGTGGCTTCAGATATGCAGTACTGCTTTTCATGCAAATATGACTGTGTTAAATGTCACAAACAGCCCACCTTCCCAAAGCTACTACATTCTTCAACTAGACATATATCAGGAGTCAAAACCCTAAGTTGCAATACCATAGAGGATCTTTAATGAATACCAACAAACAAACATTAGTTTGGCATCTGCAATTGTCTCCAGAAGAAGTAATGGCCAGTTGTGAAATCTGCACCGAATTCCAGCTGAACAAATAGGAAACCCCTCCACAGAACTCCAGAGAAGCTGGGGGATTTCCACAACTGCACAACTTTATAGCAATTCCTTTTAAGATATCCTCATGACAAAACAGTACAGCATTTTTCTCTGAACCCCTGAGGATTTTAAAAAAATGTTTCTGATTTATGAAGCAAAATTTTTCACTCATGCAGCTCTACTATTTTCCCACCTCTTTCCCATTTTAGGATTCTTCCAATGTATCTGAAATGACCAACAAAGTAGCAAAAGACACCACTGCCAAAGCTGGACTTCAGAAGCCCACACTTTTCAGGAGGACTGTTTTCAAGACAGTTAAGGAAATATCATGGACCACACACACACAAAAAAAAGACTGCTTCCACCAACTAGAAAAGATAAACCCAAAAAGCAAATGGGAATGCAAATAAAGTGTAATAACTCTGTTTGTTGCAACATCTAGGGAAAAAGATCTTTATATGTTCCTGAAAACAGCTGAAAGAATCACAAGAGAGAAGTAACAAAATCTACTCTCACACACATTTTTCAGAATGCCACTATTGCCCCACAGGCTTGTCCTCCAGACACAGCTCCACACCTTCACTTGCAGCACAGTCCATGAAGGACAAACCTTAGGACACCCACCCTGCTTATGCCACACTTACATGCTATGCTCCCTCATTGTGGTTCAAAAAACTCCCAGAAGAACTCCTGAATATCAACATCTTTGGAAATGGTTTAAGTATTATGCAGTCTTCTGCTTTTAGGTCATGAAAAAACCCAAACAAATGCTCTCAGACTTCAGAGCATTACACTGTCCCTCATAAAACATCTACACCACTTAAAGACTTCCCCAAACTTGATTCTCTATTGAATTGCTTCATCCACAGCCCACAGAAAGAAAGATTAAAAAAGCCCAACACCAAAACCACAAACACACATCCCCCAAAAACCAAAACAAAACCATCCTCAGAACAGCCTGAGGTCTGGGCCACATATTGGGGCTTTTTGCTATGCACAAACAGCTTAATAAAAAGTAAACAAACAAAATCAATCACCACAAAAGCACTGGAATCTCAGAGATTCCCATGTCTTTGAAGGAGGATGCTATTGCATCTCATTCATATTTTACTCCTGTCTCACAAAAAATATTCATCAGTGTAAGATCAATTCTGCTTGTCTGCTACAATAATACAAAACCAGTGTGCTCCAGAGAAGGCCCTGAAGTTCCTTGATTTAATGGCAGTGGAACATCCATGGGATTTCCTGAATCATTCACTTTCTTGGCCTAAAAAGGCTTCTTTACAGTCAAAGAATGAGGCTACAAAACTTATTTGGTCTGTGGTTGACAAGTCTGCAAGTGGTTGTGAAAAAGATATCCACTAAAAGTCTACTCAGATTTTTTTTAAAAACTGGCACTTTATTCGTGTATAAGGAACTCAGTTTCACCTTCACTTACAGCTTAGGAAAATCTCTGCTTATTTTATCCTGAGCAGCAAGCTAGGCAAAAGTGAACGCAAAGATCCTTGCTAGATTAGTCTCAATGTTAAGAGGGTTCTTTGCTAAATTAGTGTCATTAAAGGAGAGAGGATGGCTAGTGCCAGAAGGGCATAGCACTGGGCTTCACAAGGTGAAGCCATCCCGCTCAAGGGAACACTTGCAGGAGAACCCTGACAAGCTGAAACAGTCTTCCCTTCTGCACTGGCCTCTCTGTGGTACTTTCTGTGCATTTGGAGAAATAAGACTTTTACATGTGATATGCATTTCATATCCTCAGCTTCTGCTTGAGAAATTTAGACTTTAAAATCCTGCTCCATTCTTTCCAGTTGAGTTTTTGTGAACATTATATAGCCCAAGCCAATTAAGGCAGTTCACAACAGAAACAAAACACTACCAAAGTGGACACACTCAGACACACAGTGCCTTTGCATTTCTCTTGGTTTGCT